GCTAAATACATTGTCCATTCGCTTCATTGATGTCATAGGACGCAACGCTTCTTTCAAAATGCAGAAACAACTTTTGTGGTTCGCTCCACTACCAACAAGGTTGATGTTGGTTGCTTGAGAACCCATGCACAATAAATATGCGGCTTCCTCACAACTCCGGCTACCCTGACGGGCTAAATGCCGTTGGACTCTCTGCACACCACTATGCAAGTAATCCCCTAAATTTTCGGCCACGTCCGTCATCACGTAAATTCAACGAAACGTCCCATCATGGCTTTGCTTTCTTCCCTAGGCGTTCAGCACAGTGGGTCCTCTCGAAGCACACTTAGCTTTTGGGAAAAAGACTTATCACATGGTCTGTAGTGGCATTCAAACTACCACCAATGCTGTTCTCGGCCGGCGGCTTGCGTCGCCCGGTGTACCAATCGCAAACGCTCATTTGTACTGACGTCATTCATACCAAAACCAGCGCCACTTCCAAGACCGAAGGACATCAGTGAGCGGGTTACAGGAGGTCAAAAGTGGCACCTCGAATGCGCAACAGGTGACGACGAACATCAGCATATTCTACCGTCGTCAGCTGTCGAGAAACAGGGCTACACTGGGATTACAAGAGACGAAAGAAATCTAGTGCTGTGACAGCGTGTTTGGACCAATTTGGAAGACTGCGCAATTTGAACCTGAAGATTAAAATTAATTTGCTTAACATATCTTAATAGTGCCGCCGTGACACTACCTAGTGCTATTATCAGAAATAACTGGTCTCGCCGCCTAACTGCTTTGAAGTGATGCCCAAAAGGAGGCATACTTCTTTTAACAGCCATCGCCACAGCAATGTGCTCTAGTGATGCAGAAACATAAGGATTTACACCCCATTTTAACAGACCCTATGCTGACCGCAAACGCATTTAGCTGCATTTAGCTGCAGCTGCATTTAGCTGCATTTAGCTGCAGCTGCATAGCACAAACGCCTTTAGCTGACCAGACGTTTCACCCGCGACGCCCTCTGGTACAGAACACTTGAATGCGTTTGTCAACACTTGACAGGGATGGCAAGAAGAGCACGGAAAAGGTTGGCATTAAGCTCCGAGGCAAGCTGAAAAACACGGACCGAAACCGGGCCCCGACCTCAGCGATCCGGTGTCACGGCGGCACGAGGCTCACAGGCTCTGGCGTAGAACACTGGCAGTCACACTGGCCAAAATGCCGGTGAATCTGTGCAGCAGAACATGCGTTCTCGTGGGCAAACCATGGGCTAAGCCGTTTTGGGACATTCGAAGGATTGATGTCCGATCTCAGCGGAACAGATGAGAACGTGTAACACATTCAACAGTGTGGAGGCGGATGTGCCGGCTACGACTCCCAAGCGAACCTCGCAGCCAGACATGCCCGTAATCAACAGAACAGCGAACGACGTCACCTTTTCCGAACCTGATTTCGAATGCCAGAAGCCTAAGTCGAGAGGTTATGGAAGCTACATAAGCATACATCGTCTGTCTGTCTTGTTCATGGTGACGCATATCCACCCAACATATTGACGTTGTTCGGACTTATAGATCCCAACTGCACAGATCGCAATTCATTCAAACATTTGTTGATTTGTTGATTATCAATGCCAGATCTGGCTGGACCCATGGCCGCCAAAACTTGGCAAGCAATGTTCTTTTATCAAAAATAAATTTTGCAACACATCGATCAAACACGATGGTATTGGTTGCCAAAGATGTCTGGGTCTATTAATTTAACCTTTGATATATTAGCGGAGTCAGCATCACGTCCGTACATCATGGTGCACAACTGCCCCGTATGTTAGTGGCCCGCTCGTCCCGCGCGGCGCAGGGTATCTTCCCGGATTACTCGAAGTGAATAACCTTTATGACGAGAAGACACATTCCGCGCGCCCCAAAAAGTCGTACGCTGGAGTCGAGGCGTGCCTTAAATGGTGGTAAATGGACGCCCGGACGCCGCAGAGCACTGCGGTCGTCTCAACCACAACGGCATCTCTTCCGTCAAATTAATCGACTGAGCTGAATGTGACTGAATCACAGACACCATCAATCTTTATACGACATCCAGCATAGTTTCATAGCGAACATTAAGCACAACTAACCGAAAAGGGAGACTCTACCGAGAAGCCGCAAATGTGTCCAACATCATTGCTCTAAACGTTTCAGAATATTCGTTTGTGTAGCACTGCTACAGTCGTTTATGTGGAAGTGGCAGGGAAGGAAGGGATTGGTCTCGCAATGCTTGACTCATCTCTGTGAATACATTTAAAATGACGGCTCGGTGATGTTGAACTTAGATAAGGCCACCACCAGAACGCATATTTGCAGTCCAAAGTCACTGCGTGCCTAAAATATGGGCACATTTCGCTGAGGGCAGTCATTTTTCGCCCTCGTTCACCCTGCATCCACGCATCCTCTGCCTTGCTTAACACACAAATGCTCTTCTCCCATCATCTTTTGTTTTCCTCCATAAAAGTACTGCTGTATTCACACAATGCAGTTGAAACACTAATCCGTTTTGTGGCCTCTCATTTTAATTTCTGGGTTAACTCGACTCAGTCCTGTCCGATAGCTAGGCGAAACAAAATGGGCCGACAGGAGCATCCAGATTTGGAATGTAAGTTCCTTTATTTGCCACAACGTAAGTTGCCATTGCAAAACACATCGAAGCTTTGGCGCTCCATCATCTTTGCAGTAAATCCAGACATGGTGCAGCGATGCAATTTTGGCTTCAACGAACTGTCCGCGCCTTTATTCTTTAAAGCAAACAATGTTGCTTAAACGGCATTGCAAATAAAGTTCAGGCGGTGTTAAATTTCCGCGCTTCATAACGGATAGGTATGAACGGAGTGGGTAATGAATTGTGAATCGAAGTGCCCATCTGCATGTCTGATTCCGCCTCTTATATATCATCCCAAGCACTTCATATTTCATATGTTTTTGTATGGTGTTAGTGGATGAAAAGCTTGCCCTGAAAATAGTACACGTCACATGTGCAAAAACGTCGGTCCTGTGACCAGTCAAATAAAAAGCATTCGCCGTAGTGCGACTTACATGCATTCGCCGAGGTGTACCTACACTCACGCTGTTTCCTCCCAACAACTGACTTCTCTAGCACTGGAAACCTTACCGCACTGAGCAGCTTTTTAAAAGAGTATTTCAACAGAAGATTAAGAAGCTTCATGAGAAGCACCATTCAGGCCAAGCTGTAAAGGAAGACTTCAACAAATCGCACGTTACAAGTGACATGTGCTGGAATGCGACACAGATTTCACAATCAATAAAATGCCCAGTAAAAGGCCCATGGTATGACCATATTTCCGTTTGCCCATGGCAAGACCTTGGCATGGGATGCCACATGCATTAATACGTTTGCCACCTCCAACCTCATCCCTTCCGCGATAGCCGCTGGCGCCACAGCTAAAGAAGCCGAATACGGAAAGAACAGAAAACGCTCGAGCCCCGCTCCGCGGTCTCAATTACAACCAGTTGCGTTTGAGGAGCCTGTGGTCCATCGACGAGAAATGTTGCCGGAAGTCTAGAGACTGGACTGATTTCCTCGTCCGGCCACATACGAGAAAGTGTTCAGCTCTGGCAACGTTTGGCCGTTGCCATAATCCGAGGGGACGCGAGCTCAGTGGCATTCACTTTACACATCTTCGAAAAAGGAGAACCTATGCACGCCCATCACAGAGACGGCATGTCGCGACAGCGTGCAGCGTCACCAAAAGGAGAGACCGCGAACGCCAAGTCTCCCAAAGATGGGATTGGCGGTAGTACAACGCGGCTTGCGACACCGCCACTCGGCCTTGCCATACAAACAAAACAACACCAGGCCCCCAAAACATGACCTAGTGTACTAAACCTACTTGTACTAAACGCCATACCTCGAAGGGGTTATGGTTCCGCCAAACCCGCCATACCCATACCTACCTATGGCCCCTAATTTTGGAAGTGCCTCCATGACCGAATAAGCTTTTTTGTGCGAACAAACTGCAATTTTCTTGAATATGCTGCGATTTAAGGATCTTGGCCACAGTAGCTTTGAAAAACTTGTCATTAGAACACATCAGCCAACTGAAAATTACACTAAGTAGATACACTAATAAAAATATAATGTGGTGGTCGCCAGCGCGGTGAAAAACATCACACAGTGCCAAAATAACTGTGGGTAAAAATGGCTGGCCTCAGTCACGTCATCCACGCGCCAATCGGCGTCAGGTCACACAGTCGTTTGAAACTGCTTTAATCTGACATCACTAGTGTACACCGTCTGACCCTGAGTGCTGTACACGGTTGTCGTTGAACGCGATGCATGCGTAAGTCAGTCACCGGCGTAATGGCCGGCGCGGGCCCGCAAACAAGGTGTGAATGAGGCCCGTACCAATACAGTGACCGGCCGACGCAAGCCCCTGTGAGGCGGATAGTCGGCGGTCGGACCGAAGCAGTTCAGGCTCCGCATCATTGAGCGAATCATCAAGCCTTGACTATTGATCGGCTCAAGTGCGGCCAAGTTGTGTCTTCCATCAAAACATGCCGTAAGTTGGGAGCGTTTCAATACCGCTTCGCCACGAAAGCAAAGCCGAACAAGGCGGTTGGAGCCCTCGCGCACCGGCCGTCAGTACATACAGATCGCCACACCACCCCAAGGTCAAGGCTCCCTGATGATAATCTGATGATAATGAGTGTAGTTTTGCGCCACCCGACCGCGAATGGTAACGTGGGACGACATCACTCAGCACCGCAGCATCAGCAGCCTGCCAGCTGCCCGTGGTGACTCGGCACACGAATCAGCCATAACCCGGCCCGTCTGCATGGCAGACCTGGGAAAGGCCAAGCTCCGGGAGAGGGGGGGGGGGGGGGGGGGAGTGATGAAAAGACCAGACGGGGAGGGAGGCGACGGTAAGGACGGGCGAGAGATGGAAGTGCGGGAGGGGAAGAGGCAACAGTTTGCGCCGCTCTCTACCTCCCTCCCTTCCCTTCCCTACTCACGGTCGGCCATTGACATCTGCATGGCGTAGGCGATCTGCTCCTCTTCGGTCATGGCGGCGAAGTCAGGCGGTGCCGGCGGGGTGCCGCCTCCCATGGACATGGCCAGAGCCTGCGGCGGGCGGCTGAGTCATGCGGGCTGCCCTGGCCGCGCCGGCTGGGGCCGCTGGTGACAGCCGTGGCCACAGTACAGCGTCGCGTGCCATCTCCCACTGCCTGACGCGCGCGCCCAACATGCCGGCCGGTACGCACTACGACTTACGTCCGACTGCCGCTGGTGACAATGCCAGATACGTGTCATACTGCCGCCGGAGTACACAGCTGTGCGTGCATTAGCACGCCCACCCCCCCCCCCCCCCCCCCACCTCACCTCCCTGCGCCTCCCAAGCCATCCACACAACACCGTCCCCAGTGTAAGGGGAGAGGGGGACTCCAGCAGCGGCCGGTCGCTAGCTGCGATGCTCACCTGTTCCAACATGGCCTCCTCGCCGGTGGCAGCGGCGCGGCCGGCCGGTGCCGCCGCCGCCGCCGCCGCGTCCACGGGCGCGCCGGCCGCCGGCGCCGTCTCGCGCCCCTGCTCCTGCTGCTGCTGCAGCGCGCGCTGCTCGTCCATCGAGACGCGCAGCGCCAGCGCCAGCTCCGGGTCTTCATTGGGGTCGACGCCGAACTCGAAGCCCGAGCCGCCGCCGATGCCAGGCGCGCCGGCACCGTCCTCACCCTGGCCAGAGCAGTGGCTGCCGTCAGCGGCCAGTAGCAGTACTTTCGTACTATCGCTTATGTAATGATACGCAAGTTTTTTTTAGTTACAATACATATCGAGACCGCAATAACATGTATTGCACTTGAAGGACACCGGCTTCCATGCCCTTCCTTTGCGAAGTAGCGTCGCAGCAAGACCGACACGACCTCTATAGTCGCCAGCTTGTTTTCCGTCACCGTGCATCCGCTGCGCTGCTTCTGCATTAGCCTGGCAAAGGCCTCCGCTGGTTTCTACGGCGGATCAGGCAAAGGACGTCTCGAGTGCTGCTCGTTTCGTCGCAACGTTAGCAGTTCGTCCCCGGGTAAGCGCCAGTCCCCATCCAGCAAAATGTATGCCAATCGTAGGCAGTCGCGGCCAGGGCATGTTGGAAAACCCGGACCTAAAGAGAGCTATACGTTGGTCAGCGCCACTCTTTGTTTTCGGCTTTGTCAGCGGAGGCTACCAGCACGCCACCGTAACACCTGGTCGATGAGATCTGAGTGTTTCCAAACCGCCTGCCATGACTCTTTTCGATTTGAACATTGTACGCGTCCCATGTTAATCGAATGGGGAGGTGAGGAAGCGGTGATGTTGAAACAGTGCAGACATACACCAACAGATCCAACAGGCTACGAGTGCCTTGAGACCATTACAGCTTAACTGGTACGGCATTGCGCCGTTTATTCGTACACATTTCACGGCGTTCCATCATAAACATTTCGTCAAAAAGCCATGACGGCGCATGTCAAAGACGTGACCGGGTCGAGTTGTTACAAAAACTTTGAAATTTACGGAGCTGAACTCGGACCTTGCTCGGCTTCCGGCCGCACTGCCAGCACGAGAGCGTGCTCGTAGAAGTGGTGATACCAGTAAACCGTGAACGGCAATAAAGGGTCTTGATAATGGTGCGGCAAACTCCGCCAGTTGCCCAGATAGGTACGGAGCGCCACAAGAAAGGTATCGATGGCATTCGAGCACCGGCAAAAACTTATAACAAGCTGGCGGAGGCATATAATGACGCTCGCCTGAAATAAGGAGTGAATGCGGTGTCATGCTTCTCAGAATTGACTGAAGACGCCTACGCTCACTCTGGACGGAACGGGACGGAGACACGCGGACGGGGACGGACGAAATGTAACTTTGGCAAATAAACTTAAATTCCAAATCTGGATGCTCTTGTCGGACCATTTTGTTTCGCCTACCTATCGGACGGACGGATGAACGGATGGATGGATGGACGGGACGGACGGACGGACGGACGGACGGAGACGGACGGACGGACGGACGGACGGACGGACGGACGGACGGACGGACGGACGGACGGACGACGGACGGACGGACGGACGGATGAACGGATGGACGGACGGACGGACGGATGAACGGATGGACAGACGAACGGATACGGACGGACGACGAACGAGACGGACGGACGGACAGATGAACGGAACGGATGACTGGATGCTCTGTGTCGGACCATTTGTTTGCCTAGCTATCGACGGACGATGAACGGATGGACGGACGGACGGATGGACGGATGGACGGATGGACGGATGGACGGACGGACGGACGGACGGACGGATGAACGGATGGACAGACGAACGGATACGGACGGACGAACGGAGACGGACGGACGGACAGATGAACGGATGAATGGATGAGCGGACGGACAGACGAACGGACGAACGGAGACGGTGGACGATGACGGGTGGACGGAGACGGGTGGCAGCAGCAGCAGTAGCGACGCCGCCGCCGCCGCCGCCGCCGCCGCCGCTCGGCGCCGGAGCGGTGCCAGCTCACCTGCAGTATCGGTGATGAGACGAGCGCGTCGGACAGATGCGGCCCAGTCGGCACCGTCACCAGGTGGCTGCCGGTGCCGTCTTTGCCGTTGATGGTGTTGATGAACTGGCTGAGGATGTCCGTGTTGGCAGCCTGACAGCAGACAACAAACAGCACGTGGAAGAGGTCGCCAGAGATTGGCGATGAGACCCTCGTTTACATCACGCAGGCTCAGGGCATCGCTGGGAACTCGGGGTCTAGCGCCTGTGCTAAGCATAGTTGGATCGCACGGTTCTATGCCGCAATTGCAATGACGGTGAGTGATCTCCTTTCCAAAATAGCCACGTTTGCGTAGCAGCTTAGCACCTTCTCACTAATCCTCGCCAATATGATTTCAAAACAAACCTGTGAGCAGCTGGACGGTACTACTGGCTCTACACCGATTGCGTACCTGGACTTGCTTGCGCACCTGATTGCGTACCGGCCCGGATTTCGACAAAAAGTCGAAAATAACAACCCAAATGCTCACAGTATGGAATGATTTCATTTAGCATATGATCAGGTGGGTCATCAGCAGCATACTGTGCTGGCTGTTATTGTGAGGGTGATGTGCTCTTAAATAAAAGCTGTTTCATACGCAAACCATACCTCATAACCACTAACGGTTCTTAACAAAATGGCCAGGAATCTGTTTCACTTTCATTTCACTAGTCTGGCTCACTGGCGGACATAAGCTGCAGGTACTGCTCTGTTACATCCACAACAGCTGTCCAAATCTGAATATCTGTGAGGCATAGTTGTCTATTAGTACCTGTGTCTTCATGCATACCGGAACACGCTATTTATGACCAGGACGACGGGGTTGCTACGTAGGATATACCTTATTGCGACTGCCATTAATTTTGAACGCATGGGTCTCAAAGCAACTTCTATTTTGTTTGCTCAAGCCATCTGTTCCGATATATGTACATGGACTCAGGTGTGGGTCGAAAATTCCAGCTCAACATATGTCACCAACCAAACATTTGAAATAGATTTGAAAGTTGCAGACTCAGCGAGCTATGCAAAAAGTAAACGGATGCCTTGACATGCTCTACTCCGTTCTTCTTTCCGTATCTAACAACACCTTGTGGTTTTTGTGGTATTGCGAAATATGAATGTCACTTGAGTGGCAAAAAACAACATTCTTGGATGCATTGAAATTGATATTCTTGTACGTCGTACCATACATGGCACGGTGGCGAGCGCCGTGGGACGAAGCATGGATGGTAGCTAGAGCGAAATATGAAGCATTCCAGAGCTGTCATGCGATATTGATTCCGTGGCCTGATTCTGTTTTGAAGGCAGGTGTGAGTGCGTTAATTGTGACGCATTCAAAAGCTGTGAGACGGGGAGAATATATCATCCGTGCTCCTGTGCAGTGTACTGAGCTGCAGCGACTTCCCACAATTTGAAAAATCCAGTTTTCCTTTAATTTCTGTCAGTGCAAAACTATCAGTTGATGCAGGCCGTTTCTGAAAACCCACCACTTTGTTTGATAAGATGAAGCACGAGTTTCAAATAGATAGCACATTTTGGTGAGAAGCGATTTCAAATTCCACTCAATTTCTTCCCATTTGTATTTAAAAACTGACGTCGCACAGTCTAAGGCAGCTAATTTAATGTTATAGAAATGCCGTCCAAGTAGCATAGTCCATCACTGCTCCCCAAGCAACATTACTGGTATTAGTCAAACAAGGTTGCGCATTTGATGGCAAGGATGTGACATTCGTCATGCATATCTCTTGTATATATCTAAAAAAAGGAACGATGCAAAACGCATATCACATATAACTTAATACTTGCGGCTCAATGCCGCGTTAGCATGGCAACATAGCCCGTGGGCCAGATCTCTAGCTGGTCGGGGCGGACCGAGCTGTAGCCTGATATTTTGGAAAAGTTGCGTCTCTAGTGCGGATAAATGGCGGTCAGAACTGACGGCGGACAAGTACAATGCAAAGGCACACTCATCATCTGTCCCCCGCGTCACGTTATGCTGTGGACTGCATTGGTGAAACTCAGCAATGAACTGAACAGCTTTTGCAGCGAACTTAAACGCCACGAACAGTTGATATTCTACGATTATTTTCTACGCGCCAAGCTTTTGGGCAGTTTAGACTCCGCCCTGAGACACAGCTACCGGCACCCCAGATTTGCTACAACGGCCAGGGCCATGTCTTCACTGCATTCACTTTCGCACCTACATCCAAACATGTCTATTTGTTTACAACTGGAGAACAACGGACACGGAATACATGCATAACGTGACAGATTTTACAAGGAACTTTAATTAAATCCGCATTGAAACGAGCCGGCACGCGCAGCTTTCTGCACGTAACTAAACCGACGGGAAAATTTCGGCCAGGTCCGAATGGACTGGAAGCACGACCGCAGAGGTTCAGTCATATTCATTACTGAAATGTCCACTTTTGACTGGAGTGCGGTTACTGATAATGCCGAGACTTGAGCTCTTCACACGTTTGAAAATTTGTGTTTTTTGAGGGAGACAGAAACAGAGAAAAAATATGTAGGTATATATATATATATATATATATATATATATATATATATATATATACACATATATATTCTCTCTCTGTTTGTCTCCCTCCCCTCTTCTGCGCGTGCGTGCGTGCGTGCGTGCGTGCGTGCGTGCGTGCGTGCGTGCGTGCGTGCGTGCGTGCATGCATGCGCGTGTGTGTGTACGTGTGGTCGTCTGTATCTTCGGTCGATGGGAACTTCTTAGCATATTTAAAAAACGGTAAGTGATGTATAACATACCATACGTGTTGACACATTATATACAGCAGTGAGTTATACTTAACCATATTTTACATTAAAATCATTACTTGAACCAACAAACAACAAATAGCATGACAGCCTGGGTCACCAGATGATCTTCATGTGCTACGTGTTGCTCTACTCAGCGGCACGTCACAGCGGCTAGACATAGTTAAGTTCACCAGCCCATACTTCATTGCCGAATGGCTGTTACGCACTTTGCATCTGTTGCAATCGGAGCCTGGGCTGAAATTGCCTCCATCTGGATGATATATAGCTCGTGGCGGCACTTTCGTCAGACGTCACCAATGACTAAGACTTCAAAGAATGCAAGCGATCGTTTAATCCAGCTTGTTGTTGGAAGTCAGCGATTCTCATTGCCGAGGCGAGCGAAAATGATGAGATCATCCTAGTGATTCCAGTTTCAAAGCACAATGTGCTCACCCCATCTACCCCATCCAGCTTACCTCTTCGCCGAAACTGATAATATCCACATTGACTTTTTCTTTCTTGAGCCGTTTAGCGACTTTGATAATTTCTTTTTCGTCGCATTCGATTGGAGAGCCAACAAAGAAGATGATGCGCGTTTTGTGGTTCTTGCTCTGTCGGTGCTTCAGGGCCAACTGAAACAGAGAATGCGTTGAACGAGACGCTGGTCTGTATGCTCCTCGGCAATAGTGCGACGGCCACGACAGTGTACCAGCATGCACCCTTCTTATCAGCATCGCCAATCACATCCATTCGCCGGCACGGGAGCTGAACGCACCAGCGGCTCCGAAAGCTAATGCGTCTGCGAATTAATGCTTCTCACACTATCAGAATTGTGGGACGTTGGTATTCTTGCCAAGCCACTAATCTTAAATTCTGTTAATGCTACAAAGGGATTCGCCTCAGTAATAATACCAATAATGGAATATGTCAGACGGATTCGCACAACCGAGAAAATAACATCTGAGTTGTGCGATCTCGTCATGCGCGTACAAATTTGAATTTTGCCAGGTGTACGCTTTTCACCTTCGGAAATAGCGTTACAGTAAGGTAAGACGAAAAACAAACGTTGGAAGTGCCAACATTTTTGCTGTTTCGCGCTTATTGGGGATGCACATATTTCTCAAACATACAACGGCGGCGTTTTCGCGAAAAACAATACTTTCAGTACGGGTCACGTTGAAAACATATTACAGAACTTGTAAAGGAAAACAGATGGATATGTCTCTCAGTGAGAGAAATCCCTATGACTTGTTCCATTGAACAATGCCTAAAATGACTCCCGTCAACATCATGTTTTCAGGAACACAACTTTCTGACGCAATTTTTGACGCTTATTCAAATAGAAAGTCGAAGCAGTCTTGCATCATTTTTGTCACCATGACCTGCGAGCGGTCATACAAGTTCACTGGCCTTAAATGAGCAGCAATGATCCTTTCCCTGGAACAGGAAGCTAGGTTCTAGAACAGTTCGGGCACCAGTATGGAGTTTGACCTTGTTTGCCCTTAACTGACTCGAAGGTCTTGCCCTACGAAGCCCAAATTTTCACACAAGTGAGTTTATATACGGGCCAACACACCCTCGGAATTTGGTGTCCCTAGTTTTCTTAGTGTCTCAGATCTCAGAGTGGTCAAATTGAGCCTCACACGAGCGAAGGATGTTTAACCAGACGCCCCGGGCGTGTTAATGGCCACTGAAACTGTTTACAGCAAGGAATTGAATCCGCCACTTCAGGATGCGGGCCTGAGTATCCTACCCAGTGGGACGGCATAAGCTCCATCGCATCCTTAATTCCGGCGAAGCGCAGCCTGACGACAGTGCGCAGCGCCAGGTGGCCAATGACAGGCAGACAAGTCGGAGCGACCAGACGAGGTTCAAATTGCTCACTTCTCGCGACACCAGGCGGCAGCCATCCCATCAATGACACACACCTCGCGTCAACTTGGATCATCTGAGACCGGCATCACCAGCGTCGGAGCACAGCTTTAATTAGACCGGTGGCCGGCAACCGCCGCTGTGGCGAGCGACGTGGCAAACTTGCCGTGATGAGGCCCGACGGAGCCGCCGCCAGCGCGCCGGAGCGAGCAGCGGCGACCCGCACACGGCAGGCCACGCGGCCGGCCGTTATGCCGGTACGGCAATCGCCGTCTGATAGTGGCAGCCGCACTTCTCAAGGAGTGCTGACGGGGTAGAGATTGGGGCTGCCAGCAATGTGTTACACCTCTATGTTACCCGGAATGATCACACTATAGTAAAAAAGCAGGCTTTTACCAAGTAAATCCGATGAAAGTAAAACGTTGCCGCTTTGCGCTTTGACTGCGGCCGTAACAATGCGGATTGGACCACAACCACAACACAGCATCAGCAGCGCGTGACCGCCTCCCACAGCGCCCATGCTAAGGCAAATACATGACAGCATAATCAAGCATGTGCATGTCGCAGCTGAATCAAGCCCAATTGCTAATTGGGTTTAATATCATTTACACTTATGCCCAAACTTGTTTATCACAAAACTGATCTTTCAATCATATACATTGCAATGAAACAGTCACTAATGTTTGTCGATAGAGCAATCAGACTGTTGCGTGCAATAAAGTTAGTTTGAAAATCACATTTTACTGGTACAAGGCTCCAGAACATACGGAGCCTCGCACATTTTGCCTTCCCTGACCTACTCAAAAACGCGGATCTGTCAGGTCTCCCGGTGTCAGGTGCCCCTTCTCCCACGGACAATGGACACCCTCTACACGATAACCGGTGCATCTTTGTTCTCTGAATTTGTGTTGGTGCTGTTGACATGGTATACGACATTGCTACGTGTTAAACACAATTTGTATGTATGTGGTCCACGACGGCCTGGAATGTTTGGCCCAAAAAGCAGCAAAAGTTGTGGAGCCTAGCCCGGTGAAATGATCCGTGTTGGGGTCAAAACATCCCTAATCCTGCTACGTCAATTTTCTGCATTCAGGCATAGTTCTGAAGACTACTCTCTATTGTCGCCAACGCTGTCTACGAAAAGGGAACTCGCAGTTCATGGAGTATTGTGATCCATTAATGAAAGTAGCTATCCTCTCTCTCAGTCCACTATCTAAACGACCGCATGTTTCATTGAAAATGACAGCGCAATGACTTGCTTTTTAGATAATGATTCACTCTCCAAATTAGTCGCTTCCCCGTCACCTGATAACTGTTAAACTGTTAAAAGCAGTAGTCCCACCTTTGGGCCATATTTCAAAAACAGACTCTTGGGAAACCTCGGGATTATTTACGTCTAATTACAGCACTGGGTAATGTCATTGCAGCACCGTCGAGACATAAAAGCGATTTTCATTTCAATTGCTTTCAAGTCCAAACCACGCTGTCAACGCTTTGTAACAGCACTACACTTCTTCCCTTCATTCGCGACCACCGTCTTCATGATAAAGGCCGGGCGCACTCCTACTGGGGTGAATAAAAGAACGTTTGTGATTGGCCCACCGGACAAGATCCCTATCGAGAAGCGCATTGGTAGCACTTTGAAACAGTGCGTCACATGGATCAAGTGATGCCCCCCAAAACAAAGCGTGCGGCGAAAAGAGTCACTTTGATGAACGACATAGGGAAGAGCTCATAGCCATAGTATAACGTTTCGTTGAATTCGCGGGAAAATGGTTTCATGTTCGCATAAATTTTTTGTCTAGTGCTTTAAGCTTTCAAAACATTTATTACACAACGCTTTTGCCACATCAGTGTGTTGCAACCATTACAGCACACGCGTTAAAACACGCGAGGCAAACGTAATCTATTACTTTCATAGCCGCGAGCAAGCAGAGAATCCAATGAGATTTTTCGCGTAGGTTCGGCACTTCAAATAACAATTCTAAGCTCTCAGAAGGATTTCGATAAAACTGGTGTTACTGATCAAATCGTACGCGTCTGACGTAACAATAAGTAAGAAGTAGACAAAGTACAAAACACTGGAATACTCCCTTAAAAGGAAGCATCCCACGTTTCCACAATATCTCCACATCTTCATGGGGTTTTGAACTGAAGTAGCCGTCTAAAAGACCATTCCGAGCGGTTCACAGCCCTACCCTTCTTGAGACCTAACTCCATCTGGTTTCTGAGCTACACGCCCGCGAACTTGACCACACCATTTCGTATGCTATTTCAAGGCTATCCAACCATCCACGACACCATCAGAATGTCATTCAGATCCTGCCATCTCATTAGCCAGGCGGCGAACAAGGCCGAGAAAAACATCATCGAAATAGTTGTCGGGTCGTTTATATCAGGCCTTTGTGAGCACGATGTCCAGATACAACGGCCATCGAGTCACTATCAACCGATGTTGTGCAAGGTACGACGACGTAATCAGACAATGGTGCATTAAGCATATCAACAGAGAAATTGTGCCGTCCACAGCCGTGTTTTCCACTCAAAAATATACCGACAGGTAAAAGTGAGCTTACATCATCACGTCTAACGCTTGCCTCAATCTTTTCAAATGTGGGGCATGCCTTTCAATACGGGTGATCCACGAGTGCGGTGTTGGAAAAATCGATATTTCCTGGTATAATGTATACCAGGAGATTTTGTACTCCAGGATTGTGACTGGGTAAAATGAAATATTTCGCACTCAACCATGATGCTACAAAAGAAGCTTTGAAAAAACTCATTTACCCGCCTCTTTCAGGACAAACTGAGACCAGAAAGTGCAACAGCTTGAGACTTGCTGCTTCCATCACGATCCAAGCATTGAAATCGGCAAGAGCACAAATCTTGCACCCATCAGAGTTAGATGATCGATACCAAACAGCCTGTGCTGCCACCTAGGTGTACAACAAATCATGTGTGGAAATGTATGAAAATGTAATGTGAAAGATAAGATATGTGAATGTTGAATGGAATCGCTTTTGAACGATGCCGGGAAATGAGAAACGAGTAGCAGAATCGCACCGGTCTGCACATTAGCAAAGCTCTCACTTCCTACGCCCTATGTACACCAACTCAAATTTGAACATGACTTAACCTACCATTGACAACGAACCGCATTAATTGCCAAGGATGCAACCAACGATGATAGGAAACCGCACACCCAAGCACCTACCACAGACGGCCGTGTACTCACGCGCCACCACTGTGTCATAGCAATGCAACTTAGAGAATCACTGGCAATGCAGCGTCGGAAACGTCTCAACTATCCAGTGGCTTGCGCCCGCCTCCCAGCTCAGGTTGAAGGTTGAACATAGCAAAACTCTCCGATTGCTTTAAATGATTCGCCTCCCTATGACTCTTTTGTCAAGAGCATAAATATTCCGCTCGCGCTCATGTCTTGGAACATAGCTGTAAACATTTGGAGGGAAGCTGTATAGAGACGAGCATCACGATTATGAAGGACTTATTTGAACTCGTCCAGGACCGTCCCGTGGTTGGATTTCTGGCCACTTGCTGCTATCCGGAGTAAAAAAAATGTAAGCACAGCTGGGAATTTAAACCAAATTAAATTTGTCATCTAAGGGTGTAAAATTAAAACAGGTGACATAAGCTGTATAAAAATATCCTTTAAGTCCAAAAACATTGCTATAAATACCATCCCACTCCGACAAAAACACTAGGACACCAGAGCAAATTAAGGAAAGGGATTTAATAGGACAAACACATCAATGAATTAAAACATAAATTATCATATTTCGCAATGATATCGGCTAAAGCGCACCCAGACCAATTAATACAGTGTATTATACGCTGGAGTCAGCAAAGTGACTGACTCCGATTCCTTCTGGCCGGCCTGCACGGGTCTGTCAGGCATTGTGCTTGCGCTATTTCGGTAAATCGGTTGAGAGTGCTGCCTGTCTATTATTCGACTGGGACGTGCAGGGCCTTGTGCGTTGTCCGGGAGTTGTCAGGTGGAGGACATGAAGGTCTAGGCGTTTTTAAAACCAGTTACCTAGTGGAGCGTGAGTAGTGTGACCGTGGTGGAGCGTGAGTAGTGTGATCGTGGTGGAGCGTGAGTGGCGTGGCCGTGGTGGAGCGTGAGTTGTGTGATCGTGGTGGAGCGTGAGTAGGTGGCCGTCTGTGGCACATTCATTGGCACTCTTTTGTTTCATATTTCTCTGGTCGGCTCGGAACTTAATTTGTGAAACTGCGCACGCTCACTAAGCGATTTGTTGGTAACTTTGAGAAAATCGCATAAGACGCTTCCTATTTACAGCAATACTTTGAGAGAAAAAGACTGACCTAGATCCTTGGTTTGGTAAGCTGTTTCACAAATTGCAAACCCATATACATGCACATGCGTTTCGTATTACAGAGTCTGGGACTATGTTGTTTCAGAGTGTCATGTTTAATACTGATGTTTTCTTTCATTTGAAATATTTTCACATGAATTGCTGTACATGAAAAGTGGCGTTTTTGTTGAGTACCAGACATTGTAATGTTATGTCTCAAAGATAACCTAAATGAAAGTGTAATGACCCGCAGCATTTGGAGAATTTTGAACTCCACCGTAGAAAATTTGCACTCTGCCGCCATGATTTTTTTTTTTTAATTTCCAACACTACACGAGTGTTCGGTAAAAGTGAGCGGCCTGACCTACACATTAGCTTAAATCGAATGCATACATAGCACGCGTTACATGACATAATTTAAGACAACCCATTCAAAGCGTGCGAAATATTTAACCTGACGAAACGTTTCCTATAAATACACTCATGAACCTGGCACATTCTCCGACTGTTCTAAAAACGCATCATCTGAGCTTCGCTCCCACCGATGTGCATGACAAAACCGTTGTCCTGGTTACCCAGGAATACAATGCATGTGATATTGCTCTGCGTTTATCACTTACTAGGTCCGACCTTTGATGAGCTCCTGGATTAATTATAATGGATTGGCCTCATCAGTTTCGTCAAGATTGTACTCATTAACCAGGAATTCATGTACGAACATATACCTGTGCAACGCCTAAGTCCGCCATGACTTGCCGCGACATTGCGCGAGGTGTACATTGTTATTATGCACATGCATTTCTTTGCATTAGGTCTTGCATCTTACGCAACAGAATGTGCACGATGTTCTTCGTCCGAAGTTCTTTTTATTCAGCTACTCTAGCTTTGGGGTAGCTGAGCGGAGAAGCAGAATAACAACACAGCCGTACACAAATGCCAGCATGCCCATCCCGAACAAAAACCGTGACACGCTGTTCTGGATTTCTGATCGCGGTTCACGCGCAACAGGTTTTCCACCCTTTCCATGTCTTGTGTGATATGTTCTTGAGCTGACATTACAACAGAAGCAGAAGTACTGTCTATATCGTACACCTGCTATCAGTATTTCCCCATTATTACACTATTTTGCATGGAAGTTTTGCATCACGTGTAATGGCGTTACTTATTCACGAGCACATTGAAACTGTCACAATCATTTGCGTTCTGTGCGTTTGTTTTTCACAAGCGTGCTTTCATTTCGGAATCGACCACTTCACACACCAGAAAAGTGCCAAAACCTTGTGGTAATACCCGTAGCCAGAGCCATGTTTTAAAGAAAATTGTGTATATGCCCGCAGGCACACTTTTATGACATCTTGTACTAAATCCGCCACTTTCAGTTCGGTTCGGCCATCTGGTGATTACCCGTCCATGCAAGCATCTATTCACTGTTTTGAAGGTCTACGCAACGTAATCGATCTTCCTGCCATACACAGCCCAGCATCCTGGTGGCGAGTCCGAGTGATCGACAATGTCCTGGTGGCGAGGGTCCGAGCGGTCGACAGTGTCCTGTTGGCGAGGGTCCGAGCGGTGGAGTGTTCTGGTGGCGAGTCAGAGCGATCGACAATGTCCTGGTGGCGAGGGTCCGAGCGGTCGACAGTGTCCTGTTGGCGAGGGTCCGAGCGGTGGAGTGTCCTGGTGGCGAGTCAGAGCGATCGACAATGTCCTGGTGGCGAGGGTCCGAGCGGTCGACAGTGTCCTGTTAGCGAGGGTCCGAGCGGTGGAGTGTCCTGGTGGCGAGTCAGAGCGATCGACAGTGTCCTGTTGGCGAGGGTCCGAGCGGTGGAGTGTTCTGGTGGCGAGTCAGAGCGATCGACAATGTCCTGGTGGCGAGGGTCCGAGCGGTCGACAGTGTCCTGCTGGCGAGGGTCCGAGCGGTGGAGTGTCCTGGTGGCGAGTCAGAGCGATCGACAATGTCCTGGTGGCGAGGGTCCGAGCGGTCGACAGTGTCCTGTTGGCGAGGGTCCGAGCGGTGGAGTGTCCTGGTGGCGAGTCAGAGCGATCGACAATGTCCTGGTGGCGAGGGTCCGAGCGGTCGACAATATCCTGGTGGAGAGGGTCCCAGCGGTCGTCCTTCTGTTCTGCCCCGTGACGGTATCCAAGCTGTTAGTCCGTCGCGATAGCTCAGTTGGTAAGAGCGCCTACCTTCCGATCCACCCACGCCCGGCGGGGCGGGTTCGAATCGCTCTAAGCGTTCGCTATTTGCGCTTGAGAGGTGTGGCCCGCGGCCAGTGGCCGTCGCCGCGCTTAACGTCAGGCAGCGTCACGGGGCAGGATGGACCGCGTCGCGCATTGCGGTACGTTACACTTTCGCCACCAAATTCTGCTGTTGACATCAAACTGCGCGATCTGATGGATGGGGTCAGGGCTCACACGACAAGCAATGCTTGGCGTGGGCTGTAATCCCAGAAATCCAATCATTCGAAAAGTTCAGAATAAATCTTTTAAAAGCCCGCCCAATGTCATCAGCCGCCCTACTACTCACGTGGGCAATCCTCATGCTGGTGAGGAAGTTGGAATCGCCGTTGGGCTGGACCTCGTGCAGCTTGGAGAGGACCCGGCCGGCGTCCGTGGTGAGTGTGGTCAGCACCTGGCCGCTGAGAGGAGGGAGAGAGCCCGGTTAGCCGTCAGCTCAGCAGTCAGCTCAGCTCAGCTCAGCTTAGCTCAGTTTAGCCCAGCTCAGCTCACCAGACCGCGCTGCAAGTCTGACTTTTCAGTCCTACAGAGCATGCAAAGAATGGATGTAGAGTAGAGTGGGGAATAACAATACACATTGTAAGTGAAGGTGTGGGATAGGATGTAGTAAAGAGCAGCGCAAAACTCGACTGCCAAAGCAACTTACATCTAGCCTTTTGGCTCAGTTCTCCGCTGAGACTGATCGTTTACCGTACGTGCCGGCAATGGCGAGTAAGTTCCAGCCAATATTTGCACGTTGTTTCTAGTCACACCGACCAGCATACAACTACGCATCATGAAATCAATGAACAACTGGCGTTCGTCGCAGGCCGTGAATAGCCCCGACATTCCGGAACAAAAGCAGTGCGCCGCCTACAAGCTGGCTGCCATTAGAACCACGACAGGGCCACGGTCAAAAATTCAGCGGGCGCATATTGCGTAGTGAACAAGCCCAACCGCTGGGCTTCCGCCTTTTGGTCCAACAAGCAGCAAGCCCCCAACCCCTACGAACCACAACATGGCCGGCGAACGACGCTGCCACTAGGTGGCAGTACGGGAAATCTGGAGCAGTGCGGCTCAAAGGCCTTGAATCCGAATGACGCCACCCTAATGATGTCAAGTGCTAGTTGCCAGCTGCTATCCTGAAGCCATTTCCGAAATTCATCCTGACAATGCGCGTAACCCCGTATAGCGTTTGTGTGTCACCAGAGGGCAAATTTCGAGTTACAGTGTGTGTCAGCCCACCCGTTCACGGGGCCATGCAACACACACCCAAACGCTGGCTGCTTTGGTTATCGTTTGTAGGATACGATTTTAGATTGGTCTTCTGTTTATAATTCTTGCCTAACGGGGCCATTGGTCTTCTGATTATAATTCCTGCCGTTTACGGGGCCATGCAACACACCGCTGGCTGCTTTGTTTATCGTTTATAGGATACGATTTGAGATTGGTCTTCTGTCTATAATTCCTGCCTAACGTACATGATGTATTATTGTTAACTACATGCATCAAACCAGCGAGGCCGACAGCGTGCGAGACGTCGATGACATTGGTACAAATATGGGTATCAAGTCAGTCCAACAGCTTCCAATCATTCGAAATGGTACAATGGAACACAAAATCATTCGAATGGTGCGTTAGTAGATGAACCAACCCATCAATGATGTGGTGCGTCAGTGGACAGGTGCGACAGGTACGCATGCGTGACAACAATAATGTGACACAACGCTCCAACGACCATAAATCGCAAGACCAAGTTTCGGCCACAACCAACATTGTCACGCATAGCGGCAAGCGTGCCAAAGTTCTGGTCCCTCGGAACTTGTGGAGAAATTGTTCGGCATATCGTCCTCATCTGGTGTATTAGCATGCAAACAACGTTTCGGGCTGGATGATGCTTGCCGTTGTTGGGTGTGAGACTGGGCACCGTCAAATCTATGCCCGGCCATGCACGTGTCGCAACCCAAATTTTCTCCTTGGAATTGCTGGGATTCTAATCAGTCTTCTAATTGTGAGTTCGGAGCTATTCCGGCTCAGCTAACTGGGAAAGTCAATACTTCCGCAGACCTGTAACCAGACATATGCCTGGTTCCTAATACTGGTTCCTGGTTTCCACTGCTTCTTTTGACAAAACAAGATGCTGGATCCTGGTTCTCACTGATTCTTTCGACAAAACAAGACGCTGGATCTTGGTTCCCACTGGTTCTTTCGACAACACAAGACTCTGGATCCTGGTTCCCACTAGTTCTTTCGACAAAACAAGATGCCGGATCTTGGTTCCCACTGGTTATTTTGACAAGACAAGACCCTGCATCTTGGTCCTCATTAGTTCTTTTGACAAAACAAGACCCTGGATCCTGGTTCTCACTGGTTCTTTCGAAAAGACAAAACCCTAGATCCTGGCCCAGTTGCAGACCTAGCAGGTCTGCATTATACCTGTGTCATGACAAGGTATTGATTTTGTTCTTCTGAATTTTTAGTGTCATTAACATTAAAGAACAGCAGATTTGTTTTATGTTATATGAGGAAAAGCCTGAGCAGATAACCAGCAATTTTCTTAGACTTGCTTTTATTAATTTACATTAAGAACAGTACACATTGCTGGACCTAAAAAAGTGGGGAGTGTGAGCAGCAACTGCCGTGAAGAACTCCTGGTAAGGTTCTGGTTTTTGCTGGTTCCTGAGCATAACTTCAGAATGGGTCTTGGTTCTTGCTGAAATTGAATCCCCATCATAAGCCTGAGCTGGATTTTGGTTCTTGCTGGATCACCATGCATATTTCAGGCTGGGTCTTGGTTCTTGCTGGATCCCTCAACCTAATGCCAGGCTGGACCTTGGTTCTTGCTAGGTCCCTATGTCCAATCCAAGCAGGATCTTATCTCCTCTCTTATCTCCCTTATCTTGGTTCTTGCTGGTTCTTTCAGTTTGGTATCAGGCTGGATCCTGGTTCTTGCTGTATCTCTTGTTTTTGTGTCAAGCTGGATCCTGGTTCTTGCTGGATCTTTCGACTTATTGTCAAGCTGGATCCCGGTTCTTGCTGGATCTTTCGACTTATTGCCAGACTGGTTCTTGGGTTCCTCCTGGTTCCGGAACCAGGAACCAGGGACCGGTTCCCGGGAAGGAATCTTGGGAACCAGGCACAAGTCTGCCTATAACCCAAAACTTTTTCCTGGCAGCACCATGAGACAGTGGCAGCTAGAACAGTTTGAAGGGACTTTGTGGATGGGAGTTTTAAGACATGGATCACCATCAAATTATTTGAAGCGAGACGACCAACGCTCATATAGCCCCGACCAACCGCGCGAGGTGGGAACGTAACAACGCCATCTGTAGGAGATGCACCAGCGCCATCTACCCTACACCCGCCCGGCATCCCATGCACCGACATCTCATTCTTATATCTCTGGGTGCAATGGCACGGTATACAGCATCAGGCAATGAACACCACGTGGATACTCCCAACACAGCAGATAGTAGATCCCCAACTAGTGAGATCACTCATCTTTCCGCTGGCGCGGGAGCCGCAGAATAGGCCGGAACTCGCAGGACCGACGGCCGCTGCGCGCGCGGCCACTCCGGCCGCGGTCGGCCGGAGCTCGGCAAGACACTCACCCGGCCGAGGTGATGAGGCCGCAGTTGTTCTCCGGGTTGGCGCGCGTCTTGGCGTGGCAGACCATGCCCACCGCGTCTTGCTGCGCCTGGATGCGTGACGGCACGAAGTCGCCATTCCGCATATAGTCGCTGTTATCAATACTGTGGGAGGGATGTGGCACTGGTAACAGGCATAAAATGCAGATCATGGGTGTTTTTGATGCTGCTTAGTCTGCTGAATCATTCCCAACTGAATAGAAACTTGGTAACCTTCATCATATATGCCTTATTTCATTTATTATTGGAGTTTTGGGTGCACCAACTACTGGGGTAATTGTGTGCCCAATATGGTTTATTTGTAATGGTGCATAAAACTAATAAAACCAAATAATAGATGAAACAAGAAACTTTCTCAACTTCTGCAACATGACATCAACAGTGTTCCCCATCCAACAGTGTCATACAAGAGCAGGGCCTGCCAGTCTTATGTCAAGATGTGCTTGGGCTTCACAGGGGCAAAACTGTTAACTTCTGCCCTCCGCAATATTTTAGGAGATAATGCATGATTGTCTGTAGTGTACAGGTCACACTTCTCCCAATAATATCACATAACTTCAGATCACTGGGGAATCTAGATTTCCCATGACACTGATCAAACCACAATAAATCCTGCCATACCATCATCTAGCTACATCCACAAAATAGACCCTGATCTTTCCAAAAGAACCAATGGAAACCACATGCCTGGGTCTGGTGTTTGCAAATGGACCAGTAGGAATCCAGACTGAGGTGATGTTATACAAACACACACACACAAAAAAACCTGGTAACCAGTAACTGGCATACACAAAAGATACAGTGAGAGCCAGGAAAAAAGATTTTATGTTGATGACAGATCCAATGTGATTCTGCTACCAGGGATCAGTGGAAAAATGGACCACAGGTTTTCAGTTTCCTGAGGGGGTACTTTATTGCCATAAACAAGAGCTGGGGGGGATGTACAGGTCTGATGTCCTCCTTATCACTTTGCAACCCAAAATAATGGAAAAAGAGCCTTTCAAATCCTGTCTTACAGCTAGTTGATGGTTGCACCAGCATTGACCATAATCAAGTCCCTGAAAGGCCACAGTCAGGTGTGTGGATTGGTGGGCATTGGCCTAGGTGAGCATTGCCCAGATTTGGTGTATGGATCAGTAGCATTTAAATAGTCAATATCATTGGATAGCTCTTCTCTTGTCAGCCTGCCAAATGACAATGGGAGAAATCAATATGCTACCTAAAATCAGGACATTGCCACTAGCAGTGTAGGTGTCATTCTTCCTTTCTTCAGAAAGCATGACAAAAAGTCAATAGAAAGTATGACAGTCTTTGCTGCCCACACAGAAGGCTGTACCAAGTAGCATGGCAGTATGCACTTGTAGGTGTACCCAGGTATGTACAGATAAAGTACAGTGCAATCAAGGCCACATCAAACTATCCTTTTCATCAAAAGTCAAGGATACATGTTGAAGTATTTAAAAGGGTATGGCTGTGCAGTGTGAGGGATGATCTTGCAATGTTTTTTTCTATTAAAAACCATACTGCACTGCGAAACTGTGCCTTTCAACAAAACACATGGTGTATAATAATCTCTGAATATTTTATATTTACTTACTATATACTTACTTAATAATTTTAGGTACATTTAATATACCTTAAAACTAGTCTATTAATATAATGTAGCTAAACTCCAGACTATTGCCTATATTTTACTATCACACCCAGGCATCAAGTTACAAACTTTAGTTTCAATTGGCAAACCTGAAAAAAAAATGTTTTACAAATTCATGTCAGCAGCTACATCTGACCCACCAATGACACATCATAATCACTAGGCAAAACAGGTAATGATTGTAGTTTACACTTCTAGGAAAAATATTGTAAAAATAATTATTTTTGGTGCATTCATTCATTTTGCAATCTGCACACCATCCTGCTCATGATGGCTTGATGATACTCATGCAAACCACATATCCAAAAACCACATTATGTTGTGGCAACACCATGCATGATGCTTTCAAATGAGCATGACAGCACTAGTTTGTGTAGACCACCTCCACTATAGAGAAATTCAAATAACAAATAATGTTGTGTACATTGGTATGGTTGACCATTTCCTGGGATTTAACCTAAACCTTATACAATCTATTTCAACATAACCCATCCTGACAGTTACTTCAGGAAAAACCTTATGGGGGCTCCACTCCATGCTCAGCTGATGTGCTCACCAACCAATAATTAGAGCCACCTTTTGATGATCCTGCATGCTGTGAATGCCATCCCCAACATCAGGTTATGCTATTAAATTTCCTAGGGTAAGATGATATAATTTCACTGCTTCTGACTTTCATTAGCATTGCATGATTTACAAAGTTGCTGTATATGCAGTTCAACTGCAAAACAGTGTAACTTCCAAAAATGCTGCAAATGTGTTAAATTCAGCAACGTGGGAGGCCAGTACCTCCCTTATATGCAAATAGCTAGGCCCTGCTTGCACTAAATTATAGCAAACATCCCTGTTGGCCTTAAGGTCCCATCACCACAGCTACGAAATTGCTTCGTCATGCGCCACAAATGCACAAAGCCACAGCATACCTCACTTCATATATGTACCCCGCTTAAGCTACGAAACTTACCATATCATTGTGCTTTCAAGAACCATGACTACGAAAAAGGTCTGGCTTGAGCCTAAGCTCCAGACACAATACACCTGACCGCAAGCAGTGACCACAACACCGGCACCCAATCCAGGAACATCCACTTGTCTGTACCGGGCCAAGCGTCGTTTTGTCAGCAAAAATCTCCAGGCGATTTGTGAACACTCTGTGCGAACCTTTTTCTGACGTCACTGGGAGTCGCTGGCTGCATTATGCAGCCTTGACTGCTTCGGCGGCCCATAACTGTCATCAGATTGGCGTTGGGCCGGTTGATCCGAACTCCACCCCAGGCTACATACGGCCAACTGATCGGTGCGAAGGCTGCGGGCCGACAGCAGCCGGTCACGGCACGGGCACGACCACGCAACAGGCTTCTCTCTTAACAGCTTGGTGAATTAGGACTTCTCTGGGCAGCATGACGGATCCGGTGATCAAGTGGTGACTTACGATCCTGGGAGACCTGTGTTCCATGATCTCCTTCACCAGCAGCTGCAGACCTCGGGTGGCGCACTCTCCCCAGCAGCCCGGCATACCCGTATGCCAAACTCTCCTCCTCCAGTAACGGTTGGCCTATAGGGCAGATCATGACAGGCCCTGGTAGCACACAGCGGAAGGCCCTGGTGCCGCACGGTCATTCTCTAGGGTGGTCGATATCGGAATACCCTGTTGTTGCACTCTCCTCCAGCAGCAGCAGACGTAGGCGCCGTTCTCTCCCTCCCTAGCTTAATTCAGTTTTTAACAACCTACGAAGTGAGTTATACAGGCTTGCATCGGAAGATTTATCGGACACACTCAGGGGAGTCACCTTCTGAAATCGGTTTGGGGATGGGGGAGGGGGGGGGCCTCAACCGATGAAGTTGGCCGCGACTACTCTAAAATCCTGATTTCTCCCTGGATTTCGTCCATTTTGATTTGCATCCCTGGTGTTAAATTAAAACTGAAAAAATGGTCGGTCACAAAATTGCTCTGCTGTTGCGGAACGAGTTCCTATTTGAAGCTGATGTGGCAGTCTAATGATGCTTTATGAGGATGATAATATGGATAACGACGCATTTAGGATCTCCTCGATCAGCATTTCAGACACTTCCTTCAATCATTAGTCCAGTAGTTTATTTCCTGCTCATATACCACATGAGGATTCTCAGAAAAACATTGAGGGGCTCAAGTCAGCATTGGAGGTGGGGGTTAGTCTCCTACTCCAAAGTATGCAAAGTGACACCCCCAGACACAATGCACCTATAAGTTGGCTGTCACACAGGACAACCTGGAGTGCAAAGTTTATGCCATCAAGTTAAAACGCCAAGTTGAAAACAAACACTATGTCATGTAGATAAAACACGGATATTGACGTCAAGTTTCCATCACATATTACGTATGACAATCTTAGATGTATTCAGCGCGGCGGTGGTGCTAAAGGACAATGACAAGCGATCTCACGCATTGGTCGCGCAATATGAGAAGCCATCCTGTGTTGAAGCTAGCCTGCATTTGCGAAGGTGGAAGTCAGAGGTCAGAAACGAATGACCTGTCAGAGGCACGTGTTTCACGCGAGAACACGTCAGCTACAGACACAGGTACGGGCGCCACACTTTCCCCTTCGGCAGCGAAAGACCCGAGACCCGCATTGTCGTCTTCCAGCAGCCACATATCCAAATGAGGCAGTCTACTCCTCCTTCCTCCTCTCGCAGCGGCTGGCCTTGGCACCGCATTTTCCCTCCAACAGACGCAGACACGGGGGTCGCACTCTATGAGCATCAAACCCGGACCCCCCATCTCCATGAGCGCCAGATCCGGGCCCTTAGCTCCAGAGGCGGCAGACTCGAGCTCTGCACCACTCGCCCCTCCAGCAGCTTCAGAAACCGCTGCTGACCGAGCCAAGCCTACATGACTTGCATCATTCGAGAGAACATCTTTTCAAGATCCGCAGGTGAACAGCATGTTAAGACTGTGGTCATCACGCCCCAATCCGATCTAGCCGGTCAGCCCCTCACTTCTTGACAATCTTTGAAAATCTAACTGCCACTGGACTATTGACGGCATGTGAACGCGTGCGAATGACCCCCAGTGACGTCCTGCGGAGGTCGTTGCAAGCAAAAAGGCCATTTCATATGGTCCACAGCACTGTTGGCTGACAACCCCGCGTGCAAGGCTGTGCTGTATTGCCCTCGCGCAAGGGCTATGTGCGGGATAAAGTCACAAATGATTTATTTTCACTTTAATGTCGCCGACGTCGCGGCGACGGTGTGGACATGGTGATGACGGTGATGGCAGCTGCCATCGTTCTGCGAACGAGAGGCTCCAGAAGCCAGGATACCAAACATTGCACCAGCACATGCACCCTCTCGGCCGGTGTACCAGGTGGTCTCACCGCTATGCCCGTGACGCCTCTTCCTCCCCCCCCCCCCCCGCCTCAATCGCTCGCACATAACTGTTTTAGGATCCTGCACGGGGACGTGCTGCCTAGGACTGAAGGGCTAGAGGGCCTGAGCGACCCGACGCCGGCGGCGTAGCGCACAGTTGTGATCAGACCGGAGCTCTGCTTCCGGGTAGCACATAGTGGACGACCCTGGCGCAACACTATCCTACCTCAAGGCAGGTACGGGAAGGCCCCGGTGGTGCACTCTCCCGCAGCAACGGTAGATCCAGGCAGCGTCAGGCCGGAGTGCAGCACTTTCCTCCTCCTCCAACTGCCGCAAGCCACGTACCGCACCATAGCAGCGGCAGATCCAGGCACTGCGCTCCCCTTCTCCAGCAGCAACAGACCCGGTGCCGTAATCAGGCGCTAGACTCTACTCTGCCAGTAGCGGCAGGCCTACGAGTAACGTATTCTGCTCACCCATCAGCGGAAAACTTGCGCGCCACTCTCCCCTCCTCTAGCAGCGTATTGAAACCCCTCATTTTGAATTTGTTGATAACAGGAACCGCATTATATTTTTCCATGGAATTATTTAAAGTCAGGATAGGTCACGGGCCTCAAATGACCTAGTTCAACGCCCTGTTTTTAGGAACATACTGCCTGGCGTAATCCTTGGCGCTTATTCAAACGCAAAAATAAGAGCAGTCTTGTATGATTTCGGTAACCATGACCTTCGGAAGGTCAAACAATGCCACTGACCTTAACTGAGCACCAGTTATCTTCTCCTGAGAAGATATCTAGGTGCACAATGGTTACATGAGAAGGTCTTGTGGCACTTTGGACACCAATTTGGAGTTCCACCTCATTCCGTACTGGGCATAATTTATTGCTATCACTCCCTACCCAACATCCCATTATTGTAATACACGCTCAATTGATTCCTTTTACTCGATCCCCTATCCAAACAAGGTGGGAGCACCTTTGCCATGTCGCGCGACTACACGACTGTCGGCTGCCCCGAGACCAGGCTGCCGCTATCAAGCCCAAAGCAAAATGGCCCTGTGCGACGAGCTATGGACGAAATTTTGGAAGACGAACCCTACCACCACGCGTTTAGCTAATCATGAACACTGTCACTACACGTTCGGCGCTCTACCGAAGTTGGGCTTCCACCACGGCGGTTGGTATTTCTGCGTATCAACGTGCTTCTTTGTGTGAACATTTTACACTTTGCAGCCAGCTGGTTCACAGAAAGGTGATGTCTGTTAACTGCCCCCTTGTTCACTATCTATGTTAAGAGGTGTCACCGATGGTCTAGAAGGCAGTCAAGTATAGTAAAACTCGGATAAATGCACGACACCATTAAGGGAAGTGTTCCACATTTGTATGGGGCTTTGAAATGAAAAGCCGTCTTTGAGATTATTCAGTGTAATTCACAGCCCTGCCCTTCTCGAGATCTGAAGCCCTCTAGCTTCTGAGCTACAAGCCCGCGAAGACACGCAGACTATTTTGGGAAAACTATTCACACAGGCATCCTTGGCGACATCATAATGCCATTCAAATCCTGTCATTCCATTAGCCATGAGGCGATGAAGACTAGGAAACAAAATTATCAAGTCGTTCAGATCTGGTGTTCGGGAGTACAATTTCCAAATATAACGGCCGCCAATTGGCTGGGTGGGGAGGGGAGGAGGGGGTGGGGGGCACACAGGGCCCGTAACGACCGCAAGCGTCCCGCAGGGCTCAAACGGGTCTAGTGGCTTATCACTCGTGCTGCACACCGGGTGCACCTAGCAGGTCTCCGCTTGGGGTGCCTGACCTCTCACGGCGACTCAAGGGGTCAAGGGGCGGCGACGCTGAGCCACGGTGACTCAGGGAGGGAAGAGGTCTCTCTGATTACTTGGCCGGCCGTGTTACAAACGTTGTTTGGCCCGCACAGCCCCGGGGTAGCCCTAGCGGTGACCATCTGACCACCTGGTCTGTGTATTTATTGCATTTTGTTTTAACGACTTCACCTTGTAGTGGAAAGCTGCTGTTAACGATAAAGAAAATAGACAAATACACAAATAAGGCTGCCGAAGTAGTGTTAGGCAATCCCCAAGTTGTACCCCGAGGTGGGTGCGGAGCCCCGCTGCCGAATGCGGAAGTCAAATGGTGTGGAAAATACTTCGCAAACCCCACCACCAACACTTGTAGCAAGGGCAAGGGTGCCCAAGCGGTGGACACGGGTATAAACGTCGGCGGCCGAATCAGGCTACCGTTACGCCGGTTCTTAGCTGTAACATCAAACAAGATAGACGCTCAGAGCAAGGTCTCCGTCTCAGTCCGTTTCAACGGCAATCGGCCTTTGCGAAGATCGGAAGGCCAAAGGACTCTCCAGTTTGACTTTGCTCGCACGCTAACGGAGGGATAGAGGTGAGACTCTCGGATGACAAGGAAATTAGACAGCTATTGGACACACACAAGCCTTCCGTGCGAAGATAGGAAGAAATGTGGATGCCTTTACTGTGCATCCACACGCCTCGCAGGATGCCGCCAAGGATATCATAACCTGTTGAGATATCAGGGGCGTGTATGAAGACGGCACAGTTGAGCGTGCGGCTGAGGCTGGCGTGACGGCGGCGGGGCAAATCAGAAGGCGAGAGAGCGGGAACCTCGTTGACAGGGACGCTGTCATCCTGGACATTTCGCTCAGCAGCAGTGTTTCAAAAAGTGCCCGTAGGTTACCAGTCTGTTCCTGTCAGGCTTTACGCACCAAACCGGGCCAGATGTTACAAATGTCAAACTTTTGGACGCGTAACTGATAAGTGCTGGAAGAATATGCGGTGAGCGAGGTGCGCGGAAACTGGACATCAGTATGCGAATTGCAGAGTCGACACGACATGTGTCAACTGTGGTCAAAGGCACTTATCGTCGTGGTGAAGATGCCCAGCGGTTCTGACGCAGAAAAGCGATCATAGGCATCAGAGTGAGGGAGCGTGTGTTGTTTGGAGAGACCCAGCGCCGACATGAGGCCTCGACCACAGCACCGTCTGGCAGAGACGCACTGATTAACCCAGCACGCAGTCTACCAAATGCGTCATCCGCAGTTGAGACTGTTGCAATTGTATGGCCTGGACGCTTTTAAAACTATGGCAGTAAAGGAGTTTGTGCGACAAATTTTATGCACTTTGCTCCATCGGGCGTCGCTTCCCAGTTGTGCAAAAAACCAATCCCATCGACGAAACGCCTTCTGCGGCAGCACCTGCCCCCACTGAAACCCGCCACGAGATGGCCGAGCCTTCGAATGAAGCTGCCAGCAATCTGGTGATGATGCAGGGTCTGGGGACAACGGATGGACCGTGGTCAGCGTGAGCAGAGGCCCCGCTGCTCTCGTTCCCCTTCAACACTCGCTAGCCCGTCCGGTGTTAACAGCTCGCCTGCCCGCTCATCCACTTCCCCTCCACTAGCCCCGATGAGCTGGGCCTGTGGCTCAGCTAGGAACGAGCCCGGCTGTATCTCCGTCCGCGAGCGGGCCTCCGAATGTCCCGTCCCACACCGGTGTTGGCTCCCGCTTTGCAGCGCACATTGGAACCGGGTGTCCACCCAGTGGCACTGGCCCTTGGAGCTGCGGGGCGTTCGGCCCGATCTACACCTGGGATAGCGGCTCCGGGGGAGTCGAGGGTGGGACTGCCGCGACACCACCGCCTTCCCCGTGGCTGGTGGTTCCGCCCCTCACGCCGGCGACAGGTGTCTGGGGTGGAGCCCGTCTAGTATATGTTCTTTCGCTCAGTCAGCCGTGCTACTACGCGTACCCCGTCATGGCCGGGATCACCGGTTGAGGGTGGAGGCCCGAAGGCCCGACCGAGGAGCAGATCAGACGCCTTCGCAATCGAAGGGTGAGACAGCCCCTCGAGTTCTCCACGCGGATCAGGAGCTAGTGGCCATTTATAAGCTGCTTAGGTACTCTCGTGACCGTTTGACCGAGCTCAGCCAACTTCTTCCCAATCGCTGGCGCTTTCTAAGCCAGCGGCTTAGAAGGCGCCAGCGGTTGGGTGAAAAAACCGCTTGACCGCGCCTGCTTTCGGGGCCCCGTTGTCTTCAGGTGCCCCGAAAACGGGACGTAAGAAATCGTCGTGAAGACGGACTCGTCTCTGTCACATGGTTAGGCCCGGCGCCTGACTAGTCAGACGGATCTGCTCGGCATCCTACGGGGTAAATTTTGACCATAGGTTTAGGCTGGTCCAGCAGCGGGTCTGCCGCTGCTGGGGTGCAGCGGTCGGGCGTGCCGCTGTTGAGAGGAGGGGGAGGGAGGGGGAATGCCATAAGCTGCTAGCGGAGACGGTACGGCGCCATCATTACATCATCACACTATACAATCACATCATTACGTCCGCTATGCAATTGACCCCAGCTTGATGTCCGTCACTTAACAGCCCGCCCCGCATCGAAGTCTCAACACCAGTGACGTCATGTTGACGCAAAGCGAGGATGAAGCGAAGATGGTTTCGCCTACCACATAATGTCTTGACGTAATAACGGGCAGATGAGTTGCGTGTGTTCCTGAGTGGCATTGTTAGGGGGACTCCAGCAAGGGTGAGGGATTTGGGCCAAGTCGGGCTGTACTGATTTGTTCTCTCTCTTCTTTGCGTCTGAATGTGTGGATTGGATTAGTGTAATACACCCCTCGACTCTTCTCAATGATGTCGAATACGGCTTATCCTGAGCATAATCGCGTTTTTCGAAGAATGTGTGTCTGGTCACGCTGCAGCGTCGTAGGAATGGATGTCTTACAAACATGTTGCGAAGATCTTGACACTTTCATTTTGATAACTGTAAAGGAAATGCGAGGAGCTAGGCATTGGCTTTGCAAGTTTTTGTCGTGCAGCTGCCACCTCTTTTAACTTGAATATACCTGTTCACAGAGGGCCATTTATTCTTTGGAGAGCACCCTGCCATCACCTGTACACTAATGTTGAGTTTACCTTCCAAATGTTGGCTTGGACCCAATAATTTTTGCTTATATTTTACAAAAGGGCAGGAAAAAAGTGTGCCATGATGCAAATATTATTTTCATTGATCCTACCACACTGTAACATGGAGGGTTGGGGTGGGAGGCAGCATGCCAGTCAGCAAAAAATCCATTCATTTTGTCAGGTGTCTGCCTATACCCCATGCATCTGGACTTTGTTCCTGCATTGAGGCAAACTCAGGCCAGGGAAAATTGTGCTGAATTTCATGCAATTTCTTTGTGAAAAAATGCTCGAGCTTTCACTGAACCTAACATAATAACATTACATAAAGTCATGTGGGTTTATGGTGGATGCAGATCTGCTTTAGTTCTTACTGATATGTTGGGCATATTAAGCTGCCATTTACTTTGGCAGGGCTGGGACAGGGTAACTTTACCCTGCAACCTCAACAAAACTACCACCAAGTCAGAAAAACTTTGGTATTTGAGAAAAATTGCATGTTTGTTTCCTTTTCTTTGTTCATCAAACTTAAACCCAGACACTTTTTGCCTGCAACATAAATGTATTGATGCTACTGTCTGAGTTTATGGAGAACCTTTTGCAGCAAGCAATGTTTTGTTTGCCACCCAAAGTGGGCTATAAATCTGATAGTGTATTACTTGAAATATTGCTGTCTTGTGGCAAGGTCTCATGCAAATCCAATGATAAAAATTGAATGTCAAGAATTGAATTAAAACCAATCAAATCAAATCAGTCAAGCAATCAAAAGAAAGGTCACAATTAAGGAGAATGTCCATTTTTTTGGCCACAACACTGTTTGGTCAGATTATGTAGATAAATGATATGGACATTAAAGGTCTTGCTGGGATAGATTTTGAATAAAATTCTCTGTTGAACAAATGCATTGCAAGCAAACTAGCAAAAAAAGCCTTACCATGTCATGCAACTATATGAATTTCAGCAGCCCTGTAACCATGCTAACACTATGAAGCCAATGCCCAATGGCCCTCTTTGAAATGCCATTTACAAACACTTCAGGAAATTGAACCCACAGCTACCATTTCATCACATCATAAAAGCTATATATGATGTGATAAAATTGTAACAACTGAGTAGATCAATGATATGGTAAACTTAGCATACCTTGGGCTGTGGTGAACTTTGTACACCTTGGCCATAAGACACACAAAGGTTTGAGAAGTTTAACTGGAAGGCCATAGTGTATGGGTGGGGGGATGACCTAAGGCCCTGATGACCATCTCCATCCCCATCCACTGCACCCTGGCACAGGCTGCATTATGATTCATCAGAATAAAATGGGCTAAACCCAATGAGCAAAAAATTGTAGGTGTGAGGTATATCTGATTGTGCTTCAATTTGCTCCCAAATCATTTACATATCATTATGCCCCTGTATGCTATTGGTACATTCCATGCAGCACAGTAATATCTAGCAGAAACAGGCAATAACTAGCACAAACATGTGATATATGCCTGTTTCCTGTTGGGAATGTCCAACCAAACAGACATCAAGATCATCACCTTGAAAGTCAAGGTCTAGCCCACCAAACCAAAGCAGAGAGAAGAACAGTTTGCTTATTGCAGATTTAGTCCTGTTCCTGAGTGGAACAAAATGTTGCTGAGAGCTGTCATATTTTGGAGACTTGCTCATGACCATCTATACAACCTGACAGTTCTGCATGTTCATATATTTCAGGGCACTGCTGAAGGCAGGGCAAACCGCAGGATGGCATCCCAACTACCGCGAAGGATTATCAAGGTATTCTTCCATACAACTTCCATTTATGTTAGCATGTTTTGTGTAAGGTCATGTAGGTTCACAAATCTCGTGAAAGCCCAGATTCATTGTTTGTGAGCCATTTTGATCCAACTGTGTGTTCCTTTGGCCAATTCTCTGTTGCGTTACTGATGTTTCATATGATTATGCTTCAAGTAGTTATCTTGTCTTGAATGACCTGTGGTTTTAAAATGTTGTAGTTTTAGACAGCATGGTCACATAGATCATAATCCCAACAGTGGCATTGAGAGCCAGTGCAGATCACTTTTTTACACTTGCTGCAACTTTGCTACACCCTTTAATGCAGGCAGAGCTGCAGACCTTGCATGATGGCATGGTACTGTGTGCAGCCTTATGTTAGATGGCTTCATATGTGGAGACATTGTTAGCTGTGTGGTCTGTGCACCAGTGCAGAAAATGTGCTCTCTGCTTACTTACTCTGAAGAATCACTCGTTTTGAGCAGCTGTGTCATGGATGATAAGTGGAGAACAATTGTGTGATTGCATGTAACAGCTGTGGACTGTGTAACATTTGAAATGTGTGAGATGAAATTTGATAGCTTTAAAGCACTTTTAGAGTATTTGGTTCAGAAATGCATTGGACTTGTGAAAACTTGAAAGTATTATTGCATTGCGTCCTGTATGAAGTTCTTGAATTCAGTGAAAAGGCCTTTAACAGCTCAATGATTGAGCAGTATTTTGTCCCAGTATGTGGCCCAATATCTGATCTAATATGTCGCTCTCAATTTTGGCATGAAGTACCAGGATCTTTGTCCAATGGCCATAGTCTATGGCTCATATGATGCATGTCTTCTTCTGCAATTGACTGGTGTGATACCAGAGGTCACAGTTTGTTGCATTGCCACCCCCACCACATGCATGTGTGCAATCTGACCACCATGCATGCCCTGTGATGAGGGTCTGAAAGTTTTAGACTTGTGTGTCTGAAAATTTGGACATGTTAAGAGCCTGAGTCTGTTGGTTGGAAGTCAGCATCAGTTTAGTCACCATATACCTGCCATGCCAAAGTAGAGCCTCCTTGTTTGTTGTGTTATTATGTGCTTGCACTCCTCTGTAATCAAAGTGAAATGTCTTAACAAACATCAGAATGCTTAGTATGTCATGAGTGTCTGAAATTGCAATGCCAAATAATGTGAATACCATTTTAGGGACAGATGTAGCTTTTTCAGAAGATGAATTGAACAGGCTCAGCCTATAAGTTGCCATTGTGTGCCACGTATGCACTTGCACTGTTATTGTTGTATGTTAGATGTGCCTCTGATGTGTGCTGTTTTCTTATTTGATATTTGTGTCATGCTGGCATAAACAGTACATTTCATGTGTGTTTCAACAATTTCACTTGTGGCAGCTAGCCGTCATGCATGTTGAAGTGCTGTTGATGCAGGTGTCATGATAACACTAACAACATCTGATATCTAGCTTGTAATGTCATTATGCTGTTGTGCTTCAGTTCACTCCACTATCAGTATGCATTTTGTTATGTTGCATTTTGTTAATGCCAGCTTCTGCCAGTTTGGCAACCAAGCTTCTGCCCTACAGTTTTACCATCAAACCATTGGACATTAAATGAATCATTCAGTTGCTGCCAGTTTTGCATGACAGCTTTTAGCAAAATGTTGCCCACCACCCATGATGGGAATACACACTTATCAGGTCATATGTGCAAAAATAGTTTTCTGATTAGCATACTGTCTTTCAACTCCCATGTCTGATGTTGGCTGTGCCTTCACTTGCAGCAATATGTGAGGCTTGTATTCGTCCTCATGCAAGCTATCATTAACATCAACATGTAATATGGAAGATGTCGTGGTTTCGTGAAGGTAACGACTTTTCTGAATGGGAGCTGTTGATGAATGTGTGCCATTTGTGTTTGTGCCAGGAGACCCAGCGTCTGATGGCAGAGCCGGTGCCGGGGATCAGTGCCGTGCCCGACGAGCAGAACGCCAGATACTTCCATGTGGTGGTCACAGGTGGGTGTGGACCGACGCTCTGCCCGGTGGCGGCAGTCACCGCGGCCCGGAGGACATTCGGTGCGGATTGCTGTCGAGAAGCAGTGATGCTCGTGAGGTTCTGTGCAGAAATCGACCCTTTGCAATCACTGGAATGGCCTTTGTTACATTTTTGGCCTATGGGATGGCGTGTGCTGATTGGCCGTGTGTATTACTCCCGCCGGCTGTCGTTTTACGACAGTGCGTGACCGCAGCTTGCATGCGATGCACGACAGGTCCGGAGGGCTCGCCGTTCGATGGCGGCGTGTTTAAGTTGGAGCTGTTCCTGCCGGAGGAGTATCCGATGTCGGCGCCGAAAGTGCGCTTCATGACAAAAATCTACCACCCCAACATTGACAAGCTGGGAAGGATCTGTCTAGACATCCTTAAAGGTGGGGATCGCGCGCCGACGTCGCGTGTCCTGTACTGATGACACGTCACTCTTGCGCCGCTGGGGCTGCCGCGACCTCGCGTAACAGCGGGGTGTGGTGTGTCGGCGCCAGCAGCATTGTCTGACCTCGTCCCGTCTTGCCCAGATGGCTTCGAGATCATACCTTGTTGGCCGTCCATGTTGAGTGTGCCTGCACGTTCCTGCCCATCGGGCCTTGCCCAGCTGCCCAGGAACGTTTGCAAAAAGAGACAAAAGTGTGTGGTCGCTCGCCGGCGGGTTCCGCCCGTCTGTTTCTACTGGACCGTGTTGAGGCGGCTAACTGTGGGTGTCTGCGTCCGACAGACAAGTGGTCGCCGGCGCTGCAGATCCGCACCGTACTGCTCTCCATCCAGGCGCTGCTCAGCGCGCCGAATCCGGACGACCCACTGGCCAACGACGTGGCCGAGCTCTGGAAGTGCAACGAGGCCGAAGCAATCCGAAACGCGCGCGACTGGACCCGGCTGTACGCCATGGGCAACAACTGAGCCGCGCCGCCGTAGCAACCAATTGAGGCATCGCCGCAGCCGGGCTTCGGGCGGGCCTCCGGGCCAGCGCCGTGGGGGGGCCAGTCAACGGCGCAGTGGCCGAGCGCGCACGGGCGCGCGGGAACTGGACTCGGGCACACCGCCCATACAGGTGTGAAGCGGAAGGCCGTCGCTCGCGAGGTGTGATGGGACAGGTACTTGTATGTAATTTAGAGGCGTCGGCCTCCACCGACCGGTCGGTGGGCTCGGCGTCGGCACGCGTAATCCAGTCACATTCCTCTGTCGCCCAGGCATTGTTCTGCCGCACTCGCTCCGGCGGCGGCGGCGGCGGCGCGCACTCCGGCCGCCTGGCGCCCGCCCGTGATAGCGGCGGTCGCGTCCTGCTGCACACTTCCGCCGACTCTCCCCGCCTCAGGCCCAACCACGTATCGTTATGCACGGCTGTAACATTCCGCCGACACGCGTCGCGGATGACTGGGAACTCTGGGGAAGACGTGGTGCGCCTCCGCGCGGAACCTAGACAGCTCGACAGCTCTTTTGAGGTCCAAACGTTTGTAGCTGTCGGCGCCTAATTCCATGGGGCGCTTCTTAACCCGTATTGAGCAGAGATATCTGTGGATGGTCCGTTCTCACTCATGTACCAAATAAACATGAACAAGTTAGCCTCGTGACCTTTGGAGCTACCTGCCGCGTTGTAACGCAAACCAAACGGTTACCATGGCTCGGCGACGATGTGTATTCCACGAATACCTGATCCCGTGCGTTCGCACCAAGTGCATGGGTTTTCAGAAGAAAACGATTCCACTATCACACGTACGGTTAAGATTCCTACACGGCACAATTGAAAGTAAAATTTTCGCATACGACAAACTCATGACGTTCTCAATGTCACCAACGGAGTGCACGTTTTCGAAAAACACGACATCGGGTATTTCTACAGTGGTCTCGTTGACACCCCTACCAAGCATGCCGAGCAGGATAATGGGTAAGCGCCGCAGGCGAGGCTTTACTCGATACAATACTAGCATATAAAAATGCGAGCGGCGATCGCGTGGGATTTCACACGCGCTTCACGTGTATTTCGGGCAGACCACAGCAGATTCAGACGCTGCTGTGACCTGCGGCAGCCGCAGCTTACGGTCACCAGTCATCAGGGTCAGGAGGTGGCGGTTCAGCACCTGCCCGCTCCCGCACCCCCTGCGACCTGGAGCGAGCAGAGACGCTCCGCGGCCCGCGCAGATATACCGATCGGGCGGTGAGCTCCCCCACCGTCGCCGCACACCACACACCGCATGGCGGACACACGACCGCTGCGGTCCCGCCGCCGCACAACGGAGATGAGAGCGACTGCGCCGACACGCCGGCCCCACACCGCTCGTCGGTACCGGCGCCCAGCGGCGGGCGCGGCGTGGCGCGGCGCAGCAATGCCACCGGACGCTTGCCAGCCAAAGCCAACGTTGGAGGGGATACTGGTGGAAGCCGACAGTATTTGGGACGCAAGCACTACACAGCCGTCCCTCGCTCGAGGTTCTGCTTGATCTCCTGCGTGTACTGGCCGTAGAAACGCTCCAGCTTCTTGTTGAACTTCATGTTCCTCTCGTTGATGTAGTCGATGTCGGCCTCGTCATCGTGCACGCGGCGACGACTGAATTTTTCTCTCTTCTCGATCCTGCGGCAGATAACAAGAGGATGGTTAGTGGCGTTGTTACTGTCGGGTGGAGTTGAAAGGCGCGCTGACTGCAGAGTTCGTTCCGTTTCCAGGTGAGTGGTGGCCATTGGATACATCACTGACCAAAAATGTCTGATTTACCTGATACGGAAGTGAATATTGAACTTACTGAACAGAAAACATCCACCAATCGAGCCAAGACGCCACATACAAATCATTGCATCCGTTGTTAAAAATGAACAACTTTTACCATGTCCTACCCAAGGCGTTAGAAAGGTCGGGTGGGAGGACCAAAGCCACGCAGTATCATGGCAATCCGTTAACGGCTTTAAAATTCGGTCATATTTTGTGTAGAGACAAGTGGTCAGTCAAGTTTACAGATTATGTAAATGCTCTGCGGCCAGGCTTGATTGAAATGCAGAGCTCAACGCATGTCCACTGTAATTTTCAGGGCCATTGGAACAGCCAATTACAACTTGCTGGCGGACTATAAATCCCGTATTTAAATCGGCACCAGATACGGTTCAGTCACATGGCCGCATCCCAGCGATCACTGCTCATCGGAATCGACCGGCGCCCCGGGCCCCGCAGCCGCTGGAGCCAGCGGTCGGCGGCGGCCGCCGCCACGGCACACGTACTGTCTCTCGACGTCATCGGCCAGGCGGTCCACGGCCTCCTTGGTGTCCTTGTGATGACCGTGGACGATGGAGCCGGCGCCGGCGTAGAAGGCGTCGCCCATCGCCTGTCGCTTCGCCTCGTACTGCTCCATGTCCGGCTTGATGTTCTTCACCAGCCGGTCGTACTGCCTGCAGCAGGGAGGTAGATGGTGGGTCGGCGTGGTAGCGCAGCGAACGGTTTGGATCAAGTGCACTCGCCAAGCGTGGGCGCATGTGACGATGTGCGGTACACAAACCAGCTATCCCAATGCTGAAATATGCTGACACGTCAAGACCAGGGTTGGCATTTCAACTGGCTGAAACCAATCTCTGCCATTTTCCTGTTTTATACTAGTTAAAGCCAGCATAAACTGGCTAAACTGAGAAACTTAATAAGATCTATTTAGTCCATATCCCCACCATTTGGTTGTGATGTTTCCTATCCAGTCAAAACCACAGAAACATGTTGTTACAACAGCATGAGCAGTCTGTAGTAAATCCGTGGTAATTGGAGCACTAAGTAGCATCTGAGCACTCGGGTGTACAGGTGCATTATCCAGCATTTAGTAAACATTAAACACAAATAAAGAAACCAAGTAAACACAACTGAAATATAATGAGTGCAATCAAATTAACTAGTCAACTATCACTATTGACTGAATACTTCAAATTTCATACATCAAAGCAATAAAAGGTCATTGCACAAGTGTGTTGTATGACTGCCCTAGTGACGTGCATATGTACGCTGAAACAGGACCCAACATAGGCATATGGTGATGTGAAAGCCGATGTCCTCGTTACATCCATGTTTTCAATGGTGGACCAAGGAGGGAGCGATCTGGATCAAGGGCCCCACTGGATAGCAGAAGCAATATTTTTTTCGAGTTTCTCCATGAGGTGGCACGGAAAATTGGGTTTAGCCTTCAGAAAACGAGCTGCTGGATCCTCCCTTGCACGTTTCAACAGCAGTTTTCCCATGGATGACATGGTGGCAAACACATACTTGTCTGCCAAGCAGTTTTCTCATTAACATCTAGAAACTGCAGTTGCATGTTCACACCTCAAAAAACTTGTTCACGCCTCAACAAACTGAGGGGTTCTTTACCTCAATCCCACTAAGCATTAGCTAGCGCTCAGATAAGTATGATGTTGACAAACACTGTCTTGTGCAGCACATGCACATAATAGCATCACCTTTCAATCGGTGCCAGCTATTGAACTAGCACGTTGCTTTTGAGCCTTTACGACGCACTCAACTGCTGAGGCTAGATGGTGTCACCTGCCCCCCCCCCCCCCCATTCTGGCAGGAAGGGCGGGCACCGCGGAGAACCGAACTCTATACTTCTGGCTTCCCACACACCCAGTGAGACACTGAAGTGCCCAAACCCTTTTCCTGAAATCTGAACAGAGCTGAAAATCCAGGAATCTTTCAGCTACAAATAGAAATGACTTGCATCATGTTGTTAGTGCTTGAACCTACTCATTGATCCAAATCGTGCATCACACCAACATATTAAGACAATGTGTTTATTGATGTAATGTGATGCCATCAAACAATATAGATGTGTTTGCAAACAGATGCAACTGAGCTGTTTTATGCGGTGTACACACCTATTGTATGCTTTGGGATATAAAATAATATAAATATTATGTAAAAAGGGCCTACATATAACATAAGGGGAACCTCTGTCTAAAATTGGAAGAAATATTTGGATATCATGTATCAACCTTAAACAGAATGCTTCACATTTTAAGACACTGAAGCAAGCATCAGATATGATGTAATGAGCTCATTCAAAACTATTGGCATACTTTTCAAGTGAAAAAGACTACTCAAGACACCTCATACACTGCACAACCTTGGAAGCCAATTGACGGCCGTTATATCTGAAAATCGCGCTTCCACATTACATTTTCTCGGCCTTGATCGCCACATGGCTAATGGAATGGCAGGATTTGAATGACGTTATTATGACACCAGTGGGTGCCGAGGCGACTGAAATACTCTCCATGATATACTTTTCCCAATTTTCACAGGCATCTAGCTCAGAAACTAGAAGGTCTTAAGGAGGGCAGGATTGTGAACAGCACCAAAAGGTCTTCAAGGTGACAATTTCCATTCAAAACCCTACATAAATGTGTGACACTCCCTTTTACAACACAAACTTTTCTGTACAACACACATCCAAACAGGGGCCCCTCACATATCAACTGATCTGAAAGCTGAAAAGAGCGACAAACCTGGCGGTCGGACGCCTCAAAGTTCGAGAAGCCCGGATCGGGGTTGTAGTGTTTGCGCTTGCGGCGGTCCCATTTCAGCGCGTCCTCGGCCGACACGTCCATGTTTCTCTGTCGGTCATAGTCCTTTCCCTGTGGCAGAGCAGTCCTTGGTCAGCAAATGGTACCAGGATCAGACAGCAGCATCGCCGTTCGGAATAGGGAGCAGTCAATCCGTTCACACTGCCACCACATAGCTGTGTACATTGAAGGGATGCACACTGCTGCACTATGCACAACACAGTGACAGCATAGTACCAACAAAGTTCTGATATGATCAGTTATGCTCTACCATTAACCAACATTCAAAATAAAGCAATAAAATATGCCACAACAGTTGACAAAACTGAAACAGACTGACCAAACAAAAGCATTCCAAAACAAGTACCCAGCCATAAAGTGACACCACAAATAATGCCATAATTTTGTATTACCCCATGTGCAAAGAAGCTTAAAACACAACTGGAAGGGAAGCTGGCTATGCAGGTTCTGTGCACATCCCACACTATGGACACATTGGCTCATCACAACACTGCTGTCAAAGTCCCGAGCTGCCTGTCCAGCAGAACTCACCTCCTTCTGGGCCGCGTCACGCTGTTCAGCCTCCTCCAGCTTGAGCTCAGCCCACTCCTGGCGACGCTCCCAGTTCTTGGGCTGGTTCTGGCGGCGGTCCTCCTCCACCACTTCCTGGTGGTTCAGCTTCTGGGCCTCATTACGGCGCGTGTGCAGCTCGCGCAGACGGCGCATACGCTCGGCCATGCGCTGCTTGGGCGTCAGGGTGGCGTCCGCGGACGAAGAGGGCTCCGCAATGTCGGCCATCTTCTTCACTTATACTCTTGCCTGAGGCACACAGAATACAGTACAACAGGTGTCAGAAGGTGTGCTCTTCCCTCAGCTCCATCTTTCTAGGCAACATCAGTTCCATCCTTCCAAGTCAGCTGGCTATAACATTGAGATCAATTCACTAATGCTAGTCACAACACAAGGGTAAGTAAAACATATCCTGCAGTGAAAACTTATCTAATTAAGCCTGAAAGCACACCACAAAGCATCATGCCTAATACAGGCCTGTGGATTTCCGAAACTCATTTAACTTAGCTACCACTGAGCTGAACTGTTTTAAGCCTGCCTCCATTTTCACACCTGATTTTCAATCATCCATATTTTTATGTAGACATTTTGTGCCCAATGGAGTGGTGCACTGCAATGCACAGTCTAATGCATATGTGTATCAGACACACAGCCACAGCTTTCCTCAGAGGACATCAATTTGCCTTGAACTCCTGCAGATTTGGACTAAATCTCTGCAAAAATATGAAAACTGAGTGCAAACTTTGCGACTAAAGTTGAGGATGCTGGCAACATCAACAGCAAATCCCTGTAAAAATATTAAAACTGAGTGCAAACTTAGTGACTGTGATTGTAATGATGTTGGTTACATCAACAGCAGACTGATAATCCATATATTAAGAAATGGTTTATCAGTCAACTCACTTTAATATCAATTAAACACTTTTGCTTTTGGCCTAGTCGTAAACCCGGAGTATCATGTTCATAGTACAAAAACACCAGCAAATACCAAACCTTTTCAGACACAAGTGTGCCAGCATTCCAAAATTCATCCAACAGGTTATGCAGGAGTGTAACTTCATACAAGCAGAATTATATCTCTCTGCGGCAACTGCATTCACAACTGCCATCATGTTGCCTTTTGACCCAGATTCTGACATCTGAACTGCCACACCAACCTGCAAAGCCTCAGGTACCTAGGTGATGCATTAAAATTTGCCCAGGCTGATGCTGATTTGCTAATCTTGATCAAGGGAAAAAGCAACAAGCAGTAAATTGTAGGTCAAGGTGTGATAGCATGACAGATTTAGACACCAGCACCTGACTGTCCAAGTACTAAGATACTACAGTGTACATGCATACATGTGTAAAATCAGTATGTTTATGCACCAACATTTGTGACAGCTTCCCCAGTATATAATATATGTTTAGCATATAAAAGTATCTAAAACTGCAGGTTTGTACATTAGATACCAATTTTTTTAAGTCATGGTTATGAAAACAAAATGAAATATGTCATGCTCTATCAAGCAAAATCTAATAACTGAAATAGTTTTCCCAAGTTTGTTTCAGAAGCATGCAAGACCTAAACCATGGGCAGGCATAATGAGACATTATATACCACACCAAAAGGGCACAGTTAATTGGTTTGCCATGCATGGTACATTTTGACATCTCACTTGTGCAAGCGAGATGCTGTCAAAACTTTTCTCTTGACTTTTTTCTCTCACTTTTCAGATTTGTTTTTTCACAACAACCAGTAAATCATAAGTCGTCACATTTTCAGTCACATTCACAAATACATCAGAAAATAACTCAGCTGGGAGAGCACAAGATAACCTGAGAGCAGCCAAACCACAGGTATATTCAAAATTACCAACACAACAAAGAATCCATGCAGCCCATGTCACTACACTGATGACATAATGTATCATAGATTCTGTGCCTTTTGGTTTACACAGTGACCCAGACAACAAAGATTCTATGTGATGTCTTGCCATGCAGAATCTTTCCTGGATGCATGCAATCTTTTGTTGAAACTTAATCAAAGTGGCATAGAAATGGTGCAACCCCTACCATTATCCAAATCAATTTGTGTGCCCAGGGCCAACAAGCAATACAAATGTTTTGCAATAATGAGAAACTGTAGTACCTGCAAGCAACAATGTGTCTTTAAATGCACAGTTATTGTCACCACAGTCACTAAGTTGAAACAAAAAGCCCGCTGCACAGCTAAAACATCCTGTGAAGATTTTATATGGCATCACATAAAACACTACATCATCAATGCTGTGGATACCCCCCCCACCACGCCTTGTTGAAGGTTACTCAACATGAGGCAAAAAGTATGTTCTGCACAATACACGCCAATCTTTGACTTGACTTCCCACACCTATCATACCAATACCCATACTTCCAAGTGACTACCATTGCCACCAAATCTCACGCTATTCCCCCAGGATCAATCTAACCCTCAACAGCCTTACAGCCTTAGTGTCCAGGCACATCACGACAGCCCGCCTTGAAATCGGCCATTGGATATAGGACATAGGATATTGGGATACGCAACAACACACAACGGAACCCCAGTTGATGCATACCAAAGCTATCTAACGACACATACCAAGGTTTTACACTCGGTGGCAGATGAACGCCGAACTGCGGGACGGCCGCGGAACAACGAACCAAAGCGCCTCGCTGCGCACAACAAACTGGAAATGGGACTGCGTCGAATCTGCTTGCGTCATATTGACATGCGCCAAAGATGCCTACGAAGCTTGGCATGGAGGCATTAGACAGCCTTGCATGGAGAGCATGGAGCACGGTTACGTTCGTCAAGTTAGATCGATATTACACATTCACATTCGCGTGTTACATTCGATCTACTCACCAATTACGATGAAATTTAGATCACAGATAGAGCTGATTATGCCATTGACGAATATGCGAGTCACTAAGTGTGACATCCAACAACAAAGGATCAAAGTTACTTGAGATCAAAGATCTAGGTCGTTCAAGGTCATTGCTTGGTTAACCTTTCTGGGCTCCACAGATTTTGAGCCAATTTGGTTTGTTGATAGAACAAAGCATTTCAACAAATAAAATCACATCTTCCAAATGTGACATTAAAAACCACGTCCTTAAAGAACCATACAAGTTTAAGGTCACTCAAAATCGGACTATCGATTATCTTGATATTTGGTAAAAACATTCACATCGCATGGCTCCACCTAGCCTCCAAATATTACATTGTGACATTCAAACGTTCGTCTTCCACAGGCATTCAAGTCTTGGAAATGACGGCCTCGCACGTGTTAACATTTATACATTCCATGTCAGTAAAATGGCAGAGAAACTCCTTTGATCACCTTGAAATTTGGCAAAAATGTGGACCATGTAACTAGAAAGCTTTTCACCGAGTGGCAATTTGTGACATTTCCATTCACGCATTCCGGAGGCTCTCAAACAATGGGATATATGACATATCTCTAAAACGACACAAATGGCGTCGTAATATGCCACCAAGACCAAGGAATGCTGCACAATGCATCTTCTATGATGTAATTAGCCGTTGCCTCTCATATGATGTGTCATATGACGGCACGGCATGCAGAATGTGACGTACAAATAAAAAATGTCACATTCGATGTCGGTTTTCATACATTCGTGGACTCCTCTGCTTGTTTTGAAATTCATCACAAATAATCAACTTACATGGTTTGACCTAGCCACCAAATATTATAGTGTGACATTCCAGCGTTCGTTTTCCAGAGGCATTCGAATCTTGAAAATGACAGCCTCGCACGTGTTAACATATGCACATTGCATGTCAGCTAAATGCATGAGAGACTCCTTCGATCACCTTGAAATTCGCCACAAATGTATACAATACATATATACAGTTTTTCATCAAGTGGCAATTTGTGACATTCGAATTTACGCATTCCGGAGGCTGTCAACAGTGGGATATATGGCATATCTCTAAAACGACACGTACAACGCCGTAGTATGCTACCAAGGCCTAAGAATGGTATACAGTGCTTCCTGTGAGATGTATTTGTCCACTGTACCCCACTTGGCGTGCCATATGACAGTATGGCATGCAAAATGTGACATCTAAGTGAAGTATATTACACGAAAGCGCAAGGACGACCCCCAGTGGCAGCCAGCAGACCAGAATTAGGTTTGGTGCAGACGAAACCCGAGGGCCAACCGTCCTACTTACTACAGCCGCACCCGATTTCCACCCACCATCTTCCAAGCCAGAAAAGCTCCCAGCAAAAGCCTGGCTGAAGAACAGGCTGACAACAGGTCCTACCAATCTTCGGGACTGCAGCTGCCAGCTGGATCCGAATCCAGGCCCCATCCGTCGCCAGAGGCTAGCGTTCTCAAGATTCCGGCTGGAGCTATGGCGTATCTGGATGAAAACGATTGGCTTAATGACGATGTCATCAATAGCTACATGGCGGTCCTAGCGTCTGGCTCCGGGGGAAAAGTGCTGGCCTTCGATTTGTACTGGCTGCCGGCCATGCGTTTGCACCCCACTGAGGACCACACGCGCCGAGTACTGCAGGAGCACGCGGCAGGCAACGCCAAAGTCTGGCTGATGCCTTACAACCGAAGCGGCAGTCACTGGGCGCTGATCGTGGTTCTCCATGCTGCCAAGCGAATATGACACCTGGACTCCATGGGCTTTGAACCTCAAGTGCATTTGATCGGGCTGGCTCAGCACCTGATTCAAGATGCCCATCAGCCAGAAACTTATCAAGCCAGACGTTTGAACTGGTGTGACTGGCGTCTGGTCTTACCCCGAAATGTGCCACGCCAGGCCGATTCACACTCATGCGGTGTGCACGTGTGCTGGCACGCCCGCGCGGCAGCGACCGGGACCACCAGCGGCACCCTGCTGAACGTGACACACATGCGACAAGAGATTCGCCACGCGCTTCTCAGTGTACGTTTGCGTGGTTTTGTTTGGCAGCATATTTTGAAGAGCCGACGTGTTTTGAGATATCTTGAAGCTTCGCTGTAGGAACTTAATTTCCGACGGCCCCCTCTTTCACTTCACATATGATCATGCTAACTTCCCTCCCGTTCCCACAATTATTTACACGCTTCTCGTTGATAGCCGTGGTTATGGCAGGTCATTGACGATTATTGATCACAGGCTGCCAGGGAAATCGACACCAAAAGTTACCTTTTATTTGGTACCTTTGTGTTTAAAAGGATTCTCCAGTACACATATCTCAGTCAGGCATCTGAGAGAAAAAATGTCAATGATTGTTGGACAGTGATATTGTGAGACATGTGTACACGCACAGTGACTAAATAATATTAACAAGATACGTCTTCTGCTGCAGGCTCGCAAGCCCCCAAAACCGGTTTGGATCGGCTGGAATTATCTCCAAGGCGACGCGCGGCAGTGGTGTCCTTCCATTGGATATCATATTTGACCTACCACGACGCCTGAGCGTTCAGGGCTACATGAAAAAAACTGAGAAGATTCATTGGATGAGCCTACGAAAAGGAGCTCGGGTTCATGACATGCTCCCTAGGTATTAAATGCTCTTTTTGAAACGGTCAAAACTGTGTAAAACTGTGTCAATGAGAATGTAAATGTCTATGTAATCGAGAGTACATGCCAAACAATGCTTACCTGTCGAATAATTTGTAGGGGGCTTCGAGCTACCTGATGCAAGAGAACAAAGCGATTTTCCCTCACTAATCGCGCGCCAAATCGGCTCATCCTTAATAAGTGCGATAGGCATGCAAGACAGAGTGTGGAAGGAGAAAACCACAAATATGCAATTGGCTATGTTGTTAGGATAGAGAATACCGGAACACATGGTCAACAATGACCTGTTATTTACAACCATAATTTATTCCAGGGGGAGGCAGACGACTTTTTGTCGGTTGCCGTCACCTCCGAGAGAAACGTGGACAACTTGGCTCGCACAGCGCTGGCCGCGGCTCGCTTTGAGCGTCCCCAAGCGGGCCGCTTCCCCAATCATAGACGCATTTCAGCAGGTTATTGGTCGTCTAAGCTCACAAGACAGATCCTACGTTGTTGAACCGAGAAAGATCTGGCGGGCAAGGACCCGAGTAAAGCAAGAGGCAGCACACGAGAACACAGACGGCTTCTTGGCGTCAAGATCGACCAGTTTATCCTTTGATCGACGGAAAGACAAAAATGTGTGGACCGCACCACCGTTACTGAAGCTGAGGAGCACGGCATTGCCCTCACGGAGCCGGGAGAGAGGTGCGTGAAACGTTTCACTCCGCAGTCCGAGAGAGCCATTGACGTGCTGAAGGAGCTATCCTCGACCTGTCTTCGGCTGGGCGAAGGAGTAAAGGTCTTGGGCTATGGCGGAACGGCTGTGAACACTAGCACAACTAATGGAGTGTGTCGACTCTTCGAGCTCGTATCGGGGACTCCAGTTCCGTGGTTCACCTGCCAGTTGCATGCCAAATGAACTGAACCTGGGCTACGCTCTGCTCACCCTGGACGGGACCACCTCAGGGTCACGGGTCTTTAACAGAATCCATCGGCAAGAAGTGTGCTACCGATGTTTGGCAGCGTGAGGTGGTGGTATTCGACGCCGTCCCTGGGTTCGTGGAAGAAATCCCATACACTGTGGCGCGCCAACACAGCCACAACCAGGAGCACCTGCACCGCCTGGCTCGTGCCGTCCAAAATGGCGCCGTTTTGGACCAGGCAGCCAGCTTTGCCCACTGCGTTCCAGTCTGGTTCACGGTGCGCCAGAACAGCGACTGCACTTTCGGCGCGAAGAACCTGCTCCGCAGTGTCGAGCTGTTCTGCCTGCTGTCGCCGAACATCCAGACCATCGTCCGGCCGATGCTGCAGAGGAACAGCTACTGGGCCCACCCCGAGCAGCTATTGCACGCCATGGCTTCCGACGACAGCCGGCAGATACGGGAGAAGGCGGTCCGTCTCATTCGTGCCGCGCGTCTACGGGGGACGCGGGCCGACAGGAGCTCCAAACGTCCTAATGTGAACTTCGGAGCTGATGGGCACGCGGACGTCATCGACTGGAGCTCAGTGGAGGTGGCCGAACCACCGCTGCTGCGAGACATCAGCGATGGGGACCTGCATGAGATCGTCAAAGCCCCAGCCGTCCTCCCGCCGTATTCAGTAAACACCCAGGCCGTAGAGAGGGCCGTCGGGTCGGTGACGGAAGCCTGGTCTTCGGTGCTGGGCAGGGGGTCGAGGCACCGCCTCACCAGAGCGAGGCTGAAACACCGGCACATCATCCCGGTCTTCAACTCGCAGCAGGACTTGCGCCCCTCTGATGCACGGTACCAGTACCGGCCTGGGATACTATATGCATTACAAGTTTCAAGTTCATCTTAGCATATCCAAATAACTACAGTAACACTAAGCAGCATGTATACACTGCATCTTATGCCCTTTCATTTATTCGCTTGTCATGGAAGGATATTAAGATTGATGTAGAAAACGAGGCTGTCACGATTTTTACACATTTTACAGATACTTTTACTTCTCTTCAGCCGTCAAAAGCCTATTTGTCAGCGTGTACATGCTGTCCTACCTCGAAACCTATTTCATTTTAATCCATGTCTTGGTTGTGTTTTAACACAACACCTTTCTAAAAAAATCCGTTCATTCCACAGATGCCTAACCTAGTAATTAAGCGTTTCCACGGAGCCTCTCAAGTCCACATCGACCGGGTGACTGCGGCTTGTCGACGAGTGGCAGTGACTCGGCTGTCCTGCTCCACCGCCACAACCTCGCCCATTCCGTTAATAACACTCGTCTTGCGTCTGCCAATGCCGGCCTCAGCTGAGTCGGCGCCAGGAGTTGCCGCACTTTGGACTTCAATGAATATACGGGTTTTTGCCTTTGTAAATCTGATTAAGAAGCGCTGAATATAGCTTTCGCATGCAGTCTTGTGTTATTTCCATTGTAACCAATAGTCTACCCTAAAACATGGCTTCATGATCGTTTACAGTTCTCATCATAGTCATAAAACATGATAGCTCGCTTCCGAAACATGGGCGATATATGTGGCGCTACCATCGACAGGTCCAGAAAATTGTCTTTTAGTAAATCGGCTCTCGCTCAATTTGTATTGCTTTTGCTCAAAGAGCTCCTCGGATTTGATGTTCTTTATCATTCAGCGCCACTTTTTATCGTACTCCAGTGCAATTTTGTGGTTGATGATGCGCCCTAATGCTGATATCTGTCTCTGTGTTAAACCACGGAACTATTTCACATACTCGCCTGCACCAGCTACGTCCCTAACAAGTCATCCGTAGTATGCTATAGTCGATGGTTTAATGCAGTATGCCTTTTCCACGTTCGTTAAATAGGGACGGTTACTCGTGGCCCGCCACTACTTTATTCACGTGAAACATATTAGCGTCACTACGCGTGCATGCATACATACATACACACACGTACACACACACAAACACACACACACACGCACACACATGTATATATATATATATATATATATATATATATATATATATATATATATATATATATAATTTGCAAACCAGATGCGAGACAATTGGGGAAAACCGCGGAGCACAACTCGACGCTGCTAATGGTCGAAGCCAACTGTGCTGATTTGCTGATGAGGGAGCGCACATCATTTTCAGCGTCCGTTCTCCGTAAATCGATCCAGTTAGACACACAAACCCGCTTTACAGCAACGATTGCTGTTGCCTGTTGCGCAACATCCCACTAGCCCGTATATGAAGCCGTAGTATAGAAGCCATGCTTCGTGTTCCAAAATATTGTAGGCTAATGTCTAAACACATAACAGTGACAACCGAAACGCACCAGCCTTGTAACCAACACATTCTTGAAATCAATTAGCTAAAATCTTGCAACGCGCTAAGCGCGCCTACATACCAGTAGAACACTCCGGCAGAATCATCACGGTTAGGGGACATGCATGCCAGGGCACAGCTTCACCACGCACGTTATATTGTTCGAGTCTAATGCTGTTCAGCATTGTCGCCTCACCTCAACCCTCCATTCGACTGGTGCGGCAATATCAGCGCGCTGATGTCACCAGCCGGGTATGGTAAGGCAATCTCCCTAATGCAGCGGTGGAGAGGTCTATCACATATTGGCGTGATCGGTGTAAAAGCGAGCTGGGCCCACAACCCGACGCCCAACGCGCTCCTGTCGTGGCCTCTTTCAGAGCCGGATGCAGCACCGGAGCTGCCGGATGACGAGGCAGCTTCTTTAGTATTTCGGTAGCAGCTCCGGGTCTCCTGAAATACAAGGCAAGTGTCGGTTTTAAGGGCAAATGCAACGTCAAATAAGTGATTGCCATGAGTCCCGGTTTACATAACGCGGACTGATATGCTAGGGGAGGGGCGGGAGGGGGTTGATGTGACCCTCTGCCGTTTCCCAAACTAAGAACGGTAGAGCCTCGCATGAAAAATGGTGGATAGGTATCAGTAAGGTCTTCCGGTTAGTGACTTCATGTTACTAGATCAATAACTGATCAGGCTAGGCCGGGTCAAGGTCGATCTTTCCTGAAAATCAAACCACCTTAATTTATACACGAATATTTTCAAACCGACTACGGTAATAACATAGGACTCAGACAAAGGAACTGTTCCACATTTGTATGCACTTTTGAACCGAAACAGCCATTTTGAAGAGCATTCGCTGCAGTTCACAGCCCTGTCCTTAAGACCTAAACCCTGCTAGATTCTGAGTTATACGCCCGCGAAGATGTGCATATTTTTGTGCAGACTACTTCAAGGTCACCCAGGCATTCATGACGCCATGATAACGTCATTCAAATCCTATCATTCCATTGGTCACGCGGTGATCAAACCCAACGACATATTTGTCGAGTCGTTCACACCTGGTGTTTGTGAACAAAATTTCCAGATATAACGGACGTCAATTGACTGTCATCAATATTGTGTAACGTACGATGACGCGATAAACAATTGCGTATTGCTGAGCATATTTACTAAGGGGGGAAATTGTGTTGTTCAGAACAGTCGTTTCCACTTAAAGAACACCAATACTTATAAGTGAGCTTATTTCATCATGCCTGATGCCTGATGCCTGCTTCAATATCTTCAAATGTGAACCATTGCCAGTGGTGAAACAGTTTTGGCCCGGGACGCACGATAAGCGGATTTGTCAGTTGCCGCCACCCGCCAGCGCCGGCCGTGGATCGTCCTAAAAAACGTGTTCCTAAAAAAGGCGTCGCTTTCAAGAAGCCAGCGTTGGTAGATACACGCTTTTGGTTTTAAAACACGTGCAATGAATGCCCCAAAGGCCACCGCAATTGTTCGACATGTCAGAGATGTCGTTTAACAATCTTACGGCGGGACTAGATCGACCTTCCCCCGCTATCAGGGCGAAGGTTTGGCACATTGGGAAATATACGTGTGATAAGTTTGCAGAGGTTTAACATATACTGTCTGTTTTGTCGAGAAGGCAGCGAAGCAGCAGATGGAAATGACTAACGACGGCAATAATTTTGTCAAAACAGCACACTGATGATGCCATCAAAATCCCTCTATCTTTCACTCTCCCTTAGCATGGTCCTAAACGAACCGGCGAGGAAGGCATCTTGGACGCGGAAGATATGGCAAGCCGAGGAGATGAAGTCGTAGTAGCACAGGCTGAACGCAGGAACCGAATCCTCGTTCTGGCAGTTCGTTGCAGCGTCCATCTGGAGTTTCAAGTTCTGGGGGAAGGGAGAAGAGAGGTCAGACGGGGCATTTGACAACCGGAGCCGTGCACGTAGTTGCCTAACGAGCGGAGCGTTACAAATTAATTCATTGAAACGTTGAAAGCTTCCTAACAGCTTAAAAGTTTTAATGTAGTCACATCACTAGTGCAGACACCCTTTTCGGCATGGAAGTGTTTTTCGTTGTGCGATTGCGTTAGTTTGTGCTAGTTAGGCCTCTCCATAATGACGGCAGATGGGGCTACCTTCTTACCTTTTCATGTCCGTCGAATTGTTTCAGCTGTACGATCAAAGTGCTTGCGTTAAACTTGCCATTGGCTATAGCACCAATCGACTCATACACACAATGAATGAACTTGTCCACTCGCTGGGGCAGCGGTAGTTCCTCTTTGGGCACGATCTCTTCGCCTGGCTCCTCGACGGCGGCCCCGGAGCCCTCCTCGAGTCCGCTGCCCTCCGAGACCTCCTCAGTCACCTCCTCGGGGTGAGTGGTTAGGTCGTGGTGACGCGCGCTTCTCTTTTTCTTCAGAGACGCGTACTGCACGGGAACGTCGTGCACGTCCTTGCAAAGGTTCATGGCGTCGAGCACCTGCGGACATAACCGGTTGGATAGCATGTGGACCTGCCAGCCTAGTCACATTTAACCCGCGGACATAGCCGGTTGGAAAGCATGCTGACCTGCCAGCCTATTCACATTTAACCTGTGTGATTGCTAATGAAATTTCGCTGGAGATCTGCGCTTTGGAAGCTGGTCTACGTGAGTGCTCTTGCGTATAGTTATGCAAGTTGACAATAAACATTTCGGTGCATGAAATGCAATTTGTGCGTGAAGGCGTGCAGAGGCGTATTTTCATCTGAGCTTCTGCCGTTATAAAGAAGGACGAGGACATGAGAAAGTAGCCCCACGACGCGTTTGAAAACCTGTCGGCCCAACACTGCACCTCGGATGACGACAAGCTTCCTCATGCTGCAGCGCTACCAATGTTTCACCCTGCAGATTTCGACGCAGCAGGTCTCACGGCATCGCATCACGGCGGCGTGCACTGACGTCCCGCGGCGCCGCCTGTCGTCTCACCCGGGGTGAAGGCCTGAGGTCGTCCAGACACTGGGTCTGCTGGAGGCCGACATCCAGCGCGCGGTCCGGTTCCTCGCGCTCCAGCCGCTTGTATAGGCAGTTGGCCTCCAGCAGTGTGTCACGACATACGTAGTAGAAGTTCTGCTTCTGCTCTACGCTCAGGTTTTCGGGCGTGTGGTACAGGCAGGCGCGCGACGCCACCTGCACGTCGCGTTCAAACGGAGCCGGGAAGCCCAGTGCCGAGATCTCGGCCTCCAGCTGACGGCGATAGTTGACATTGCCGTCAGTTCAGGCGAGGTTATTGCGGTTACATTCACAAATACCTCCGTGCTTTGCATGACCTTCACATTTCAACCTGCTCACAATTCATAAACCAGCGCGGTAATGTATACTCATCTCAGCTGTTCGCCCCAGAATAAATGGTGATTTACAGCAACAAAGAAGTGTAACACGTGCCTGATGTCTTGCATGAGGGTTTGCAGGCGGCTAAGCTGTTTCGCAGCCTCGTGCCTGAGCCTAAGCCTTTTGATGTTTTTTCTTGGCTCGCGACAATTTTAAGTTATCCTGTTAATCGAGTGGTATACTGGTCTGGACGGTCTGAAAAAATGGTTGCTAATCCATCGATTGTCCTGTTTTGAGTGTGAACTTAGTAAGCAGCTAACTGGTGAAGTGAGACAAGCTTTCCGCTTGGTTTGTGATTCTCTGTGAGATTGATCCACCTAGAACACACTGGGATGACAAATTTTCCTGAGAATTACTGGTTAGGTCGTGTTAGCCGGTGACTGTGAAGTATGTTGCCAGGATACTTACCTGGCGTAAAAGAAGAAGCTGGAAGTGGAATAGAACAATGCTGGAATATTGATTCCATTGTGGATTGGTGCAGCAGATGTGTTGGTAAGAAAAGTGCCACAGTTTTTCATCTCAGTTCGTCTCGTTTTATAGATCTGGCATCCACAAATATGAAGGATGCCAGATTTATCAATGGTGCAGCCAGGTATCAAAACTATGGGATGCTGGTTACCCCATTTGTCATATCCCACGGTGATACCAATATCCCAGTTAAGAGTAGTGCCCGGTTGAAACGAAGAGCTTTACACCCAAGTAAAAGGCAAAGCCAATTATAGCAATGCACTTGTGCAGCTACGAAACATCTGCTTCCATTACAGTCACTTTGCTTGACGACCACCGGCCTGCATTAAGACAGACGCGCCGCAGGCACACCACCTTTAAAGGGAGTGTTTAAGAGAATGTTGAGAGAGAAAACAACAAACGTGCACCTCAAATGTTAGCCAGAGCGCTTTCTATGTCGATGCGGCCCCCTCCCCCCCCCCCCCCCCGCTGAATCGATTAGGGCCTCTATGTTGGTCAGGAATCAACAACACCAAGCGGCTCCGTGTCGGTCTGGATTTGAAAGCTCCTTTTCCATGCGGGAAGAAAGCCAGGATCTACGACTTACATTGGCCGGAGCCCTGGGACAATGAGGGTCGCCCTGTGTCGGCGGTCAGAGGTCTACAGTGACAAATAGGGGTTCCTGTGTTGGCAAGGAGCCCCGTGTCGGATAGAAGTACTGTCTGAGAGGGCCCGAAATGGGACCGAAGGGCCTCTCGGGGCTGATGATCAAGGGCCCGACTGGAGGGGCCGAAGAGCTGGCTGCTGTAGGTCACGTTAAGGATATCCGCCCGTAGTGCCGTGACCTCAAATATTAGTCAAAGTGACTCTTGCGCCGATTGGCGATCCCTGGGGCAATGCAGGCCCCCATTTCGTCCAAAGACCGCCAACACCGAACAGTCGGCTCCGCGCTCCGTTTCGGCTTGAGACTTGGGAGCCCATTTCCAAAGCAGGGACAGGGCCGGGGCCCGCGATTTCCATTGGCCGGGCTATTCTGCCCTGAGAGACACCGGTTATGCTGATAGACGCCTGATAGGCATCAGCTCTGAGAGGGGTTTATTGCCGCCTCTCCGAGCTGTTTTGACCTGCTGAGTGTGTCCTTCAAACTAGACATGTTGCCAATGGTTATCTCCGCCGTACCTATTTGGCTTGCTGAGTGGTTCATTACGAGAGCAGCAGCGTTCAGCCGCCGCCCGGCAGACTCTTGGCTGCGGGTTACCAAATCCAAGATCTCACAAAGCTAGGCTGAGATGTTGTGGAGGCATGGTTGACATTGGTGTGCGATGTCTCAAGTTCGGGCAGAATTCAGCTCGGAAATAATGGTATCATCGAGATGTTCAGGAAAGTTAGCAACGCATGATTCATGTACAGAGGAATGGTATGAGCCTGCAGTGATGCCATTGAGAGTCGCTGGGGCAAAACATAATGGAGTACGATCCCCAGCCCGAAGCACACTGCATGAACTCACCAGCAACGGTCGGTGCCCGAGCCTCCCTCACTCACCCTGTCCTTGATAAATTGTCCGGCGTCATCGACGTACCCCATCTTTTCGGACATGCAGTCTCGGATGCCCAGTTTAAACCTCAGGAGTGGGCTGCCGGGACTACGGGACGTGTCCGGGCTGTCCTCTGGGGAACGGGCGACACCTCTGAACGCTTCAGGAATGCGCGAGGGAAGCGAAGCACACTGGTAGATTGCTTATAGATTTGACGCGCGGGAGCCCAACATTGAGCTTCTACTGTCCGACATTGCGATCTGGTTCACAAGGTGACAGCTCGGCATGGGATTGCTCAGGGGCTGGCAGCTCGGTATGGGACTGCTCAGCGGCTGACAGCTCGGTGTGGGACTGCTCAGCGGCTGACAGCTCGGCGTGGGACTGCTCAGGGGCTGACAGCTCGGCGTGGGACTGCTCAGGGGCTGACAGCTCGGTGTGGGACTGCTCAGCGGCTGACAGCTCGGCGTGGGACTGCTCAGGGGCTGACAGCTCGGTGTGGGACTGCTCAGCGGCTGACAGCTCGGTGTGGGACTGCTCAGCGGCTGACAGCTCGGCGTGGGACTGCTCAGCGGCTGACAGCTCGGTGTGGGACTGCTCTCGGCGGCTGACAGCTCGGCGTGAGACTGCTCGGCGGCTGACAGCTCGGCATGGGACTGTTCAGGGTCTGACAGCTCGGCATGGGGCTAATAGCTGGACATGGAACTGCTCACGCCGTAACAGTTCGGTGTGGGGCTAGCCATAAGCTTACAGCTAGACATGACACTGTTTAGACGCAGACTGTTCAACATGACACTGTTTAAGGGCTGGTGGTTGAACATGGGCCTGCTCACGTGTTCCTTAGGTGGGGATGTAGCAACTCAGGTAGCCGGTTTACATGAACGCACCCGGAACTGATGGGTGGACTGCCTGACTAGGCATAGCCCACGGGCTGGCACTTTGACGCGGTACAACAGACACGAGCGGTCAACGTGACAAGGCACTACTCACAGGCGGAAAAGGTGCTTCTCACGGGCGGACAAGGTTCTACTCACGGGCGGACAAGGTGCTACTCACAGACGGACAAGGTACTACTCACGGGCGGACAAGGTGCTACTCAGGGGTGAGCACGGTACTTTTCACGGGCGGACAAGGCTCTACTCACGGGCGGACAGTTCGGCCTCGAGCCCGTCCAGATCTTCAAAGTTGCTATGGACCTTATCCAGACATTCATCGGTGATCGCTTTGACCCGGGCTGGGAGATGATACTCCTCTGGCACGCACTCCGGGTCGCGGAGAGGCTCGAGCCCACCGAAGCTGAAAAGCGCGTTCTTCTCTCCGGGTGGCGTGGAGTCTTCTGCTGCTCAGCACATAGAAACAGCGGTCAGACACAGCGTGGGAACGAGAACAGCGGTCAGACGCAGCATCGGAACGGCAACAGCGGTTAGACGCAGCGTGGGAACGGCAATAGTGGTCAGACGCAGCACTGTAACGGCAACAGCGGTCAGACCCAGCATGGGAACGGCAACAGCGGAGACAATTGGGCCGATGTTCATCTAGTCTATCTATATATATATATATATATATATATATATATATATATATATATATATATATATATATCGATTTAGCCCCCATGTACGATGGTAAACACACATGTCCTAACTCCGTCCTATAAACAGTGGAACATTGCTACGACGCAGGGCGCGAAGCTGCTTCCCGTACCATAGACGGCGACGACTCCGGCGCACAGAACGCTGATCACGATGGCCTTCATGGTGCTAGCCGGCGGCGCACTCGCTTCTGTTGCAGCCGCCCGTCGCTCCCTGCTTTATAGTTTTCCACCGAGAGGCAGCCCGGGGCGGCTCGGCTAACGGGAGGTTGGCTGGCGCCGGGTGAACGTACTGGCTTCGCGGCCCGCGCCTGGCCGGCAGCCGGCTGCGACGCCACGGCAGACGGCGGCGCCGCTCGGCCAGCTCTCCTCGGCCATCGACACCGACACCGGTGTGGTCGACTTCGCCGACAGTCGTCACAGTCGACTGTGCGCACAAGTATCATCCGCAAAGCAAGTGCCGAGAATGCCGCGGTCGGATCTTTCGGGTCAGTGTCTGCGAGCAGTGAGCGCCTAAAGACAAAGATACATCCTGTCGAGAGGTCGCTTTCCAGACAAGAGGAGGAGGCGGGGGTTTTGTAACTGGGCAGTCTTATAAGTGGCATCGCATCTAAACACATCCGAAATTCCCGACAAATTGCGTTTACCTGATAAACTGGACGGCATCTCATCGCCACGCAGATCATCCCATGAGAACCACCTATGTGCCGGGGTCAGTATTCAAGCAACGAGTTATGCTCAACGGGAGCTCAGGTGACGAGTCCATTCCAGGGAATAGCTCACGTGGATAAATGCAAAAATAGAAATATCTTTAATTAGGGGGTCTCAAATGAGCCAAATCGCGAATCAGACAAATCAGATGTCCGTGCATGTGTTTTCGCATACTTGTGTTGAATTGGTGGATCCATATGGCTAATTCAGATACATACCTATCATTGTTTAGTAGCCTTAGCTTAACCATTACCATTAGTCATCGATAAGGCATGTTCAAAACACCAGCTGCTCCGCAGTCTTTTTCGCTAGGGCAATATCATTCCCTCATAAACTGTCGGTTCAAATCAGTAGTATCCACCCTATGATATTAGTGATAACTTGTCGCATCTCAAACATGACGCGGTTGCATTTTGTGCACAGCAATGAAAGGTGAGTGCTTCTTGCAACAATTGTTCTACTCTGAGTTGCCGATTGACATAACTCACGATTTTATCATTGATAAAAACAGCCTTTACTGTGGCAACAGGTGCCCGTCTTATTGCCAGAGAGTGGGAATATTTATTTCAAACTCCTCATGCTTGCATCACCGACCGCCTTCATAATACAGGTTTGGTGAAACGAGCAAACGTAGCTCTAGAGAAGCAATGACCTGTCATGCTGCATGCCTGGGTTAGCAAACTGCCAACGGCCTAAAGCGACTTGGTCGGATCGTCTGAATCACACCAGACAGGCTTCCGTAGCAATAGCGGCTTTTCATGATAACCTCGCACGCCTCTCTCATCTCCTTCACAACATGCTTCGTGAAGGTCTCATGCTCCCTTCATAACATGACTACCACTCGCTCCACCCTTTACGCGTCACCATAAGAGCACGATGGCGACGACACTCATCAGTCACTTGGGTGTCCATACTGCCACAAGCCGCCCTCGAGCAGGAAAGGGCGTGCGGGACGCATCCACAGCACAGGCGGTGTCACCCAGTCGACTCTGGCAGGCGCAATCTCGGCTCAGAGGGGCTCCGTCCGTCCGCATGCCACTACATGGCCGCGTCCTGTTCGGGAAGGCACGCGAGGACCCTGACCTTGGGTTGTCTTTGGGTGACTCCACAAACACTGGCCTATCGTCTGCGAGAACAGTGCCGCCGACACAGCCGCAAAAGATGGCAGGCACCGTTGGTCGAGTCGAATCATGCATACACACGGTGTGGAAACTGCACTTAGTCGACGACTCAAACACGTCTTAGACCTACGGCGCTCCTAAGTGTTATCCCCATAGACCCTGCCGGTGCATCCGTCTTCCCTTCAGCAGATTCTTCCGCCTTCGTTCGTCTCATCCGGACAGACTCTGATGTCTACGTTTGTCTCGTCCGCGCGGACTCTGATGTCTCCGTTTGTTCCGCGCGTTCAGACTCTGATGTCTCCGTTCGTCTCATCCGCGCAGACCTTGTCGTCTCCGTCCGTCTCGTCCGCGCAGACTCTGATGTCTCTATTTGTCCTGTGCGTTCAGACTCTGGCGTCGCCCTTCTTAGCCGAGGCTCGTCTGGCGTCGCCCTTCCTGGCCGAGGCTCGAGGGGTGCCTTGGACGCTGGAGAGCGGGTACACCTCGCCAGCGCCGGCGTCCAGCGTCTCCTCACCCTTCTTGCAGTCGGCGTCTGAGTGCAGGTTCACGCCGCTGACCCTCTCCTGGACCGGAGAGAGGCAGAGAGGGGCGCACCGTTAGTCGCGTCGAGTCATGCTTGCACACGAGTAGGGAAACTACACCTGACTGACGACACAGGCTCGCAGCAGTACCAGGGACAGAGCCGGGAGAGGCGTCGTTAGCTGCATCTTTGAAGCACACGGGGATGAAAGCTTTGCTGACTTTCGCCTGCATCGGCCCACTGACACACTACTAGTCATGCTGTTGAGGAGAGCGCCAGGCGGCTCTGTTGGCGTCAGCCTTTCGTGACACGAGACAGGATTTGCACTGTTTGCAGTAACAGCAGGTTATCTTGCTCGGTGACGAACGCTCTTGCTGCACTTGACGGGTAAGTTATCCCGAACGCCAAAACTTATATCACGCACCCATGGCATTCACTGAACATGCCATTGGCAAAGCTCTCTTGATTTGCATCTCCTTGCTCAGAAAGTTTTCACCAAAATTGGGTCACAGACAAATGGCTTATACAGCCATTTTTTGCAAAGTCTACCACCGCCAGGCAACACAGAATGACGGTTATTATTGCCGAGTGTGGCTTTGTTGTGCCAAAAGTACAACAATCTCCGCCTTTTTATGGAGAGATTGTTGAGTATTGCATTGAAACACCGCTTAGCTACATTATGCTGTATTCAGATTATGCCCATGCATTGTCATACATTAACACGGATGTGACCATTGGTCTTTGCAAAAGGCGGAGCGAGGCTCGCATCCGTAAACAATAAATAATATGGCATACTCTCGTCAATCGCCTGAGTGAAGTTCACGTATTTGTAAGTGTCCAGTCCATCGAGACACGAACTCATGAAGAGCCTGTTTGTACGCGGAAAATCATACGTCCTGCTGGAATGGGATAATCTGAGCCTAAAACTAGAAGGCAAAGGGCTCCTTAGCACTAATCATGCTCTAGCAGAGTAGTCAGTAGTTTCCCGTAGCATTTGGGAGAAGCCACTGTGCGTTAAGTTGGTTTGTAATTTAGATGCACGCGGCTAAATACTGCCATTGGACTGGTCTTAATGAGAGTGCTAGTACCCGTTTGTCTGAGGATTCCGATCGCAGTTGACTGGCACATTGCTGTGTTGTATACACTGCACATATGCACGCAGAACCACGAGCACACTGTACAGCGTGTCTTCGTGTGACGCATTGGGATGTCACAAAAGTGCGCCGCTGATATGTTTAGTCGTGATATTCAGCTGATTAGCGTAAATGCAAGCTAATGAATGCCAACAATAGAGGGATCATCAGAATATATTTCCAGACGGCCGTGGTTAAACTTGAGATTGGCGAATATTGATTTTCTCCCGCCAGCCTAAATAAACAAAAATCGATTAAATGTTTGAGGTTTCTGGCTAGTTCCCCCATCTTCGACTGTTCATGTACAAAATAGAGAAACAAAATTCCAGGTGTAAATCTATTCGGTCGGAGGTTGTCATGTTTCTGTATCAAATGATTCGGAATAGCCAAACCAGGATTTTTCAACTAAGCCTCCATTCCATACCTAGCAACTTGGAACCATCATGGCCCAAGGAATTGTGACAAAGATTCTAAAAGGATGTCTGTGGAAGAACACAGCTGAAAAAGGATCCCGCAATCTTTTTCATGTTTGGACAATAGCCCATATTGCTAAAGTAAGCACGGTGAGCTTTTGCGTGACGTGCACACCCGCAGTATTTCACACACGACGTGCATGTATCTCGGCGTGCACTACCATCGGTCGAAGGCAGAGAGTCGGCGCTTTTGAATTTGCTGATATTGACCACCCTTTCCGTAGTGTTGGCTGCAGCATGGCAGCCTGCACCCTCTCAAATCCCTCCTCCTAAAGCCTACAGTTAGATGACGGGGCTCAAATCGCAACCAGACCAGGCGCTTCTTCCTTTCAACCTTCCCGCGCCCCCTCCTCCGCAGTCTCCAGTCTTCGGGGCTGTAAACGTGTAGCATGTACACCAACAGGGTGCAAGCCCAGGTGGTGTTACGTCAGCAGACGGCACGTTCACAGCCTGTACGTCAACCGTGGCGCCATGAACGGCGAGTGACAAGCGTCGCACCTCAGCTGCCTGTGGTCATAGAGGACAATGTTGGAGCCACTGACCCCTTCGTGGTACGCCGGCTCGGGGTCCCAATGGCCGGAGCCGCGCCCCAGACGCACGTAGATGAGCGCGCCGCAGGCGAGTGCGGCGCAGACCGCAGCGGCGATCGTCACCACCATCATGACGCCGCCGTTGCTGGTCATGGTGACGTCGTTCTCGTGTTGCGGGCATGCGATAGATGGTACCACCAAGCCGACCCTCGCCGACACCAGGCGAGACGATGCCTGCAGATGTTTGATCTTGGTCATAGAAGGCAGAACTGACAACGGAGCGGCGCAAACGAGAGAGACACGGCCACAGAGGATAGCGCTGACAACAGAGCGGCACAGGGAAGAGGCGACGGGCGTGTGCTTGGTTCCCACTTGTTCTTACGTGGAAGCAGGACTCCGGATCCTGGCTCCCAGCGACTCTTTTACACACATGGAATCCTGGATTTCGTTCTCATTGCTTTTTACAGACACGAGACCAGGGTTGTTGGCCCCCGCTCGCATCTTTTCATGCACCACACCACGGATCTTGGTTTTCAATAGCTCTTTTCAGACAAGATCCCCGGGCCTAGTACACAGGTTCTTTTGAGAAAAAATTGAACTCGGTCTCCCTGCTATCATTGCAATATTGGGAAATAGCGGATTCTAAATCCTCATTTTTCATCGTTCATTCACAAACTTCTCGCCTGGTTCTGGGAACTTTCGCCTGGAAGGGAACGTTTCACACTTCAATAATTTGAAGATAAGTATCAGATATGATAAAACAAGCTTAATTACAACTATTGATACGGTTTTAAGCATAAAATACTGCTCTGGGCAGCAAAGTTTCGCTGTTTAGTAAATATGCTCCGCGATAAGTCATTGTTTGATTATGTCATCGTACCTTGCACAACATTGATAGAGAGCCAATGGACGACTGCTATTGTCTGGAAATCGTGCCCACAAACGATAGATATGGACAAATCAGCCATTATTTTTTGGCCTTGATTGCCGCATGGCTTATGAAATGGCAGGATTTCAATAACGTTGTTATGGCGTCGTGAATGCCAAGGTGACTTAAAAATGCTCTCCCCGAAACACCCCCCCCCCCCCCCATTTTCACGAACATGTGACTCAGAAACTAGAGGGGCTTAGGTCTTAAGAAGGGCAGGGCTGTGAACTGCGCCGAAAGGCCTTCAAGATGGCTAGTTTATATTAAAATCCCATATAAGCGTGAAACATTCTCTTTAACGATTATTTTGCTAGCACTTGGCCCTAGTTCCGCCTACTTTTTCATAACTTTCAAGCCATGGTTTCTGCCTATCCCCACCCCACGGATTTCCTATTTTGACAAAAGAAAACAGCAGACACCGGTTGCCATTACGTCTGTCGAAAAAAATCAGATCGTGCACCCTGGCTCTCACAGCCTGCTTGAAAAAACATATTGCAGCAGAATATAATAGATTGAATGGGCAAGGTTAGTGTCGCAACAACCCGGTGCATCCATACCAAACCAGGCAGCCTGCATAGGATTTCCTCGACAGGAGCGAAAACGTTACCGCCGGGCGACCAAAACATGAATTTCCACGATGTTTCTGATCCAAATGCCATTCAGCAGGCGATTTCGGCGAATAAATGCAACACGTATTCAGTTTATCACTGTTGGTCTAACCCCACTGGCCTAGTGTCAAGGCGTCATATCCAAAGCCAAAGTGTTTCTCTGGGGGCTAAGTGTCAAAGTTTCTTCAAAACCTTGCGACTTTGGACCAGCTTCCCGCGAACCGCTCAGCATGATGTGTGAATCTCTTGGTTCAGGGAAGGTCAAGACCCCCATTCCTCCTCCCCTTGGCTACTACCCCGGTCACATCATCTTGTGCCCGGAGGTAAAGAATATCCCGGCAATTTTTCTGATTTATACACGGCTTACGTTTATTGTTTTTGTTACACAGATTTGGGTTTTTTCAGTCGTGCAAAGCTGTAGGCTTCTGAGCACAGCGCTGTCAGTCATCTTTTTAATGCATTGTCTAACGCTTGATCCTTAGTCAAGTGCCTCGTACAGCAGCTTTTAGATTCTTGTTGAAGTTCAATCGTGAGAAGTTCAGAAGATGAGTTGGTATGCTGCACGTTCTACGTTTTGCTCATCATCACGCTTGTTTATTTCTAGCAGATTTGTTGTGTTATTTGGGCAGGAATTATTTTTGGACGCTAAATGAGAACGCTTTTTCTGATTATAAATGAGGGTCGTCAGTAATCACTTAGCATCTAAACTCACCAGTTATTTTTGGCTCACTCCGATTTTTAAAAAAACTTTGTTTTCATAACTTTATATCAGCTGTAATGGACAACCCATTGTTTGATCCATAAGAAGCGCAAAATACAAACGCTGGTTTTCCCTATCCATGTAGATCCTGTTTTGTGCCAGTTCCTTTGACAATTTCGGTCCGGATCTGGTTGCTCGCTGGATCCCTTTTTACAACCACAGTTCATTATTGGTTCCAGCTTGATCTCTGGGCACGTTCCATGCTGGATCATGATCTTTGCTAGATCTGCTGACAAAATTCGTACTATCCTCTGCACAACTCCGAGCTAGAGCGCACAGTTCCTGTTTAATTTGCAGACGCATTTCCGCCGAATCTCGGATTCTTTGGATCGACCGGCATAATTCAAGGCTAGATTTGGGCCTAGCTGAATCTTTCGGTCAAGTGGCGCGTTTGATTTGGATTTTTGTTGAGTTTCGTGCCGGGGTGAAACCAGGTCCCACTGATCTCCCTAGTAAAGCCCGATACTTGAGCCCTGCTCGTGCTGGACCCTGCTGCTCAGGAGCCGTGAGGTAACCACGAATCAGTTACTGGAAAGATCTCTTGGAATCCATCATATGCCTGAGGGGCCTGCGCAGGTAAAAAGATAATCCACATAATCGGGCAATCCTCACATCATCTCTCTCCCCCGCCCCTATCTTCCCTCCGCCCCGCCGCCTCTGCCCTCGCCATGCCTCCACCCATCACCCCTCGCTCACCACCTACTTTCCCGTTACTTCATACCCACACCACCCCTCAGGGATGGTGAGAGGACGGGATGAGGATGGGAATTAGTATTCATCCCCTCGCCCCTTCCCGTTACTACTCAAACCGTCCCTACCCCTCTTCCACTCGCCACCCCGCTACAATGAGCATCTCCTATTTCCCTATGCACTACATTTCCAAACGTGCATCTCCTCCTCTCACAAATCCCTCCCTTTACCATCTCGCCTCAACCCCATTACCTCATGTAATTCCGTCACAATCTTCATTTCACACGCTCATCCCTTCATCACTTCCTTTCCTTGTCAAGTCCCCCCTCACAGTCCCTCCCCCCCCCCAGACAGCTCATCCCACAACCACCTCCCTTCTCTTACCTCCTGCCCTCGCCACATGCTTCTCTGACCATCCGTTATTCCCCTAACCATACTTCCCCGTAACCATACTCCCCATACCCCAGCTCTCCCCCTCGCCACCCTTCCCGTTCATCACCTTCCTCCTGATCACCTGTCCCCCAAGCTCGCCACCCCTTCTCTCTTTCCACACCTTTGAACATCTACCCTCACCGCCTTCCCCCTCCCCCCCACAGCACCTCCCCTTCCTCTTCCCCTCCCTTTACCACCCCGCTCGGCTCACCACCGCCTCCAGTTCGTCGGCGTTGCTGGTGACGAGTTGGTGCAACACGGCCGCCGACACGGCTCCCGTCTCGACCGCGGCCGTGTCGACGTCCCGCCGCCTCCGTCGGGAGGTCACGGTCACGGGCGTCGGCGGCGCGGTCAGGCTACCCCCGGAAGCGGTCGCGCTAGAGGCGTCCGGCGCCGCTGTAACGGTCGGCGCGGCCAGCGCCCGACGCTCCCGCCGCCAGAGCACGACGAAGCTGAGCACGATGTGCGGCGGCCTGTTGGTCGGCGAGGGCGAGACGTAGACCCACTCCAGCTCCGAGGTGTTGAAGCCCTGTGGTGGGGGAAGGGAGTGATGGAGACCGATCCGCATGGTAAGGGACCTAAGTCAACGTCCTGATGAGCATCATTGAGAAGTCATGTTTTGAACGCTAGAAAGAAGTATGGATGCTGCATCAAGCCCGGTAGAATAGTCTGCGGTGCACAGATCTGCACAGAATGCCAAATAATTGTGGCCAGTGTTCCAATTACAAGCACACTCACCCTTCCCCTGGTCATGTTGAGAATGGCCGTTCTAAAGAGGTTCTCCTTGACTGCCAGCCATGCAATGAACTCCATCCGGACTGGATCTAGTATCAGCGTCACCACGCCTTCCATCTGCTCAGCGCTGAGCTGCTGCAGAGTCTTGCTCTGAAACGTTGACCGGGTGAGTCAAGCCGAGGCCAGCAGCTCCCGGCTGGACTTTGGGCATTGCTTCATGTAACGTTTTGCACCGCAAAATGGTGCCGATTCACTGATTGTCTCACTGGAACGATCCCGATTCGCTGACTTTGTCACATACAGTTTGCTCACATGGAAAATCTAAAAGAAAAAACTAATGCCACTATTACTCCTCCACGCTGCCTGTGGGATTGATGCCTGCGTCTACGATCCCGGCCGGTTCCGTAAAGCTCGAGCACTCGCGTCTCGTTTGGCCGTCGGGCCCCCTCACCACCGAGGCAGTGACCCGACCGCGAACCCACTCCGTCCGCGCCCGATACGCCGCAGACTCGGAGCCAGGCGCCCGCGTACGCGACGCATTGCCGGGCCAAGCCACGTGCCTCGCCCAGACCGGACCGGCGTCAGGTCAATCCCGCCAGTGACGTCACTGGAAGTCCCGTTCGAATTGCACGCGCCGGCAGGGTCATGGCAACGGCCGGTCATGCATTGCAAAGCGGCAATTAACGCCTGAGGTTAGCCAGACTGCGGCAAGCATGGAGGAAGTGCACCTTCAGAAGGCACCCAACACCCGGCGGGGCCTGTTCGGAACAGTGCGCCACTGCGCGCGTCGAAGGCACGCCACGCGTGCACTGTTACTTAGTGCCGGCTCTGAGCTGGGTCTGGATGGGCTCGCGTTTATGTAGCGCGAAAATGCCATAAAACGTTCACAGAGGCAGGGCAGTGACGGATCAAGGCGACTTCCCTACCTTGAACTACAAATTCTCTCGGTGTCACTAGGTGGATTGATGCATATTATTGTCACCAGCACCAATGAAGTTCAGGCAGAGCAAATAATTTTCGTCAATATCTTACCTTCGGATAACCATAGTACTGCATGGGGAGTTCATCCTGCGCGTCGCCAGTAGTGTTAGAGGCAGAAACATTCGAGGGGCTTGGTGAGACGGAGGATGCTGATAAAGTCGTGGAAGTGTGAGTGCCAGGGGCGGCACTAGAGCCCCCGGAAGTGGTCTCCTCTTCAGCAGAGGTGGAAGACGAGTCTGGCAGTCCTGTGGACGCAGCAGCGGTTTCCGCAGACGCGGTTGTCGGCGCAGGAGTCGCCGCAGGTGTCGTGGAGTCCGCTGCAGACGTCGCGGCGCTCTGGGACCCGCCGGTCGCCGCACCTGTGGCCGCTGGTGGCGCTGTGGTCGCCGCTGCAGGGGGTGCTGACGTCGTAACGACAGATGGCGATGAAGTCGTCACGGCATTGAGTGTAGGCGGCGCTGCTGTCGTAAAGCCACCAGCGCCTGCAGGTGGAGCAGAGGTCGTCGTCACTTCCGCCAGCTGCGAACTCGCCGGAGCCGGTGACGAGCTTCCACCAGCCGCTGCCGACGATGAAGACGTCACCGCCGCTCCGGCGGGCGTCGGGGTCGATACCGTGGCCGACGTCTTCTCCAACGTCGTCACCCCTTCTCCACCAGCTCCAGTTGTCGCATCCCCGCTACTTCCCTCCGCCATCTCTGAGGTTACAGCACTGCTTTGCGCTGCCGTTGCCGCTGTCGCGCCCGGCGTCGGGCCATCAGCCCCGGTGCTGGCGGCCGAGACGGAGCTAGGGTCGGCGGTACCCGTAGCTTCGGTACTGGAGGCCGAAGTAGAGCTGGGGTCGGCGCCGCCCGCCGGGGGCGCCGAGCTGCTCTGGGCTGGTTGTGTGGTTTCAGTCGGCTCTGTGACGTTCTGACCGAGGCAGAGGGCGCAGCAGGCCAGCGCCACTGCAATACACGGGCGCGAGGCGTTAACACGCGCCCGGGTGGCCGGCTGGATATCCTTTGCTCGGGTGGGGGGGAGGGCAATTTGACCCCATGAGATCTCGGGAACCAAGAGAGCTAGAAACACCAAATCTACAGGGTGTCTTGACCTGTAAGTGAACTCACTTAGGCCAAACTTTCAGGTACTGGGGTCATGACCTTTGGGTCAAACAAGGTCAAACAGGGTCACCATGACCTTTTCAAGGTCATGGTGACCAAAATCATACAAGCTGCTCTGAGTTTTGTACTAAAATAAGCAACAAGGATTACGCTAGGCGGTATGTTCCGAAAAACAAAATGTTGACCTGGGTTGCTATCAAAAAATTTGAAATGAGCACCAGAAAGTACCAAATACAGCAAGCTCTGGAGTAATAAAACAGGTTGGTTTTTACCTTGGTCTGACCATTACACCTGACCTTAGGTCAATGTAATTTGCTCATTCAACTGTTGTATTGTCTTAAAAGCGTCTCAGAGATGTATGGCTTCGTCTAACACTCCGTTGTTGCATCAGATTGAACGATTCCCTTGAAATAGACTTTGCTGAAACCGTGGCCTGACTTTGACCTGCCATAGATCAGCGACCTCACAAGGTACATTTAACTTTTTATGCCAAACGATCCGCTATTTAATTTTCTACAGTTACGCCAAATTTGGCGCGGCTACGCCGCGCCGTTAGGAAACCGTTTCAGAAAAAACCTTCGGGGGAGGGTCACTTTGACCCCCATCCGAGCGTGTGTTAACGGACGCTCCGATGCATCAGCTGCCCGTTTTGACAGAGCATGCTTGTGAGGGGGGAGGGGTTTAACCTCCACAGTGACGCGATTGCTGCATGGCCTTGTTGAAACCTTGATTCCTAAACGATCAATTTTGCTCTTTTTTACCGTGATGGGAGGAAGACTACAAGGAGCCAGAAGCGAAAACTTCATGCAACATTTGATATTTAAAATCAGGTAGAAAATTAACTGATTTCAAAGACCACGCTAACGATGGATAATTCTCGTTTTTTGGGGGAAAAGGGTTAAGAGGCGTCATGTCATACCTCATGATACGAATAGCGATCTGTATTATTGAACACACCCTTTCATAATGAACATTCGGGGCCAACACCAGTCACGCGGTAACGAATGTAAATCAGGTGGAATACGTGCATAGCGACCAGGAAATTTTGACAGCAGCCCGAAAGACGTCTACTGCTTAATTGTATTGCGTCCTTCCTTTATCAATCCGCACCGTATCTCACTTATAAGAAAAATGGACACTATCCTGCAGCAGGATTGTCGGATAACGCGAGCCTGAAGGACTATGACCGGCGAATGCTGCGCCATGAAACTCGTGTTGTCCGTAAACACTCTTTTAAACCATGCAAACTAGCTTCTGCTCACTGTCAAAATGGTTCGAAACAATACATCCGGAATGCCGCCTGCTGCCGGCTGTCTTATAGAGGCCGATAACACACCGGCCGACATAACGCGTGGCAAAAAAGCTGGGTGTAGACACCTGAGTGAAGGCGACCGACAAAAACTGCGCCGCGCCGCCGACACGCGGGCGTGATCGGTCACGTTTCAGGCCGTAGCCACAATCTGGTTAATGTTGGCAACGATGAAGCGTGTTGGAACACGGTCCTAGCCAGCCGAGGCCACGAAGTGCTGAAACGCCTTTCTTAAGCGCTGAGTAGGAAGAAAGTTCTTCTAAGCATCGAGCAGCCAGACTTTAACAGTCCAAGGTGTTTTTCGCTGCTAGAAGTACGTGCTTATGGTTATTATGAAAGTAATGCACCCTGTTGTCGTTGAAGCTCACCCATAATGTTTCTTGAGAGATGCATGTCGCCGAATGGCTCGATGTCGCCGGACGGAGCAGCGCCTGCTTCCCCAGACTGCTACCTCTGCATAGCAGAAGTGTTCAGTTTACTAATTCCCAACGGACTTTTGTATAAATGGATCCAATTAGCTTTTTACACGGATCCGTCGATGCTCATCTGAAACAGAAGAAGTGTTTGCGTCAATTTCGTGAGTGCTTGCAGGCAGCATCGATGGCGTGTTCATTGGTCGCGGTGCACGAAAGAGTGACGCAGTGCACTCTGGAGTGGCCTGTCACGTGGCCTGACATGTACACACTGCTGAGGAGGGCAATGTGCACCATTCATGCATAGTGAGAGAGGATATAAGCACTTGTTCGGAACATCCGTATCGCATCCCATGCATGGAAACAGATAGAGAACACGCTGCGTGGATGATACAGGTAAATGTGTTACTTTCATTGTCCGTTTCGAGCATCAACTATACAATTTTCGAGTAGTAACCAGCTGGAGCTTGCAAGCCCGATGCTGACGTTTTAAAGAATACAGCAATGGTCGAGAATGTGCAGTATAAGTAACGTTAGTCAGAACACACTGGAATATTCGCATTACGCCAATATTCGCCAATCGGCGCATTGTTAGCAAGATGACTGATGCGTCACCTCAATAATTGTTGATGACTGTGACATCAGCTCGATAGCCGTTCCACTTCGTGCTTTAACCATCGACCGACGAGAAAAGCCTCAGAGGACCACTGCGACTTTCGAGGAGCTATATCCTTTCAAGTAGAGGGCACATAGAATGGTACATATTTCAGTGCGAGTTTGTTGATATCTTCACACGCTTCGGACAGCTTAAAGATGCCACACATCATAGATCATATGGGCTCAACTTCATGCTGATGTACGACGAATGCAAAACGACGGCGTTAAAATGCAATCGGGCGGTGTTACCAAAGGCTCATAGGCCAAGTCCTCCGAGTGAAAACCGTACAGGAAAGAGTCTTACTTTTCACATCTTGCTTATTTACATGTTTTGGATCGCATCATCCAACGACTGAGGCTATTCAGTGATGCTTGTTCTGCTGTGCGATGCTTAATCATTGCTTTAACTGGATGATGAGACCGGTGCCTACAAGGCTTAGCCTGTTCGAGCCACTTTACACGTTGCAGGTCAAACCCGCCTAATGACTTGCTAATTCGCGCTTGATTTTGTGTTCCAGGGATATACAATGCCGTTTTTCGCCACTTTTAAAGTTCACACAGCATTCGAGATGAGAAATGAACCTTATTTTGAAAATTTCACTCCATTGAAATGGTTTGATCCGCCAAAGGACATTTGCAGTAATGTCTCGTGAGATCCGGGGGGCGAATGTTGAGGAAAGGAATTCTGAATTCCACGAATTCCGGCGACGGTGATCCCATTTTTTCCCGTCAGGCATCTACAGTCAGGGGCTTAAATATCGGATGTTGTGTTTTCATTGTTGCTGAAGAAAGAGAAAATGTCAATTAGCGTCTTCAGATGATCGCACGTGAAAAAATGACTCGAAAGAAAATTGAACCTAACGCAGCATCATACGCGCTCTGCATGAACAGCGAGCAAAATATGCTTGTTGGCAGAGGTAGCAAGGATACGTACTTGGGCACACCAGCGCGCTCGTACTCATTCTGACGATCACTAACCGTGCGGAAAAGATCGAAACGGAAGCATCTGCACCGCGGGCTCTGCACTCGACACGTGTTTCCGAAACACGTGTTTTTTTAGGCCACTCATTGTAAGTACCACCCTCCCACAAAGCTTCCAGGTGGCCGCGGGTGAATTAGAGGGAGCGAGGTGTACCCGACCCTTCACGGAAGCCCCAAGCTGGCCGTTAGCGAGGGACGAGAAGCGAGGCGCACCCTCGGTTGGCCAAAGGGATGGCAGGTGGCCGTCACAGCTACCAGAGAAAACGTCCGCCACAGAGAACCGTACCCATGGCGTTAGCTGACGATAGAAGCGTCTTTTTTGTCGATACCCCAGGTTTGCTCACGAGGCGTGACTACCGGGGACGAGCCGCTGCTCCCTTGGAGGCTGCCGAGGGTGTGAGCGTGCGCATTTCACACGCGCACGGATGACCGCTTGAATACCGTTCGATCGGGGGGGGGGGGGGGGGGAGGAGGGGGATTTTCGGCCTACACCAGCCACAATTTGAATTTGCGATCTCAAAAATTGAGAAAGCCTTGTATCAAATTCAACGCGTGAGCTGGTCTGTATGCGAACTCACCGGCGCCAAATTTGAGATCTCTAGATCTTGAGCTACGCGTCAAAGAATGCCAAACTCAAGATTGGTGTCCAAAGTGCCCCAGATCCACTCATGCACCCACCTTGAAATTAGATTCCTGTTTTGAGCGGGATTTCACTGGTGTTCATTTGAAGTCGGTGAACCTGCTTGGCCTTTAGCAGATCATGATGATCAAGAAACTACGACATTGTTACTATTTTTAATTTGAATTAACCCAAGAATTTCTCCAGGCGGCACATGCCTGTAACACATGGTTGATCGGGGTCATTTTAGGCCGGTGACTTACTCTGACCCCTAATAAGTTCATGGAAAATGTCTGTTGCGGTTCGTTATTACAAAATTCGAAATGTACATCACAAACTATCCCATAAAGCAAGCTCTCCAGTACAAAAGTAGGTCGATGTTGACTTCGATCCGACCTTCACACATCACCCTGGGAAATGGACTTTGTTGTAATTCCAAATTTAATTGCCTCATTCCTTAAGAAATGATCCCACAGACGTGTAACTTTGTCTAACACTCCGGTGTCGCATCAGATTTAACGACTCTCTAGAAATCGCCTTTGCTGACAGCCTGTCTGACCTTGCCACCATGCATAGATCAGCAACCTTGCATGGCGGGTCTAATATTATTTCTATTAGAAGGTTTGCTACTCAACTGCCTACATGTAAGCAAAGGTTGGTGCGAGTTTGCCGCACCGTTCAAATTTTATTCCGTAAAATTATTCAGGGGTTTAAATGGACCCCCACCCTCTCCTAGGAGAATATTAAAGGACTCCCAGTCTACGTGCCGATACTGATTAACATTGTCCTCAATCTGTGTCACACCTCCGCATGCGACCTGGATGGGATATCCGTCCACCTGGTTAACATTGGTCCATCTGTCATAGGTCCGGTACTGCTTTAGCTGGTTAAAGGGAGTGTTCTACATTTCCATGGGGGTTTTCCCTGAAATAGCCATCTTGAAGGTCATTTGGTGCAGCTCACAGGCCTGCCCTAAGTAAGACCTAGACCTCTCTAGTTTCTGAGGCACACGCCTGTGAAGATGGATAGGTTATTTAGGGGAGTGTTACTTAGACATTCATGACATCATAATAAGGTCATTCAAATCCTGTCGTTCCATAGGCAATGCAACGGTCGAGGCTAATACAAATATACTGGTCGAGTCATTCATATCTGGCGTTCGTGAGCACGGTTTTCCGATGTAACGGACGGCAGTTGGCTGTCAATCAATGTCGTGTATGTCACGATGACACAATCAAGCAATTACGTCTCGAGGAGCATTTTTGCTTAACAGCGGAATTGTGTCCCCGTCGTGGAAAATGCGGAGTAGCCTTTTCTCTCTCAGTATATCCCATAGCGATGAGTTAGCTTGTTTCATCATATCTGATGCTTGCTTCAACATCTTCGACCGTGAAACATTCCCTTTAGTTCGTGACTCTTCTAAAGTGACGTTCCTGACAAATGGAGCCATTCACTCGTCAGTCACATTCACAAATCACGTAAACCAGTAATAATTCCAACTTCAGACCAATATCCATTACACCCGTCATATTCAAACTGTTGAGCGCATTGTGCCGCGCCAACTTTACCGGTACCCTATCTTCAGTCATTTCCTCTCCGATGGCCAGCGTGGCTTCCGAACCCACCATGCCGCTGAAACGGCTCTGATAATTATTTCTGACCGCGCGCTCCTGGCTAACGACAACCAAATTTCGTTTTTTGCCTGCTTGATTTAAAGGGAATGTTCCACATTTGAAGATATTGGGGCAAGCATCAGATGTAATGAAATAAGCTCACTTGTTGCCACTGGTTTCTAAGTGCAAAATACTGCTCTAGACAATGAGATTTCACTTTTTAGTAAATATGCTCCTTAATACGTCGTCGTTGAATTGCGTAATGAAATGTTTAAATGACCTTGAAATAGTCTGCACGAAAAGGTCTGCACATATTCGCGGGCGTCTAGCTCAGAAATTTGATGTTTTTAGTCTTAACCCGCACCATAATGAGGGGTGGAGGTCAACACGATCCACATAAGTTTTTTTGAGAATACCTCTCCGGCATACCGATCAATCGAACCTAAATTTTCCGCAGTCTATGATACATTCATGCTCATGTTTTGACACCAAAAACGTGTTTTGGGCTTTTCTGGATTTGGAGCAGCGAATATTTTTTGTAGGACACTGCACGGCGATCTATGGCCGGCGCGAGCGGCGAGCGGCGACAGCCGATGCCGGGGAATGCGTACAACGACCCAATATTGTTACATGAGCGGAACCTTATAAGGCACAGATAAACATATACGTTAAAACACACAAGTGCCCGCCATTGTACTAAGAACTGAACAAGTAGCAAGGTTGTGTACGTTTTGAATCACCATGAGGCATCGTCTCGTATACACGGTTTAAACCGAAATGTGCCATTATCTGGAAAATTTTAGCTTTGATCTCGCATAATCAGGTCAATTAATGAGCTAGCAGCATGCAAACTATTGACAGTCCTAAGATCTCGTTGAGACAACTCCCGCATCAGCCCCCTCATCAGTCTCCGTCATGAAAAACGGCAAACAGGATGGATCTCAAAACACAACGGTGATCCTCATTCGCATATCGCATATCCGTCATTATCTTCCGGCCAAGATACTCCAGACCATCATAGACGCCCTGGTGCTGTTCCAGGTCCGCTACTGTCTCCCATTGTATACGAGCCGCACCGGTAACAATCCTTCGAAAATTTGAATGTCTTGAATTTTTCCTCTAGAATCCCTAGGGGAAAACAATTCAGCCAGTCAGCGGACGTCTGGGCATCGCTAGGTTGGCTTGAGGAGGATCTTATGATGTGCCACTCTCGTACTACTGCACAATATTGGCTCGCTTAGAGCCCCAGGGTCCATTTCTTCCACTTTTCTAGCCGACCGTGAGATACGGGTTGGAAGCACGCGCTGCGACAGCTTCCTGGGCCTCCCGATGGTTCGAGCAGAGGATGGTGGGCGTAGGTTCTGTTACCGCGGATCCGTGCTCTATAAAAATTGCCAGACACAGGGGCGTAGTTCCGCAAAGCATGTTATTGGGCTGGTTAGTGAAAAAATGGCCTAACCTACCCCCAAGATATGTCAATAAAGAGGTGTCTTCCCGGATTCCGCTCACTTTCTTCCCAACGCTAGAAGGGAGCGGGGGGGGGGGGGGCTTCATGTTTTCATGATCATCATGTTTTTATTGACCGTATAGTGGGCATGCGTGTTTGCACGTGTGCATTCATTACCGTTGTAATTTGCATGTGACGACAGGCAACAAGGCGCCATCAATGTGTGGACTTGTCTCGCACATGGTATGGTAGACTCGAACACATGGCACGATCGGCTCCAACACGTGGCACGATCGACTCCAATACATGGTACAGCGGCGTATGGGCTCACCTGGTGCGGCGCGACGACGGCAGCGGCAGCGGCAGCAGCAGCTCCCAGCACTCGCCCTCGGCACGTCCGGCGCCCGACTGGTGTATCAGGTGCGGTTAACGCCTCTCGTAACGACACACGGCGCCGGCGCGCCCCGGTCACTCTCCGGTTTCGAGCCCCAGCGCGGCTGTATGCGGTATGCGGCTAGGTATGCGTGCTCCTACCCAGCGGCGAAAACACTACCGATTTACTTGATGTGATCATCGCTGACAAAAAGGTCTCTTTCGCGAGCTATGTGGTGCATAAAAAGAGACGAAAATAGGGGCAGCGTACAACAGAAAGTGTTAGTGAAGAAGCTTCTAGAGCTATTTTTCTCCGGTGACGCGATGCGCCTGCGCAACTTTGGCTGGTTGTCTACATGATTAACCCGTTATCAGATTAAATGACTTTTTGTTCAACAGAATTTCTCATATTTCACCACATTTCATGATCCTCAAAGGTTTGGGGTGGTCGTAATGTAACTGAGCGTAAACACGTGCAGATTATTAACCACGGTACTAGAGCTGCAAACTGGTACCGACAAAATGACCGTATCACGCCCTATCACGTTGGTTTGAGACATGAGCTGGGGTACCGTGCTGACAAGTCAGTCAGAACTTACCCGGACATCGATGGCTGGACTCTTTAATGTACCCCGTTTCTGAACTGGGCGCGCCAGACATCCGTTTAATTTCCGTGCGATTGTTGATTGGAGCAGTGCGCCAATACAGGTCAAAGCCAAAGCACAGGTCAGTATCAAGCACTCCATGCCGTATACGAGTGGACAGAGAACGGCCGTCATATCTTTCGGTTAAGTTCAAATCTTTTGGACTGTGTATGATAGTTTAGAATACGCTAACTTGGTGTCTTTGTCTTGCACCATGCATGACTCTTACCATGAAAAGCCATGAATCGCGGAAGAGGTTCGAAGAGATGATAATGACGATGACGTCTATATGTTTGTGAGACAAATCATGAAGTTCAAGACATGGTTTTTTAAAATGCTTTCAGCATATTTGCGCTGCTAGTTCTCGGACTATCCAAGTGAGGCCAAGTCATATTGTTGTGCCCACATTGCGACATTACGCCTTACGACATTACGCCATTACGCCCGTGCCTTTGCCGACCAAAAAAAGCATTATTTTAAAAACGATTCACAGGCATGCGAGCACTTGATTAAAGCGAGCGTTTCACATTTGTAAGGAGTGTTGCACTGAGATGAAAATTTTAAAGATCAGTCGGTGCAGTTCATAGCCCTGTCCTTTTTATGAGCTTGAACCCTCCAGTTTCTGAGATACACGCTCAAGAAAACGTACAAAATATGTTGTGCTCACTGCCATTCAGGCACGCCTGCCGCCATATCAGTCAATTAAATCGAGATATCCCATAGGTCATGCGACGTTCAAGGCCATTAAGGAATTATCACCAAGTCGTCCAGATCTGGCGTCCGTGAGCTTCCGACTTCCAGACGCTTACGATTTTATTAGTTATATCAGTTTCCTCGACAGCCCTCTGGATGGCTCATAATTCCGATTTGAAGTAGCCGTTCCTGCGGGAGAAATCTCATTTGACTTCCTGCTCACCACTTTGAAAGAAGCATGGTTTATTTGCCTTGCTTTTCCCACACTTCCTCGTCAGCATTTATTGCACAAAAAAATGAGCTTGCTTCATCATATTTGATGCTTGCTTTAATATCTTCAAATATTGAAGATTTCTTTTAAGCATCACCGTATATGTCATGAAAATGGCCAGAGGTTTTCCCAGACTTGACAGAACTTATCACAAAACACTCGAAAAATTACCGATGAAGTCGGTTTCTCACCGCTTGGTGTATTTCGTGACGAGTGGTAGGCGATTGATGGAAACGGGTACTGAATATCCGTGCAGCGGAAGCCAACGTTTTTTGTATTGTTTATTTTGTGCTATTGTCAGATCAGCGAAGGGCTGTTGGGACGGAGAAGCAACAACTACGAGGGAGGCAGCCGAAAATTACATCAGGAATTTTGCAATCGTACACTTACGTGTGCTAGAATGTAATTTGTGAAATGTGTGCTGTCAACGTATTATTACGCACGATTCTGTAATGGAGATCGTGATGCAAATATGGCGCTGCGAGTTAACTGAATAGTTCTTGCTCTCGACGTACGAGATCTCTCGCACTCCATGTATTTTGATAACATCTCTCTAAGTCTTTCACGGCTGAGCTTAAACTATCGAGCAATTAACAACCAATTTTGCCGCATATTTTTGAAGAACCAAATGTGTTGCTTTTTATTGATCTACTATCGAACCTCGTGGAAATGTAGAATTCGGAGTCATGCTATACGTTAGCCGGTCTGGGAATAGTGTTTGCTGTAAGAAACATTGGAATGCATCTCATGAGCAGATTAATGTCTCGGCGTTCATGTTCGCGTAACCATTCGAGCGGCTAATCTTGCGTCGACCGTCTGTAGCTAAATGTCATGAAGCATTACCGCTGGGGAATTGAAGGCTTCTGGTAGTAGACGATGAAGAGGCCCGATAGATATTTGGAAAAATCAAAGCATAGGGATGTAAAAAGCGCCAGTTGATAAAATAGTTTACCCCCAATTTCAGCAATGCAGTGATATAGAACTTTAAGAAATTCTTCATGACAGCTTCGGCTCACTGGGCCTTAAACGAGTTGTGACCGTAAATCACACCATAATATCCGCACGCAACTCCGGCACCATCGTTCCCCAGAGCACAAGTCCACTTTGCAAAAATATTGCAACGTAAAGAATAAGCCTCCTGTGAAATAAAAAACCGCCATATCCATTCCGTGATGATGCAGCAACGCTCAACATGTCGATATAAGCTTAAGTGTCTTGGATAAGCTAACCCCGAAAGATCTGTTTTCCCACTAAGCCAGATAGAATAAAAGCTGCTTGGAATGAATCACATTTGAGAAGAAATAGGCAATAACTAGCTGCAGAGGGGAAAAAATGTTCAAGAGGCCAAAGTTATGTATCAACAGGTGAGAAATACACATTCCATTTCGATTACGTGCTACTGCTGCAAATATGATGCCAGCACATTTGCCAGTGCATGCCTTTTCAAAGACCTGTGCGCAAGCTGATCCGGCTTTGCGTCACCTTTGAAACATATCCGTCCGTTGTGACACGCTGCTGCACAGCCCTCTGTTCACCTGTTTGTTCACGCCTGCATCTTGCACAGTACACCTCATCAGTCCGCTCCGGCGCCGGACTGGTGCACAGTACACCTCACCAGTCCGCTCCGGTGCCGGACTGGTGCGCAGTACACCTCACCAGTCCGCTCCGGTGCCGGACTGGTGCACAGTACACCTCACCAGTCCGCTCCTGTGCCGGACTGGTGCACAGTACACCTCACCAGTCCACTCCGGTGCCGGAGTGGTGCACGGTACACCTCACCAGCCCGCTCCGGTGCCGGAGTGGTGCACGGTACACCTCACCAGCCCGCTCCTGTGCCGGACTGGTGCACAGTACACCTCACCAGTCCGCTCTGGTGCCGGACTGGTGTACAGTACACCTCATCAGTCCACTCAGGTGCCGGACTGGTGCACAGTACACCTCACCAGTCCGCTCCGGTGCCGGACTGGTGAGGTGTACTGCGCACCAGTTCGCTCCGGTGCCGAACTGGTGCACAGTACACCTCACCAGTTCGCTCCGGTGCCGAACTGGTGCACAGTACACCTCACCAGTTCGCTCCGGTGCCGAACTGGTGCACAGTACACCTCATCAGTTCGCTCCGGTGCCGAACTGGTGCACAGTACACCTCACCAGTTCGCTCCGGTGCCGAACTGGTGCACAGTACACCTCATCAGTTCGCTCCGGTGCCGAACTGGTGCAGTGTCGGATTCGCACGCCTGTCCGAATCGGACACGGCACGGCCGACAGATATTGAGCACGCATATTAAAGAGTATGAAAATCGTCTGTTGCCAGCCGTACGTTTTGACAAGTTGTCAAATCAGCATAACTATTACAGGCGCATAATCTTAGACGTCTGGTTCTTTCATTGCCAGTCAATAAAAATCATGAAATTTTACAATGTCGCCAAACTTTCAGCAGCATACGAAAAATCACAACAAAACCACGCCTTAACACGCGCTCGGGCGGGGGGTCAAATTGACCCCCTCCCCCCCGAAGGCTTTTCCGGAATGGTTTCCGAACGACGCGGCGTAGCCACACCAAATTTTGCATAGCTGTAGACAATTGAATAGCGGATCGCTTGAAATAAAAAATGGACATGTACCTTGTAAGATCGCTGACCTATGGCAGGTCAAAGTCAGGCCATAGTTTCAGCACAGGCAATTTCTAGGGAATCCTTCAATCTGATCCAACAACGGAGTGTTACACGAACCCATACATCTCTGAGATGCTTTCTTAGGCAACAAAACAGCTAAACGAGCAAATTACATTGACCTAAGGTCAGGTATAAAGGTCACACCAAGGTCAAAACCAACCAGTTTGTTACTCAAGGGCTTACTGTATGGGACAGTTTCTGGTCTCGTTTCGAGTTTATTGGTAGCAGGAACCGCATTATGCATCTTCCATGGAGTTCTAAGAGGCTATAGTATGTCATTGACCTAAAATGACCCGGGTCAACATTTTGTTTTAGGAGCATATTGCCCAACGTAATCTTTGTCGTTTAGTCAAATGCAAAACTCAAAGCAATCTGGTATGATTTTGGTCACCTTCACCTTCAAAAGGTCAAAATAGGTCACTGACCTTGAATGACAATGTGAACTTTTGCTTAGAAACAGTTATCTAGGTCTGGGGCACTTTGGAGACCAACCTGGAACTTGACCTTGTTTGACCTTTTTTGACCCAAAGGTCATGACCTAGGAATATAAAACTTTGACTTAAGTGGGTTGACGTACAGGTTAACACACCCATGCAGATTTGGTGTTTCTAGCTTTCTTAGTTCCCGAAATCTCAGGGGGTGTCAAAATGACCCCCACCCGAGCAAAGGGTATCCAGTCGGCCACCCGGGCGCGTGTTAAGCACGTCTTATCGGATCCCAAACAAGGTCAATCGGTTCGCCGCTCGAGTCAGGGGTGCTATTTCCTTGCAATCTTGGTGACAGCAGTGCCGCAAGGAATGTAAGGTGGCAGCCACCCTTTTGTCATTGATCGAGGGGCGGTTGCCCATAGTGGCTCACCAAACGAAAAGCAGACCCTTAAGTCGTACAGAAGAAAACTTTTGTCCAGATGGGGGCCCCAAATGGCCGACACCACATGATATCAGTCCACATGAGATGATACAAAGGATGCGCCATCAGATGCACAGCAGGCCCCTCGAAAAGAGCAAGAAGCCTCAATAGCCGAAGAGGGGGCCTCGATAAGGAAGATTGGAGGCCTCACCATGCCGATTGAAGGTTTCTCTTTACATCCAGTAAGATGATTTTTAAAAAAGAGCGAAATCATGAGGATGATTTCTGGACAGGAATGAAATAGTTGACCCTAGATCGGTTTAAGAGGTCTCTCTAGATCTGTTTACCCGCTTGGCAAAAGCCGGCTGTGCCGCCCTGAGTTTGCGGTACAGAGTTGTAGATACCCATTTTTCCGTGTTCTCTCCTTTAATTTTGGGAACAGTTAGACGTTGGAAGGCATCCAGTTTGAGGACATGAGATGGGTTTGCACTGGTTGGGTATGCCACTTTAGTGCTAACAGGGCTGTCTCATCAGCTACCAGATGCCGACTCACAATACTGAAGTGACCACCAAAGCCACAGGGACAAACTCAGACGAGAACATGTCTGAAGAGGCCTGTCAGCACTAAACAGATTTCGACGGCATCCGCTATTTGATTACATTTTATTTGTTTCATTTTTTCTACATTTCATTTGTTTTCGGGAGCCCTGATTTCAATCAGTACGAAATAATGCCAAAGCTAACCAGTGCCAAATTCTTACAATACCAGCTACCACGTTTGTGCTCTGATCTCCAGTGGTACATGACAGCTCTTTTCTGGCACAACGCTGAGCTAACAGCATACGATGATCGCCCAAATCGCCGACGAGACGCCAGCCGATGGTTGTCGCAGTCGCCGACCAAAAATCTAGTGGTGTAGCAACCATGCTAAATCTGACTAAAAGAAAAAGGAAAGAGGAGAAAATCTTTAGAGACATACAGAAAGGACTCATGTGAAGGAGTGTCCGTGCTTTATCCTCTACTAGCTGTGTCTCTAAAAAGCTGAAGACCAATTTCCTAGAAGACTAATAAAGTTGCAGCAACGTAAAAACGGCATTGAAAATGTCTCGTTAAACTACGTCCGATAGAAATGTCTACACATTGACAAAGGTGACCTCTGACACGTCAAACCAGCCCAAAGGGATCATCCTGTTATCTCGAGAACTAAGTATGCTACAGTAATGTGGAGGCCTGTTGAATCGGTCTATAAAACCGCTATCGGACTTATTTTAATCGACACCGAAGCACGTCACCTGTGATATATCGGACTAAATGGGTGAAGGCAATTGTTGCATCAGCCCGTCCTCCGAAAGCAAGAACCACAAAAACCAAGTTGTGATGGGTAGAAGGGGTTTCACAAAGTAGTAAGATATGTTCCATTGGGTTTAAAATATTATAGCCTTTAGACGGTCGCATCCGGTCACAAAGGTAAAAGCTGGGCCTAACATAGCCTTGCTTAACCTGACCGGGCGAAAGCCACAAGAACTACAGCAACGCGCTTTAGCTATATAGATAAGAAAAAAGTCTTAAAACCTTATCAGAGTGCATTTCCTGTGAGAAATAACGTAATCATTATTTGTCACTGCTGGGCAAAATGTCGCCAGCATGACCTCGATAAAGGAGTCATAGACCATAAGCCGTGGGTCAAAAGCTTTCGATCTACACAACACGAGTAAGAAATAAGCTCAGGTACGCCAAGTTTCAGCCCCTAAGGTTTCCCACGTAGGCATCATATATTAGCGATGGGGTTGGTAAGGTGAGAACGTGGTGTCCCATGTGGTGAATTAGCGACTTGAGAATTACACTAAACTGCGTCAATAGCTGTCTGAAATTGCATCCTCCGCCAGATGGCAGTAGCTAAATCTTGGCTTATATTAACTAAGCTGAATCACGTATTATAATTATTCGTCGCAGTTTTTGAAAGCCAGTTCGCCACAGCTATCAATGTAATCCTAAATTACGTACGCCAGCCATTTGTTAATTTCAAAGAAGACTTTGCATTACATCAGAGCTTAATTCTAGGCTAAAAACCGACTAAAACGCGTAAACCGGATGTGAATACCAGAGGGAGTGCTCCTTTGTCTCGCTCAATAATGTTGCAGAACGGACATCAGCAATGCTTACCATAAACGCCCCCTATTTCCATATTAAAGACACCGATGCGAGGACGAGCAAGCGATAGCGTCCATGAAATTTTCGAGGAAAGGTTCTGCCGTTTTTACCCCTAAATGGCAAACGCGCGTGCTGTTGCAAAGTTCTATTATGGTACAGCATAAATCAAGTATTGCATTCTATCGAAACTTTGTCATCTCGATTTCACCAGCTTTGTCAACAGCCATCATAAAAGGAATGCTTCACATTTAAAGATATTGAAGCAAACATCAAATATGGTGAAATAAGCTCACTTTTAGCTGTTGGTCTACTTTTAAGGGAAAAATACTGCGCTAGATTACGCGATTCCTCTGTTAAGTGAAAATGGTCCCTAACAGATAATTGTTTGATTACGTCATCGCACCTTGCATATCAGTGATTGAGAGCCAATTGACGGCTGTTATATCTGGAAATCGTGCTCACAAACGCCAGACATGAACGACTCGACTGATGGATAATGGATTTGAAAAGCGTCATGCAATGCTGATGGAAGAATAGGATTTGAATAGCGTCATGCATGTCTGAATGACCTTGAAATGGTCTCCCCGAAAAAGCCTGTATCTTTTCGGGCGTGTAGCTCAGAAAGTAGAGAAGTTTAAGTCCTATGAAGGGCTGTGCTGTAAAGTGCACCAAATAATCTTCGAGGTGTCTGTTTCAGTTCAAACTCCGATGCAAATATGGAGCACTCCCGTAAATTAAAATACAAAGCCGTGAAAGGTTTTTGTGAATACCACAAGGGAAACTAGATTTTGCCTGATTGTATAAAGGGACGTTGGCACAGTTTGCGTGATGTTAATGAATTGAAAACAATGGTTCTCCCTGGTACATTTAGGTAAAATGTTATTAACCCTCGCCCTGAATGACATTATTTTTATAATGCGGAATGACAGGGGTCAATGTTTCTTCTACCCCTTTCCAAATTGTGAACGATGACAGCCCTCGGAAAACACCAGCAGATTGGGTATAACAAATTCCGTGGTTGTTAGAAAATTGTGTGCTTTTGGGTCACTAATTGAGCCCATTATGACAGGTCAAAGGTTAAATACAAACTGCATCAACTTTTAACTCATGTGGTTGTCACGGGCGATCAGAGGACACGCAACGATATTCTTTTTTTGTCCATCTGCGGTTGACAACATGTACAGTGCATGGCCGGAACACTTTCTGAGCATATGTCCCGACAAGAATTTCACACCGCACATGCACATAATATGCATCCACGTGGACAAGCCTTTGGTGAACATGGAGGGACTGTTTCATCATTTTGATCAGCGGTTGGTAAAGAAAAGCAGCGTGGACCTGCGTCGCGGTGCTGAGCGACATTGCCGTGATCCGGAGCGCCTATTTTCAGACGTCAGATGACGCATTTTGTTTGGAATGAAAATTGTGCTTTTTCATATCTTGAAATGCGTTTGAATAGGGCTTCAATGCTAGCCAGACGGCTTAGATAATAGGAGCGACATTTTCAGACACAACGATAGCTGTATGGATACTGCTGCCCATTTCCCAGGTATCAATGTGTGTGATTATAGTGGTCATTGTGAAAGTTGGTAAGATAACGTGCTGTGAAAATAATATCATGTTCAATATCTTCCTACATGTTTGATGCCTCCGATTTTCGACACCTTGGAGTGAGACGGCCGAAATCCATGCTGTCAGATATTGGGGCCCAGTGTCAAATACACACAAAACGTAGTGATTCGCAAAAATAAAACCCAACCAAATGCCTGAAGGAAAATTCAGTTAGGATGCTCAGCTCTGTTCTTGTCATCTTCTCTGTTTTGCATTGAGCATGATCGGCGTGGATGTTAAATGCGGTGATTGGTTCTCGCCTAAACATAAAAGAGCTTTGAAACACACCATAATAATAAAATACCATTAGTACCAAGAATATTATTCTTGCTTTCCTCAAAATCTGAACACAGGTGGGGTGAGACAGCAACTGAAAAATGTTCCGTCTTGCCTTTTAGGGGAGTCCAGTTCAATTAAAAATGAAATGAAACGCTACACGAAAATAATGCGCAATCAAATGACGGCAGAATGATTACACTTAGCACAATTTTTGAATAACATGTGCTCATACATTTTTTGATGGATTGCTTCCATATTTTACAGATCAAGTCCGAATGCATCGAGCTGCAATATAAAGGCGTTCCGTTTTTTAATAAACTGCCAGCTCTTCTAAATACGGCGCTAAAGAATACCATTGACCATTACGGGCCTTCAGTGACCTATGTACTAGTGACTTCAAAAAACTGCGGACCATTGGTTTTACTGGCCTGCAGAACAGTGACTTCACTGACCGGCGGAAAATGGCCTCGCTGACCTACGGACCAGTGGTTTAATTGACCAGCGGGCCAGTGACCTGCGTCACTGACCTACTGAGCAGTGATCTCACCGATCTGCAGACTAATGACTTCGCTGACCTTCGGACCAGTGGATTCACCGACCTACAGGCCAGTAGTTCCACTGTCATGTGGACCAGTGCTTCCCTGACCTACGAACCAGTGGCTTCACCGACCTTCGGACCAGTAGTTTCGCTGCCCTGTGGACCAATAACTTTACTGCCCTACAAACCAGTGGTTTCACCGACTTACAGACCAGCGATTTCGCTGCCCTGTGGATCAATGGCTTCCCTGAACTGCGTACTGGTAACCTGTCCGACCTGATGACTGGTGATGGGGCTGCCCTGTGGCCAATTAACTTGACTGACCTGTTGATCAGTGACCTGGCTCGCTGACTGACAGGTGAACTGACTCACCCGCCGTACGCGGTAGGCTGGCCGGCGGCTCGGTGGCGGGCATGCCCGGCCGTCGAGGGCGCGTCACCCAACACCGGGCGGAGCGCGGGGGAGCGAGCCTACGTGCCGGGGGAGCGGCTCGCCCATCACAGCAGAGTGGTAAACAGCGCCAAGGCGTGGCGGGCCGTGCTGTTCCCGCGCCGCTTAACACTCGCCGCGGACTAGCAGGGTCGGGATGCTCGTGCCGCCGGAGGTGGTGTCGCAGGGCACACCTGCCCGACATGAGCAGGTGTGCCGCGCGGCAACACCTGTGCTCGGTCGGCGGCGGTGGCTGTAAGACGGCACCGCCGCCACCGCCGTCAGCGTTTGGGCCTTGGCTCGATCAGTGACCCGGCGTCACACGGTTTCAAGCCTTGCGTGACGTTATTTTGTAGTCGCAATTAGTCTAATTTCAAAACAGTCATGCGCTGTCGTTGTTTTTTTCCAGTAAGTGTGGTCTCCCTCCCAGTGCATCACAACAGACATGGTCATGCCTCAGATTTCACTGAATTTTTTTGAAAGAAATGACGGTTATCTGATGCGCACAATCCACCTGGCAAAATATTACGTCCCTCTGACCTATATATGGATCCTCTATGTATAGGTCACAGGATATTCCCCAAGGCGTTTTCATAACTGGAGTTGGCATTGTATGTCTAGTATCGTCATCATAACACCCGTAAATATACGCGTAATGTCATCAACTTATATGCCGTCAAGTTCGCAAAGATTCCTGCGATGGAGCTGAAAAAATGAGCTAGGCTTAACGGTTCTGTGGTGTGTGAAATCCACTCATCACAGCACGAGCTCTGTTTTGCCTACGGGTAACAATATGCGTAGCCCCTGCTTTTCGTAGGGCTTGACTTAACGTTGCTATGTGCCGGCCGCCCTAGCACAGTTGAAGATACAAGGGTAGTTGTGATGTAACGAAATCAAGTCCGGTTGATCCTGCAGTACAACAATGTAGCACCGGCAGCGAGCGTCGGTCGCCTGCTCGGTGCGACCCTCGTCGTAACAGTCATCGTATACTAGGTGTCCAGTGTCAGGCCCCCGTGGGGCGCGCATGCGCAGGCTTCATCGAGCCTCAGAGCAGCCGGTTACAGGCAGTTGGCGTTGGGCTACAGGCAATTGAATGGTGGATTACACGAGTGTGTTCCTCGTGTGGAGCGATACAAATCAGGGTGATCCCCGCAATTTCAGTCCCGCGTGATCAGCGGACTACCAAATCTAGCTCAATATTTCTTAGGGCTTTGCTCAGCATTGAATATGTCCTGAGTGTAGAACAAAGAAATTACGGAAGATATAACTCCCTTTCTCGGTGTAGCCAATGGATCTCCACAGACCACTGCCGCAGACCTGCGGAGTCGGTTAAGCATGTCGATGAATTTGTTGTGACGCTGAGCAGAATCATAAAAATGGTCAATCATCATGTTCCAAAGAAACAAGCGTAGCCGCTTAGGAAGTTCATTGCTTTCATTGGTATTTCCATCCAGTGCGTCATCATTTTCGTCCGTCTGTTGGTTGCCGCCTAGTGTTGCCGCGAGGCCGACGCCGCCTACGGAGACCACGCTGGACGTCGGGATTTTTGTTTCCAAGACTTGCGTGCGCGCATGCTCAAATCCATGTTACATGCTGTTTTCACAGATCGATTCTGACTGAAGGCCGAACTTTTCCAGACGAACACGGGTTGGCCATATCAAGTTACATTTTTGATCACTCGATGAACTAAAGCGACACACCATTTTTGTAATGTAAACGATAATATCTTTAAAGTCTATATGTGTCTAGCGGGAAACAGCTTGGAAACAAATTATATATGGAGTGAGGTGCACAACCAGGATCTTGGAGGAGTCGCAGTACTGCTCATGCACTTCTATCCTGATCCGGAGCCTAGGCCAGGCTCCCGAATGAGGACGGCGGAGGTCCAAGAGCCATGAGAACCCCCTCTTCCTTTGGTCGCGCGTCTGCTTGGAAGTGAACAATGTGGAAACGATCAAAATTTGATATAAAGTAGGATGAGCTTGAGCCTTGCAAATTGATGTTAATGTTCATTAAACAAGGTATTACGTTAAGACAGCGAAATCTCATAGAAGTGCTGAAAAACCAGCATCAGATGTTAAAAGTCCAACACCCAAAAAACGATCGCCCACCACCTGACCTTAAGAGAAACGCGACCCTATTTTTGGAACACGCTATTCCTTTAGGCAGACGAAATTGCACAAATCAAGGGCAGTTCATGAACACAGGTGTAATGGACTCGCCCCATAACTCTTAAGCTATGACAATATATCTTTAAAACACATGCGCCATGTAGAACAGTTGCGCACCAAAAATCTCTCCTGATGTACACTCAAAGAACTCCTCAGGTGTGCACTACAAAAGCTGAATCCTCTTAGAAGGCTGCATCGCCCCGAGCTGTTTGCGAACGAGGGCGGAGATTGGCAGCCGATCTCGGCGGAGTTACGGCAGGCCCGGCGGGATCTTGACAATATTCACTACCTTCAAGGCCATCGTGGCATTCCGAAGGCCTATGGATCGACGCAGACGTGGGCACGGCACGCCCCGCCACATAAAACAGTCAGATGACTCCTCCCATCAGATGAAAACAGATCGTCACACTCATGACCAAGTCAAGGGCTCCACATAAGTCGGTGTGAGACACTGGTCCTGCCTGGTAAATATTTCAACGGCAACTATCTTGTTATCGCATGAAAACCTGTAGGGTCCACGTCCGCATAACAGTTCCGCATCCAAACAGGCACGCCATAAAAAACTAATCCACAAATCCAGAGTGCTGAATCCCTAGCAATATTCGTTATGTAGCAGATACATACAAACGCATAAGCCAGTATCACATCAAAAGAATATATGTATATTTGAATCCGATGACAGTGCCCACCAAACAAACAGAGCAGAGAACACAACAACTGCAATAATTCCGCACCAGTTCGTGATTGCATCCAGAGGAATGTAGCACAAATCGGACACTCCTCAAACAACACCTAATTGATGCCCCTCGGCCCGAGCCGTGAGCACGGTGCGGCCCATCGGGCTTCAAACGGGGCCCTGTTCGGCCGGAAGCCGCCCCTCCCACAGAGAGGGCACGGGTGCACACGTCCGTGAGCATCACGGGTGCAGACGGCGCGGGGCGAGCGCGCACAGGAGGACGCCCCTCGCGGCCGCAGCAACCCCCACCCGACCAATGCCACCAGCGGCCGGGCGACGGTGGCGCCACCGCCGGCCAGTTCCCATATCACGCAGCAGCGCTACTTGGACAGCTCGGCCGACAACCAGTCGAGACCCTCGTAGAGGCCCTGGCCCTGGGCCGCGCACGCCGCCTGTATGTACCACTGTCGAACAGACGGGCGGCGGTCAGACTTCGGGCACACGTGCGGCACGGAATCGTACACGTGGACGTCATATGCGCAGCCTCGCGAGAGCAGCCCTATCTGCACCAAACCCATACACGATAAACGAGCACGGTGTGGGGGCTTGGGGTTTAAGGGCGCGTCGGCGGCGAGGCCACGAACACAGGCGCTGAGCGTAGGAAGCGCATCAAGAACACCGGCGCTAAATAGGTCATAGCAACCACATCGAGAACACCGGCGCTAAATGCTTCTTCTGGCATCAAATTATGCGGATGGACATGCATTTTAAAGATACGCGCGGGAGATCTCGGTAACAGGCCTAGCACCGACGAATTACAAAACACTATACATTACTTGGACTAAGCGTGCGCACATGGGCGAGAGCGCAAACGACTTCGCCTCATATGTGGAGCCAAACTAGTAGTAAGGGCATCAAATCTCGTGGGTTTTGCACGCAAGCACGCACGCAAGCACGCACGCACAAACACAAGCGCACACGCACACGCAAGGGTGCACACGAGGGCAAAGCGCTTATGTGTGTGTGTACGCTTATGTGTGTGCGTTTGCGTTTTGATACGTATATATATATATATATATATATATATATATATATATATATATATATATATATATATATATATATACATATATATATACATATATATATATATATATATATATATATATATATATATATTCAAAACTGCCACACATATTACTATTACGACGTATATTCAGCTCTGTTAATCATTTTCAAAACACATACGCCACGCACTTTACAACCATATGTTTTTAAAACTCCAACACACTATTACAGCCACTCACAGAATTGTTTTGCAAATTAAGAAAGCCGGGAGTATTTTGAGACCGTGTTTCCTTTTTCCTCCACATCCCGGCTGTGAAGGACCTCAGTGTGCATCCCCTTTACAAGTGAATGATATGGTCCATCTGACGGGCACTGCGACGGCTGACCTCACCGGGACGTCAAACCCCGGTCCACTGCATCGCACCCAAATGCTAAACCAACTGAGCTCATGCGGGTTCAGCTTCCATTGCCTCACTTCTGGTAACGATGGATAAAGATAGCATTTCCTGGAGGTAAGTTGTTCTTCGTACATGTTTGAAGTCGTAGCATGGGAGTTGATATCATGCACGTTGTTCTTCGTAAATGTTCAAAGTAGTAGCATGGAAGTTGATATCGTGTACGTTGCTAAGTGCATTTGCGAGTACCATTATGCATACAGATAAATTATACAGCTGTAGAAAAATCACTATCGTGTTTTCTTTTCTCCATACCACGGCTATGGAGGACCGCAATGCGCAGCAACCTTGCGGGTACACTACGATGTACGCGACCAGCACAGCGGCCACACAATGTAATCCTCCACCGCCGAAGTACGGAAATAAACAACTCGATATTAACCCTCTCCCCGGCTACACGTCCAAGCACTTATGCAAAACATGGCACCTGAAACGAATTACATCTATACTAGCAGTAAGGTATCGCAATCTTGAGCGCAGTTGGTAGAACACCCGGACATCACTTCCAAAGGACCCCGGTTCGATTCTCTGATAACATTCGTATTTTCAGTGCCTGTCAGATGAACGATATCTTCGCCCTGCAAAGCGGTCGCACGATGCAAGCCTACATGGTCAAAATACGGAGAGAACAACACCCGACATTTACGTTCCGGATACAAGTAGACATTCAGGAAATATGTTTTATGTTGCAATATTTGGGCAGTCACTTTTATGCCAGCATGCAAGCGAGCAACCAGACAAAGCTCGGACGTTAATGGCCTGTATAGCCACGTTTGCCTGCTTGCCTAGCTCGCTTACTCAGTATGTCCGAACAACGAACAGGCAATGCACGATCTGCAGAATAATAAATCGAAACGCTATGGTCAGACTGCTCCGCGCCGCCGCGATCCAGCCGGACTTTTAGGGCGCACCGCCGTCGGAGGCCACCGCGATGATGATGATGATGATGATGATGATCGAAACGACCATCAGCTCGCGACGGCGTACAACACGCGGACTCGGACTGCCCTGTGCGGGAGGCCCGATCCAGACCCACCTTGCGTCCCCGTAGAGAGTTGAGGCCGAGTTTGTCGGTGAGTTCGGCGGCCGACATGGCATTGGGCAGGTCTTGTTTGTTGGCGAACACCAGCAGCGCGGCCTCCCGCAGCTCCTCCTCCTGGAGCTGTACACAGACGGTCGGCTCAGCTCTCGCTGTGGGAGCCATTCTTACGGAACACTGCTTCGCTAACGTCAACAGTAACCGACGCGCCAGCCGTACCGGAACATTCCACGTGTGTTCCATGAAACGTTCCAGGGCTGAGAACCCGTGGTGCGGGTCCAATGTGTCACAAACAGCGTGCCTGCCCCTGGGCGTTAGACACGAAACAATTCCCAACGGTACCTAGTTATGAATGCGCCTTTAAAATCCAATGACTGTTTATTTCAATGTTGGTCATGGCATAGTTTTACCGCTTAGCTGCGTGATTCCCCGCATTCGATTATAAATCGGCGATCATTATCAACATGCTCAAAAGCACGCCTGCTGAGATCCAACAGCCGTACACCTCTAACAAGATTATACTGCTGAGGATCCTCCAGTATATATCACAAAGGCAGCTGTGGACGTCGAAAGCCGCCCTATTCACAGACGAGACGACGAGAGTCGCTACGCCACAGCGCTAACCGTCACCATCACCAAGGCTGTTAATATCCGTAATCGGTGCACCACAGGTGAAACAGGTTTGCCATCCAGTTTTGCGGCGGTTCGGACCGGACCATAATCCCGCTGGGTACAATGGTAACCCTGTCTACTGGCAACATGACAAGAATTAGTAGCTCAGGAGCATGGGGACCGCCACCTGTTTTGCCGACAGCCAAGCCGAACGCGAGGGATTCGAGCGTGCAGAACTCCATGCGACCAGACTGCAAATAATTTACGGCAGAGGTATGACGTGTGGTGCTCGGACCGCCAGCCGGGTACGGTTCCTTCACCGCAGCTGCCCACGAGTGGACGCGACGCCCCGGCGGGCAGCAGGCCTGGGGCACTGGAGGCAGCGGCTCTGCCCTGTCCGCCGCCGCCGCTCGCCCGGCCATGTTTTATGCACGTGCTACCGCGAGCAGCTTTCGTATGGCCCCGCCCCCCCCCCCCCCCTCCCCTTGCCGCGTACTTTGTCACGGAAAGCGTGCCGTGCAGCAGGGAAGTGATGAAGGGAAAGTCATTAGTCACCACCGCGAGAAACACAAAAAGTCCGTCCGTGGCAAATATGGCTTGATGGGGCCCAAGTAACTATGGATTGTGATTTTGAAAAAAGCGTGTTGTCAGCGCAGATGATCCTATCATACGTATTACAAAGAAAAGAGCTCCAGGCGCGGAGCGCGTTGTTCGGAAAACGGTCATAAGTAAGCATGGCTTTACCCAAAATTTGCCAACAGAGGATGTTCGCTCCGATTGCGGCCCAGTTTTCAAACTCACGCATACCTTGAATGCACACTGTCATTAGTACTGGACGGTCGCCTAACGCATAATCCATCCAACCGCTGCCAAAGCGCCCAAGCCACGACACGACTGCCGCCACAGCGCCCGGACCAGGACACGACTGCTGTCACAGCGCCCGGACCAAGACACGACTGCCGCCACAGCGCCCGGACCAGGACACGACTGCTGTCACAGCGCCCGGGCCAAGACACGACTGCTGTCACAGTGCCCGGACCACGACAGGACTGCTGTCACAGCGCCTAGGCCACGACAAGTGCTGCCACGGCGTCCAGACTTTGGCTGCTGTGCACTCACCATTTTCTGCAGCTCATCTTGCGCCTCAGCCACCCGCTCCTTGTCGTTGCTGTCCACCACAAAGATAAGGCCCTGTGTGTTCTGGAAGTAGTGCTTCCAAAGCGGCCGGATCTTGTCTTGACCGCCGACGTCCCACACCGTGAATGATATGTTCTTGTAATCCACCGTCTCCACATTGAAGCCTGAATGCAGCAAACAATCAGTAGCAAGTATGGCACCTCAACTGTCATGCTGGTCAGCCTCCACAATCCTGAACAGCTCACAGCAGTGTGAAAGCAAGCCAGTCAGTACTCCAAAGTAAAATCAAAATGGATCTTAGATGCATGAATTGTGGCCCATCCAGCAATTTTCCAAGACATAATATGCCCAACAGCAGGAAATCAAAGCATGAACAAAATCAATTCCATCAAATTTGGCTAAAGCCAGCAAGGGCACAAAACAAACCCATGAACAGATGATAGGAAGTAGGATCCCCACTTTGCAAATGTGTGGGAATGATGTCACATATTAAAATATGTTTTTAATTATACACCAAATATGACTGACAGAGATAACATCACATGCTTTTTCCCAATCAATGATAAATTTTAGATGCAGCATGAGGAGGTAGTCAGTGTTAAGTAGCAATAACATTACCAATCGTTGGAATTGTAGTCACAATCTCTCCAAGCTTCAGCTTATACAGTATGGTTGTCTTTCCTGCTGCATCCAATCCAACTGGAACAAGAAAGTGATTAGTGAACCAGACAAGCAGCAAGCACGCAACTCAATCCACCATACAGTTTTACTTATTGAACACCATGAAATGGCCATGTTTTTAACTACCCTAACATTGTGCTTTGAAAACCTGTACATATTGGCTTGGAGCACACACAAAAAAACTATTAAAAGGTTGAAACAAATGCAATTTAAATCATGCATCTTCTCCACTTCATTTAGCAAGCTTCTGGATGCTCTTATAATTCTTTAACTGAAAAGTTCATAGAAATGAAACATAAATGTACTTCAGCAATACCAAGTAAAAAGTTACCCTCAGATGTCTGCTGCTGAAGATTTGTTTCTAATCCATACATGTATATATATATATATATATATATATTATTTATTTATTTATTTACATAAATGCATATGCCAAACCAAGTGTCATGCTGAGAACAAACATTTATATACAAAACAATTTTTACATAAGAAGCTATATCACCCAACTTGCTAAAGGAACACACATAACAGAGGAACCATGATAGGCACACACACAATTGGTTTCTTACCCATCAAAATCCTCATTTGTTTTTTGCCTAGCATGCGCTGGAACAGGTTGGAGATTGTAAGACCCATGTTCTTTTGTCTATGTACTTGCTTTTCAAGACAGTATCTTTCCCTGTAAATGGAGGAACTGCAGGTTAGTCAAGTAATGATCAGCTAAATTCCTGAAACATTTTTAGCCCAGCAGACATGCTCACAACATTGACATTGACTTATCTGGAACATGCCATGTTGATGCTTCCTCTAATCAGACCAACTCATCCATTTCATTTGCAGGATTGTGTTTAGTTTCAGCACCCTTATGTCCTAGTCAGTGCCCAGTGCTCCCTTTGTGGCACAAAATTAACTGTTTGGCTAGTATTCATTCAAAAATTTACAAACTGCCACATCTCTTCAAAACATGCTGTTGGGCCAGTGGTACTGTCCAAACTATCAGGTGATGATGCTGCTAGAGGTATCCAGTTAAAGGGGGTGCTCAACATTTGTATGGGGTTTTGAACTGAAATAGCTGTCTTGAAGACCTTTTACTATTGTTCACAACCCTGTCTTTCTTTACGGCCTAAAACGATCTAGTTTCTGGGCTAAATGCCCACAAAGATGGAGAAAGGTATGCTGGGGGGGGGGGGGGGGGGGAGAATTTCAGTCACCCTGGCATTCATGTTGTAATAACATCATTCAAATCCTGCCATTCAAAAAGCCACACAGCAATCAAGGCCAAAAATATAACTAAGGAGGAGCTCATATCCGGTCTTCGTGAATGGACTTTCAGATACACCGTCTGTCAAATGGCTCCGAATAAAAGTCGTGCAAGGCATGACAAAATCAAACCATGACACATTGAGGAATGTATTTATTAAACAGTGAATTGTGTCATCTAGAGTGGTCTTCTCTGCTTAAAGTATACCACCAGTTATACATGAACTTGTTTCATCATGTCTGATTCTTGCTTCAATATCTTCAAGCACAAAATATTCCCTGTAATATCCAGCCTGTTTGCAAACTGAACTTGTTTGCCTATCAGACATTTTTCATGTATGGCTAACTTATAATCACAAAACAGTCTAGAGCAACTTCTTACAATCATCTAATAGCTGTACCTCTAAGGTGGTCACTTGGTATCAGCATGGTTCATTAATTTTGCAACATGTGCACCAATGCATATATGAAAATGCTGGACACATTGAAATGTGCTCAAGCTTAAAATATGCAAAACATGAGCAAAAAAGTAAGGCATGTGACAATGCTCAGGTTATGCCACGATGCTCAGCACCTGACTACATAGGTATAATGTTGTGGGCTGAAGCACAAAATGACCCTTCTAGGCAGTATTCTAGTCTCTAACTCTGCCAGATAATGTCAGACATTTCTGTCATGACAGGGGAGGTACCGAAGGTGACTATTGCTAAAGTTTCCTGAAAACCTGGTCGTTTGTTCTCCAAGATCATAAACAATGCAGCGTGCAAGAACTGAAGCAATGCCACGTCGGCACTCCAGGAAGGATGGCCGCACATTGCTTGAATACGACAATTGAAACCAATGCAACCAACACCACAGTTTTCATACACAAAAACCCATTTTGCACACCTTACACTCACAATCGAAGCCTGCTAAAATATTTGCCGCTTATCCTACGATACAGAAAGGAAATAAATGTGTTGGCTTTGCTAGGTCAACGTCACACGAAAGCGATACCACAGTGGCGTCAGCGTAATTATTCCTGTAAACCTGAAAACGCCAATCTGGCAGATATGTACGCAATGCTACCAAATTCGAGAAGTTTTCTTACTGTGCACCCAGGCAACTATTGCTGTGAACTGGAAGTTGGCACGCGCAACAAAGGCACATTAAGCGCAGAATTGACATGCGAAGACAAGACTACCCTGAACGCAGCCCCCGCATAGTGACTGGTGCACTTCGCAGCCCCCCGATCCCAAATCTGCTCGCGGACACGAATATCCCCCCCCTTCACACCGACGATTATTGCAACTCCTCAGATTTTACGCACGCGCCACTGCGCATTTTGGTAACCCCACATACTGCGCCCCCGCACATCCCGGCCCCAAGATTTCGCTGCTGAATGCGTGTTGCTAGCGTAGGCGTGAGCACTTCCGGGTTGTGCGGCATTCGTCGTCAACGGAGCATTTTCCTTATTTTAGTGCCATAGTTCAATGTAATTAAAGCAGGACGCCGCTGTCTGCAAAAAATACAGCACCGAAAAAAGAGCGGCACTCTCCCGACTGTTATTAAAAAAAGAAGACGCGACGGCAAAGTTGGCTTTTTTCTCCTACTGGCGTTTTTTCTCAATATTTTGGGCCATGCTCATCCTCAAGAGTTCATCCTCATCCTGACTATTAAGGATGAGCGCAGCCCGTAGCGCAGGCAGGGGCGGGGATGGGGGGCATAGGGGCACGTGCGCTAGCCCTATAAGATCCGAGGGGCTCTTCGGTCCCTCGTTACCTACGATTACGGCCCGATTTGAGGACTCGAAGCGCTTTCTAGGCCAGTCAGAGATGGCATCCAGAGGCCCCGGTCCACAGGGCCGGCATTCCAATGCCATCCAGAGAGCCCAGCGTGCTGATCAGGGGCCCCTGGCTCAATGAGGGCCTATATGTCGGTCACACACCAAAAGTAGCGCACAAGCGGCTTCCTGGCGGCGTGGGCCTGGGGGAGTATTTCTCAAGCAGGAACAAAGCCGGAATCAGCAATTTACATTGGTCGTGGCCGCAACTTCTGTAAGGCCCTCCACAGTGCCCTAACAAGGGGCCCTGTGTTGGCAGGTGCCCCGAGGCAGGTCAGAGGCAGTGTTTGAGGAGGCCCGAAGAACCTGGAGGGCCTACCGGGTCCGACGATCAAGAGCCCGATTGGCGGGTCCGAGCCCACGACGGGCCTGTGGAAGTCCTATTCAGGGAGCCCGGCCTGTGGGGATGTGCCCTCAAGTAACAGCCGGGCGCTCTTTGCGCCGATCGGGAATCTCTGAGTCGATATGGGCTTATATGTCGGTCAGGCCCGCCAGTACCGCACAGTCGGTGTCGTGTGCGGTACGGGCCTGAGAGCCCACTTCCCAATCAGCAGGGGTCAGTGATTTATGCTGGTCGAACCTCCTGTGCCTGTCGGAGGTCCACAGCGCCTAATAGAAGGATAGAAGGTCATGTGCTCTCAAAGGACCCTGAGCCGACCAAGGGAAGTTTTAATAAGGCCCGAAGAGGGGTCCGGGCGGCCCACCGGAACCGTCGATCAAAGCCTGGTTGGAGGGCATAAGGGCCCGAAGTACTTGCCTAGGTCACATAAAGAATCGCGGCCCGTAGGGTCGTGACCTGAAATATCAGTCAGAGGTCCTCTTGCATCGTTTGAGGAACCACTGAGGCAATGCGTGTATATTATTAGCCTGAGACCACAAACATCGAACAGTTGGCTCCCTGCTGGTCTGAAGCCTGGGGACCCATTTCCCAAGCAGGAGCAAGACCGGGGGCCACGATTTGCATTGGTCTGGATCCCTGAAACAAAGGTTGGGGCGCTTTCATTTCCTATAGTTATCACTATAACTATATGAAGCTGCTTCGCATCAACGGAAGTATAATGAGAGCATGTAATTGATAGTCTGGTTACGTTCCCGAGAATTATAAGGTTTGTTTCGCTGTCATGATGCTATAGTTTTTTATTTAGGGAGTAATCCATGGTTGAAAATATTAAAGCAAACATCAGATATGATGAAAAAGGCTCAGTTATAGCTTTTGGTTTGCTTCAGAGTAAAATGTTGCTCCAAACAACACAATTTCTGCGCATGATAACCATACTCCTCAATGCCTTATTGTCTAATTGCGTCATCGTATCTTGCACATTGCTGAGTGGGAGTCAATTGACGGCTGTTATATCTAGGAATCATGCTTGCGAACCCCGATATGTACGACTCGATAATTCTTTTGTCTTGACCTTGATCGTCGTGTGGCCAACAGAAGGTCAGAAATTGAATGACCATAAGATTTCGGCGTCATAGATACGTTACTGATATCGAAAAAATCTACACAAAAGTCTGCGTGAAATAGTCTGAGCATCTTTGCGAGCGTGTGGCTGATACACTAGAAGTGTTTAGGTTTGAAGAAGGGCAGTATTCTTAACTGCACCGAATGATCTTCAAGATGGCCATTTGTGTTTAAAACCCCAAGTGTGGAGCAGTCCTTTTAAACGCTACTGAAAGTGGCTTCTTACAATGATGGTATGCATACGATATAAACCAAGAAGGGCCAAGTAGGACTAAGACGGTGGTTCGAAGCCAAGGTAGGTCATACGCAGAACAGAGAGCTGTACCAACCCTTAGAAAACTGACCTGGTACCTCACCCCGAAATCTAATGTGTTCCCGTACTTCGCCCTTCTATTTCACACTGTTGGATTTTGGCTGGTCTTGTAAGTTGATCTGACCATACCTTTGGCTCATAGGTCTCACCAATGTTTTTTTTTTAGGATTTGGGGCAAGCCGGCCCGCCGTCGGCCGCCGGAAACTTTCGCTTAATTTTGATTTTGCTCAGATTTTAGCCCTTTTACATCGCGCTCGGTGAAATATGTAAAACAAATGTAGGAAACTTTGCAATAGCTTATTCAAAAAAGTTTACCACCCTCCACTACTCGTTCCATGTTTTTGAGACCCCGAAAAGCTCAGGTCTGCATCATGCTTAGACGTCCCATTTTTTGGCGTTTGGGGGGGGGGGGTGAGACTGAGTTGTCCCGCTGTCCCCTCCCCCCTCTGGCTACTGGGATTTTACCATGCTGTATCCCTTACTTGTGTGTGTCACTGCTAATACGAGACGAGGTAATTTGTTTTAGAAATAGAATAAAATAATAAGAAAATAATAAGAAACTCGTGACGTTGGGACAAAAAAACTTACTTATTTACAACCCCGGCAAGCAAGTGGTGACGTACGAAATGGGCACCATTTTTGGCACCACCTTGAACCGTGTGGCTGCCCTATAGAAGTCTCTCAAAGGCTTCAACGCCAGCAGACTGTGGCCGCTGAATTCCGAAGTGTTTTCGGTCACAACGACTTCATGAGGTCGGCGATGACCCAGAAGTTGGAACTGGATCTGGAGTCGGGCACGGGCGGTAACAGCATGCAGCGTGGTGCTACAGATGGCACGGCGGAATATGGTGCAGGGTCAAGGCCGACTCCACCCGCACGTACAGTGGTGGGCAGTGCGACACGGACAGAGGCAACGCCCAGTTCTGAATCGTGTATCGAGCCTGTGGCTGGTTCTAGTGGCGTTCAAAATCGCTCAGAACCTGTCCCCGTTATCAAGGGCACCAAAAGGCAAACGTACACGGGGACAGGAGAAATGTGCTGGGGTCTCATCTTCACTATAAAAAACGATCAATGCAGAAGGAAAAGCCCAGGAACGGCTAGAGACAGGGGGAGAGGTGTCGTCGCAAATAAAATCGACCTCTACCCTACTAGGAGAGCACGACGCGGGGAAATGGTGACGGAGAGGTGACAGAGAAGCAGGGCGACAAAGACACTATGTGCTTCGCCTGTTATTTGCTGTACTGTCCCGGGAATCCTGGATTCAGTGCACGAGGTGGTCAAAATGGGCATGTGGACCATGCACGGATGCCAGTAAAGGACACATGTCTTCTGTAAGGGACCTCTGCCTGGAGCAGGGGAATGCTGGAGAGCGGCCTATTATCCCCGTCGTACCGAAGTTTCAGCTCTTCCTTACTATGGAGTGCCACCTTCAGTGTCCTGCTGTGACCAGTGACGACTTAAGGGACGTTGTTAACCTTGCTGGAGATTGCGACGTTATATACGCTTTGAGCTTTGAGCTTCTTAGATGAGCATATGAAATACTGCGAAATAGATTGCCTGTTACCTAAGTTGAACGATGCGGCACATTTGCGGCGTGTGAGACGGACAGCACCACGCAACGGGGAGCGGCCAGCGAACGAGAACATATTTTCTACCAGTGTAAATTATATGATCATTGATCACATCACACACATGTATGAGGCTCATAATTTGTTGCTAAAAACGCCTCATTTAACGTTCTTCACTCATGTTTAATTTTCCGAAGAAGTACCTCAGATATGACCGCTATGCATTTTTCGTGAAGTGGAGGCGGCAAGCAATACACTCATGAACATACTAAGAAGGGCTTCACTCGATCACATCTTAGGGGGATGCCTTGTGCGATACGCGATGAAATGAACGCAATAACAAGTGTCAAAGTTAAATTTTCACGGGGGAGGGGCGCTTTGCCCCAGTACAGGGGGCGGTAGACTACATGGTTTCCAAAGCGTCCCCAGAACCTAGATACTTGTTCTAAGCAGAAGTTCACAAGCTCATTTAAGGTCAGTGACCTTGTTTGAACTTTTTAAGGTCATGATGACCAAAGTCATAGAAGACTGCTTTGAGCTTTGCATTTAAATAAGCAGCACTCCGTTGTTCCATCAGATTGAACAATTCCCTAGAAACTGACTTCGCAGATCCATGGCCTGATTTGGCCTGTCGTAGGTCAGCAACTTTACAAGGTACAGTTAATTTTTATGCCACACGATTCGCTATTCAATAGCCAAGCTATCCAAATTTGACGCGGTTTCGCTGCGTCGATCGGAAACCATTCCGGGAAAATCCTCGAGGAATTAATTCGAACCCCACCCGAGCGCGTGTAATCATAGGTTCCGAGGGGCCCTTTCGGCTGCTGGGAACCTTAAGGGGGCCAC